CTCGATATTGATGGATGGAAGGGAGTTCCGATGTTAGAGCTGGACGCCAGGGTAAAGAGTAAAACAGACAACACTCTGTATAGTTGGGATGATTCAGGGTTGACAGCTGAAAGGAAGACTTTGAAGTTGATACCTTTTTTTCTGAGAATGAACAGAGGTGGAAGTGGCGCGATGAGGGTCTGGTTAAAGAAGGATGTCATGGCTCCTTGATTGGCTCCGTTTGGGATTGAAAATTAGCAGGTTCATGTTGTGGCTTGAATTTTTAAGTGTTCAAGATTTTGCGCGACTTGCTTTGTATCTTGTCATGCAACTAGTCCTCGGTTGTAAGATTATAAAACGCCTTTGGAGCCTGAGGAATCCTTGGCTGATAGCTCCTCCTGCTAATTCTTGATTAACTAAAATTGTCCTCTTTCCGTTTCCTCAGAGGGATATCGGAGAGCTGACTTCCGGGCTGACTTTCTCCATGTCAGAACATCAATTGATGTCAACTAGTCTAGTACAATAATCCTTGTTCTCATGATTGTGCCACAACAGGCTCCCAGATAGGCCCAGTTGCGCGAAGGTCCCCAAACAAGACGTCCGAATTTGATTCCAGGTTCTTAATACAGATAACGTGTTACACGGAAATAGCCCTTCCATACATGGGCTACGGTCACGGGACCTAGGGCAAAGTCCCTTGCCGACTTCTTGTATTTAAAGTGGTCTTTTGTCATTAAGGCCTTGAGGAAAACCAAGGACCTTTAATACCAAAGACTGTTATTAGATGAATTGAGCTATTAACTCTAAGCCCTCTATTGAACCCTTGTCACATAACGTATACGCTCACGAGAATGACTCGGCATCCTATTAGGATCTCCCGTCATAGTGGTCTTAGACGCTGCGAGCAAGCTCATCATCGCCGAGTGTCTTCTCCGAGAAAACCTCTAACTCGGCGGTAGAGATTCCACACCTTCACTTGTCGTCGGAATCTAGGCTTCTAATCTAGAGACCGGTCTCCGGATGCTCTGTGCTGAGCCAAGAGATGGAGTATAAGCAAATATTTTCAATCCGACTGAATATAATATTGAGTTTATTAAGTTGTGCGAGAGAAAAAGAACAAAAAGAGGGCTAGATGGTCATGAAGGATTGGTGTATTGTTCTACAGTCTGTGGCAGAATATATTTGCCCACCCAGAGCTATACACTAATATACTCTAGTATATGATTGTATAGAGCGCAATAGCCAAATACTTGATTTGGCTAAATAATTTGTGCCTCCAACTGTATGTCAACGACACCGAAAGACTTTACAAATCAAGCGTACGTAAAGTCGTCTAGAGTGAGCTGCTTTATTCATCGTGTGGCAAACACTGTCGAGGATCGCACATGACAAGTCACAAAACGAACGTGCTTTCATTGCTTCGCGATCAGTCTCTCATGTTCTGTTCATGAGACGTAAGCTGGTTCTTTGGCGTCTGCCTCATCCATCTACTGTCCACCTTGCCAAGGAAGCCACTGAGAAATCACTTCATGAGAGCCTTGCCCAACCCTTGCGATATCAGCCTTGGAGGCTGAAGTGTCCATGTTTTTCAACCACCCTCATGTAAACCTCTCATATTGCTTATGAATATGTCGAGGAGGTGGAAGAACTGACTTTTCACAAGCCTGGAGGCTATTCCCCTGTTGCTATTGGAGGCCGACTGCGCGATCTATATGGCATACTGCACAATCCAGGCAACAGGGCAAGTTTCACGATATGGTTGGCACGGGATCTGCATCATATAAAATATGTCGCCCTCAAGATAGCCATTAGCAATTGGAAAACCAACGAAGCAAATATTCTCTTTCATCTAGCAAATTCCTTCCATGACTGATTGCTTCAATTTCGATGGAGCGAATGGAAAACATCAATGCCTAGTTACCGAAGTGGCCAGATGCAGTTTGGCCAGCCGGATTCTCAGCCTATAGTCCGACAAGATGGAGAGCGACTTCCATCCAGTGTTCCTACCCATGTCTACGAAGCCATATGGATGAAGAAGCCCGCGGAGGAGTTGACCCTCCAAGATGTAAGCCTTGTGCTGATAGATTTTGGCGTCGCGTTTCGCCCACCACAAGCCGTATGATTCAAGTCGCACGCCCCGATCGATATTCGGAAGGCAATCAAGAAGATACTCGTCGGCAATCGGAGTGGTCATAAGGGGAAGTGTATATAGTGTCGGAAGAGACGCCAGTTACAGGCGTTGGATAACCGTCGAGGACGGAGTTTGTTTCAGCTAGTAAGTCTAGTCAGTATTGTTTACACAGCAACAGGTTACAGGAGTAGTAAAAACAGTAGGATGCTTCCCAGTAGAAGACAAGGCTACCGAATAACTTGGTATTTTTGTGACACTGCCGACAAACCGACCAATAGGGAGAAATCGCATCGTGCATAATCTGTGTTTTGACTCTTCAACATTCGCCGTCTCTAATTGCTTGCTCACATCGCCTCGGGGCGATACAATGAAGCACAGTCCTTCGATGGGCTACCTGCCTCTCAAACAGATGGCGCCAGGGTCTTTTCTTATTTTCGTCATCCCTTTCGCGATATGATGGGTGTGGGCATCGGAAGGCGGCGCGAGTAGCACTTGGTTTGGATTCCTGACCGCTGGGACTAATCTGCCCATACGTATTTTGACTCGAGGCATCGGGTGTGTGTATCGTTCCTGAGAAGCATTCAGCCATTAGCTCAGTAAGCTGAAACAGTTCTCGCTCCCTACGCGAGGAACGGCTTGTCAAGTTGAGCTCGCGCCGTCAGACTTGGACTTGGAATCGGAGGGCGGTGTAGAAAAGCCGACTTACAAGGCGACTTGTGCGAGCTGTTGGGACAGATTGGCAGATATGCTCCGGTCGTACCTGTTCCTGCCTCAATTTGCTCTGCACCTAGACTGTATAATGAGTCCTCACAATAGAAGGCGCTCAAAACGGCGATGGTTGTCTCCTGAATCGAGCGGGCGAAGGGCGCCTCCCAGATTCTACTTGTATTATGGTTTGGTGACTTTGGTCTTGTATCAATCTTAGGTCATGTTTATTTGTCGGGAAGGGGTTTGCTAATGGCGATTATGTAGCCTTGGGCTGGAAAACCCATAGATAGACAGAGGGCAACATATGGACTAGTCTCTACGGGCGTGTATGGGTTGTCATGCGGTAAGAAGAGCAGGGCGACAATATTTGCAGTTAACAGGCTTACGTTATCAAGATATATATGACAAATTAAACATCACCAATCATATACGGGTCAGGTTTAGGTTATGGATATGGGAAACCTCGTACACCTGAGTCGTCATTCACTAAGTCCCGTCCCCTAAGTCATAACCGAGATTCTCCACCCTTGTTACACGGAAAAGGCCCAACCATCGTGAAGCCCAACAAAGCGGCTTCACCGACGAAGGACCTGTTGGTTACTCCGTAGAGAGATTGAACACATGCACGGGCCAGTGCCCTAGGCACAGACGTTTCCTTCATGTATATATAGTAGTTCCTTTCCCCTTCCATCCTCTTAGAAAACTAAGGACCTTTGACATCCTTCAGGATCATCTCTGGAACTAAGCCTTTGCTTCAAGCCTTCTAAATGGCACCCTTGCCACAACCCTGGCCTTTGATCCAGAGTTTTCCTTTTGCCGAGGTATTCATAAGTGTTACAAGCCTTTCAGAATGACAAAGTTTGGGTCACAATATGAGTGGGGAATAAATACGTAGCGTTCCAGCTAGTTTTCCATTCGTCATGTAACCTCACGGCATCATTCCGCAGCAGGCCGAGTACTTTCCAGAAAGCCGTAACCGAACCCTCATGCTGAGCGTATTGCTCATACGTCTCCTTCTCCCCCCCAACGGATGGCGAGATATTCATAAATGACGAGGCGAGTGTTTTCTAGCAAGTCCCGCCGCGGCTGTGCAACAAGATAATCCACCCTGCTAGCCGTTCCTAGGGAATAACATGAGATTCAGTCCCTCCCTTTATGCGAATCCCTTGGCCAAACTACGACTGTACGCAAGAAACGGCGTAATGAGCGTTTGCTTAACCCATTCGGCACTGGTTGGCTAACGTGGCTCGCAGAATCGAACATACCAGGGCCCTCACCCCTCCCTTGACAAGGGCCGATGGGATGACAAAGTGTCCCAAGTTCAGGGCCTTGCCCCAAATAGCCCGGCAAATATGAAGCTTGTTTAATTTACGGAACTGTCTAATTTAATAGTACTGACTAGTGCCCTCTCGTATTTCTGGGGAGAGGGGCGGCGGGAACATGCACCGCGTCTAAACCGGGCAGTTTGAAGAGCAACGAACCTCCAACACTTGGATACATCACTACTGCTGTACAACTCTGAGACTCGAATGGGGTGGGTCGATAAGACCTGCCTGTGTGAAATTATTTAAATTGATGCGAATATGTAGTTCGTCGTGTCGACTCGAGTCAGTCAATTTCACGTACGACTCTGATATTTTTATTGTCTAGCGTAGGTACAACAACAACGTAGTATCTTATTTAGAAATACGGAAACATAATTCCCCTTATCTGAAAGTCATCTGTGACCATGATCCATGTTCAGAATCCGCACACGTATAGCCCTGCCCTTTACGTGTCGTTCCTGAGCCCAACTCCAGTCGAACGACATCGGCAACTTGGGTCACCCATGTCTTTTTTTTTCAGGGGCTAGGCTATTCAAGCACCGGGGCTACCTAGCCTGACCGTATATTATCCCCCTTGTAATTCTCTTGCCACCGAAACCGCCATTTCAAGACCTAGGGGCATCCGTTAACACGCCGATGGAGTCTCTTGCCTTTCCTTCATTCCCGGTTGTCAGCTAGTATACTCGATCGACTTGATTCCCTATTCTATCTCTTTTTATCATATCGACACTCATTACTCTACTATCAGCAACTCTATCCAGGATACACGCCGCAACTCGGACGATTCTTACACCACTGCCTGTCATCACGTCCAACCTAGCTCGGTGTCCTTGGCATCGCGCTGCCGTGCGTCGTAAATGCGAGCCACTTTCAGAAGTCCACGGAAGCTCATTACCCTCCTTGTGCTATCTCTAGTTGCCATCCTTGTTCTGCACCAACTTAGTTTCCATGACCAATTTCTCCTCTGCGACAGTCTATCAGAGTCGATGAAAATAGTCGACGCGTGCCCTCGATCCAATATCAAACCGAGCAACGAGTCCCTTGGCACGACCAGACCGGGCATCCCAAATATAATCCATCAGATATGGAAAACGGAGCACGTCGAAACATATTCTGCCGAGGCGTCCCACGCGTCATGGAGAGCTCAAGCCGAATCCAGCAATTACACGCTGAAACTATGGACTGACAACGACATCCTACAGCTCATCAAAGCCAAGTATGCGTGGTTGCTATCCACGTACGAAGGATACGCGCAAGACATTCAGCGCGCAGACATGGCCAGACTCGTCGTCGTTCATGCTGAAGGGGGCATCTACGCAGATTTGGACGTCTACCCCGTGTCGGTAGACGAGTTGTCCTGCTTGCGGCATCTTGGCCTGCGAGCCATCTTTTCTCCCACGGCGGGGAATGCCGGGCTCAGCAACCACTTCTTCATGGCTGAGCAGGGGGCGGATTTCCTCCAGTGGGCGCTGTACGAGGGTAAACGGCGAGGCGGCCCGTTGTCGAAGCACATTCTTCTACCGTACTTGCGAGTCTTTTGGTCTACCGGTCCTCTGATGGTGACGTCGGCTTTTCGGCAGTATTCGTGGATGTACGGCGCCTCGAGCCATGGACTGGGTGTGCTGGGCGCGGGCTACGGGGGTTTCGTGGTTCGGCATGCTGCAGGGCGGTCTTGGCATGGGTTGGATGGGTATCTTTTGAATTATGTAGCGGATCATGTGCGAGTGGAAAGCCTGTGGGTAGGTGGTTTTTGTCTGGTCGCCTTACTCGCTCTGGGGTTTATATCGTGGCCATGTCGTTGGAGAAGTATGCGTTATCGCTGAGACCGCTGGGCTTCGTGCGACAGACCTCCGAACAAATTTGATAATCATTACTTTAATATATACGAGAAAGACGATCCATGAGATTCTGTAATACAAAATGTCTTTCATTCAAATTCACGGCCTCATGGAGGCGGGTGTCACCTATTGAGTCGTGATTGGCATATCGAAACTGTTACGGTGAAAGGACTACGAGAGTAAGCCGCGGGTGGATGGTGACTAGCTCACCTTGTCAAGTTTTTCTTTCTGAACCACTCTTCGTAACAACATGTTTCGCATTGCGGAAGCTCTTCATATCGCTTAGGAAGTTCCCCGACATGGGTCCAGCTTCTTTCTAACAGTGGGGCTTTTGCGAGGGCCGTGGCCACCGGAAGAGTTTCGAGACTGAAATGAAGCTATTGGCGTCACCGGATTGATTTGTGGTGAGTTGTGCAGGCTAATGTCGAGACTCAATGCACCTGCTGGGCTGAAGCACGAGCAACTACTCTGACATGGAGGGTTGGTGGTAGAAGACCGCGGTCAACGTCCGATGATGATAGGCACTAGGAGGACATGACTTGGAAACTCGGATAGTCACTCTAGTCTTGCGCTTTGTCTAGCATGTCGAGAATACGTTGCTTTGGTTTGTCGTGATCGCCCGCTTGAGCCTCCACATGGCAGTCCGGCTCAAGCCACTCGCCAAACGGGAAGATCTGCGGATGACTCCGTATTGACTGTGGAGGAGCAACCGAGCAATGTCCGGTACAAATTCATGCAGGGTAGTGCGCATACGTACAACGTACGCAAGCCTCGCGTCACCATCGCCCTTGGCTTGACATTGCCTCCGAGGACTCCTGGATGGCCGTGAACAAGGCGCCTGAAAGGCCCCTACCAAGGAGGCTAGTCCGTCCAAAGTTTTGCAACATTGAAAGATTCCGTCAAGAAGGTCCGGTATATCGTGCTCTATGCCAATGGGGCGTTTCCGACGACAGTGGAGCAGATAAATAGATTCTTGGCAACACTAGGGTCCGGTATATTGGAGAGGAAACGTAGCTGAATAAATTCAACCAGTTGACCACACAAACAATGTCACACAAGCCTCCCTCCATGAGATGTAGGGTAATCTGTTCGGCATGGGAAAGAAAGAACCTACGGGGCACGATTTATCCCTACATATGTACCTTGAAACACAATGCACCCTCGTGTTAGAGCGGTTATCGCTTCAGACCACCAAGTCATGGAGAAAAAACGACCCAGCAACAAGGCCCATGGCCGAATATCCCCGATATTCAGCTTACAAGTATGCACATCTCGGCCATCTTCCCCATGCCCTCTGACGCCTGGCAAGTGTAGTAATTGTAATCAGTCTCAACACCCTTGGACAGGTAATTGCCTTGTATTAATATGTATTCAATCCAAACGCCACCGGTACTCCTAGGTCCTATTCTCAATTTGCTGTCCCAAAAACCCTTTTCCAAGCCCCCTGTAGGGACATTTCGTCAAAGGCAACATCCTCGTGATACGTCTTGGTCGTCCAAACGCTGCCCGAGGCCTTGACATTCTCCCACGCCTTCTTGCGCGCAAACAAAGAAAACAGCCCCGAGAAGATGCCAGCCTTGTTGATGTTGCTATTCGCACCGCGCTCCTCCATGCCGATGCCCTCGGCGTATTGCCACTGCGCCATGATGGGCGGCATGACGGAGTAGGAGACCAAATCGCCCGCCACAATCATTTCCTGCATCACCATGTCCACTGGCATGTCGAGATTCACGGCAGTCCTTAGCAGGAGCTTCGCCGCCCCCGTTTGGCTCACGGCATAGGCGGTCGTGCAGGTGATGCCTCCTGATCGGCGAATCACCCTCTCGTGTGTGAGCGCCCGGCCCTGATAGTCCTTGCCCAGTGGCACAAAGGGGTCATTGTAGATGAGCCTGATGTCGTTGTTCTCATCGGTCTCGTGGCACTGACCGAAGGAGAGGATGTCCCAGTGGCTGCTCAGCCACGGGTCGTCATCGGATGTTCTCGTGCTTTCATTCCGGGCTACTGCTTCCGCAGGCCACGCAGGGTTGTGAAGCTGCGTCGAGTTGATCTCTCTCAGGAACTGTCGGAAGTGGTTATTTAGATTGGGCATGATTTTGCGAATATTAATATCCCACGTCGCATCTGACTCGACGATGAGAAGGGGCGGGAGCTTTTGTCTGAGCATGGTCGACCATATCTGCACGAGCGTTAGAGTCTGTCAAGCCGTGTCTTTTGGGATCGTGATGGCCTACATTGGCGTGTGCTCGCCAGCAACCCTGCTCGCTTGTGCGCAGCTTGCCTGGCTTTCGGGTAGGCGGCATGCCGACGTCCTTGATCAGCTGTGGCCCAACGGCTGGATACTCGGTCAGGTCGACGCCGGAGAGATAGGACTGCAGCGACATGGCGTCGAGGCGGTCGTAGCGGCTCGGCAGGTATATAAAGTAGATGGAACTAAAGCCCAATGTGCTGTTCCCGGCGTCATTGTCCGCCGTCGGCACTACGGGGGGATAATGCTCGCGATCTATGGCTGAAGGTCCATTCTGTCCGTTGGTACGCGTGGACGGCAGCCACAAGGCAGAGCGGTCTGCGACAGGACCCGTGGCGAATATAAAGAGTGTGCTGAGGGTGAAGAAGATGAGGGCGGTTACGAGGAGTCGGAAGAGGGGGCTTCGACACGAAAGCGTGCCGCTGGAGGATACATGGGAGCGGGAAAAGGCGACTATGCTTTCAATCGTCGACATGGTCGCCGTCAAAGAGCCAGTGTCGCGGCTACTGTCAAGAACAATGGCGTTTCACCCATCTCCGTCTGAGGCCGTCCATGGAAGCCGCCTCGAAACGGAACTGGCGAGCATCAGGCAGACGAAAGGTGTCCGGTAGCAGTTAAATAGCTAGGTAGAGGGAGCTCGCTCATTTACCAGGCAGCCGAGTTTCTAAGATTAATCGCCAATAGAAACCACGTATATTCAATCGGTCTGAAGGCCGGTTCCACACTGGATCCTTTGGCTGTCGAGTCATGTCAGGCGAAACGGACAAGGCTGAGTTGACGAGGTACGACTACATGTACCGAGTCCTCTGGTTCCATGCTATGCTGCATCAATTGATCCTTTCGGCCCCTACCTTTTCTGTTGGTGGCCGAGGGCGTTGCCGGGGCTTGGATCGGCATCAGCAACGGTTGATGGCTTGCCTAGACAGGAGGAGGGGGCAGAGGCAGAATGCTGGTTCCGGGTTCGTGCGTCGATGGCTGTTGAAATTGCCAAGTTGAGAAGTAGAAATAGACTTGTACCACGACCCGGAAGATGGCTGAGACAGACTACGACCGGGGCTCTGCTATCACCCAACACGTCATAACGTGTCATGTGCAACTGGTCAAAAGTGATGTGCAATTCACAGCCTGCCCATCAAATCGCGGCACTTGATGGGAAGCGTTCCACGCAGAGATGTCCCCAGGTACGGAGTAGATCGTCCATGACTTTGGATGGAGGTAGCCGTGGCAGGGTAAAATAAGCATTTGCCAGAATTTAGCTTCGCCTGGATGTGGAGCAGCCCGAGATCTGCGCCGGCAGCCCTCTTTGCAGTGGAACAGACCATGCCAACAAGGCTTCGAGAACAAAGGGATGATGCAGGTTCAACCGGTGCCTCGTCCTCTGCCCAGCCGTAGCCACTCGACCCCTTACCGGCTCCGTGACGAGGGGTTCCAGCCATGTCTCTGCCTGGCATTGCTGATGGCATGCAGGACGGGCGTTTTCTGAACATGCAGCAGACTGCCGAGTACGTTGCGCATTTGCCGGGACCAAAAACGGAGGTTGTGTACAGAAGTTCAACGGTGGCACAAACAGGCTTTTCTACGGCCACGCCTGGCCTAATCGGGAAACAGCCATGATTCTCACCCCCCATCGTCATCCGCGTCCATGAGGAGCACCGTCAAGACCTGGCCTCTTCTCCTCGGTCGGAACCTCGAACCCCTTTTTCGACGGCTGCCTGCCGACGCGACGCGACGTGTACCCGGAGCCACTCCAACATTCCATTTCCATTCTTGTCTGCCGTGGTGGAGACCGCATAATGCCCATCAGACTCCTTCTCGAATCCGCACGCCGATTTGGACCTGCCGGTGGAAGCAGAACCCTGGAGGTATGTAGGGCTGCCGGGCCATGAGCCGAAAAGAAGTCACTGGTAATACTAGCCACGGTCATGAATCCATGAACCCCGTCCGTTTAGCGCTTTACAAAATGCCCTAGTGTCAGCCACTCCCGTATGTAAGAGGACACGCGTCTCGCATCCACGATGACGACGCGTGGGTTTGAGAAGCTGCTAAGCCCTAGTAGCCAGTCCTGAAATGGAAATGCTTGGGTCCTTGACTCTTTGGACCAGGCAAGCGTGTTGAACATCTCCGGAGCAGATTCGCGCATCTTGTCCAACGGAGTAGAAGCTCCTCGCCGGCAACGTGCGCGTCAGCCACGGCAACAAGGATCACTTTTATGCGCAAATTTGGCGCGGACAACTCAGCCATGCTGGCTTGGGCTAAATTGCCGTCTTTTGACGCCGCCGTTGCCGTTGCCCGTGGTCCGCAGCATATGGCGGTACTACGTAGCAGCGTCTTTCTACAAGTTCACTTGATAACTTGCCAACGGCAACAAAAAAACCCATCATCGCACTGTTCACGCTGCACTTGCAGTCATCTGACAGGCTTATGGCGAATCCAGCTATTCCCAACGCCTGACGCGCAATGGAGCAAAGTGTGATGAATCTATTCGCGCCGGTTTCCTCATGTTCCACCACACACATGCAAGAGCGATACAATCTCCCATTTCGTCAGTGCATGGAGGTCTCGTTCCCAACCATGGCTTCTACAGTTCCATTATTCGAATACATGAAAGTAGACTACACTGCCCTTTATTGGTTAGCACGAAGCGAAAGGACACAATGGACACGCGGTCCGCCTGTGCCTTTGGCATATGATAGATGTTCATGTCGATGCGCGGCTCTTGAAAGGCACTCAAAACTATGCATGTATTCGTTATTTGCTGTCCAGGTGAAATAAATGGCAACAACCCGCCGCCAAAGGCAAAGTGAGCGGAAAATATATAGCGCTATTTGTTGCCTAAACTACAAACATTCTGCCACCATGTGACAAGGGCTCGGAAAGAGGGCTTAGAGCAATAGGTCAATTCAACTAATAACGGTCTTTGGTATCAAAGGTCCTTAGTTTTCCTCAAGGCCGTGAGGGACCCAAGACCTCTATTTATACAAGAAGTCGGTGAGGGCCTTCTGCCCTAATCCCATGACCGTAGCCCTTGTGTAACCTTTGACATTGGGCCATTTTCGTGTAACACACCATGACTTCGCTTGGTAGGTTTTCGCGGATCAGTAGTGTTGGAGTTCTACAGGTATTTCAAGCCCCCTGCTTCCTAAGCTAGCCAACAGAAAATGCGCCAAGGAAACCTCTCGGTGTCAACTTTACAGTGGTGGTTTCAGCTTACTCTTTCCTAACTTGTATCTTGTGTGACTCACACAAGCCAACTTGTCGGCCTAAAGTCATACATACACTACATAACTAATGGCCATGCTTACTATGTAAGTTACCCTCTATAATCCAACTTCAACCTGCGTAGTGATAGAGACCTTGGATTAGTGCCTATTTTGATATTTAGCTCTAGTCTGAAACACCTTTATATATGATAAGACACATATACTAGAAATAGTGTCCATTCAGAAGATAACCAGTTGAAAGGTGGAATCAAGGGACAGGCGAGGACTAAATATATCGCTAATACGCTTATAGACTCACAACCTCGAGAAAAATGTGGCGATGCACGGCAAACCGCTCGCTGTCACTTCACCCGAGTGTACCAAGGAAATACCTAAAATTAGGAACAGGCAGCATGTGGTGGCTTCTTCACCCGGTCTTGATTGGACCTTGAGTGACAAACGGGATGTGCTTACTCTCCCCGGTTTTATTCAGCCCCCGGCTCACGCCGTCTTTTACCACTGGTTCAACTGTATCCATGTGCTGTACTCTGCAAGCCACCGCGAAATTGGCTATAAGCTTTGACTAGCGAGCAGCCATTTGAGGCGGAGCGGCAATTTCGAGGCTGCCGGATCGACAACGTTCCGTTCTCTTTTAGACCCGGGTGCTATGCATCCGTTCCGGTGACAAGCCCATCATGACAGATACAACATGAGAGGTGTAGCTGCGAAGTCGTCATTGGCCAACATTTACGGGAACGTCAGCCCCAAAGAACGAGCCACCTTCTAGAAAAGTTGCTTTCCGAAGCCGTGATGGTGATGAGAGCGTTGGGAAAATAGCTCATGCGGAGTTGCCGAGAGGCCGGAACACTGTATCGAGGATAAAAAGGTCATAAATTACCCTCCATACGATCTATTTATCACACGAGAATTTGATACCAAATGAAGAACCAATTTACTTGATAAACCTTCTTGTTTCCCTTCGCTCTGCACGCCATACTTGAGCATTCCGAGCCATTACACCTATATTGCATCTGCGACTTGAACTGCAACCCCCCCGGCGCAATGGTCTCAAGGCTATTCACTTTATCAGCCCTGTTGGGCCTTGCTATCGGAGCCGTGATTCCAAACAACAATGGCTTTCCCACACCCAATGACCAACAAAAGCTCCAAATAGCGCAAGAAGCAGGAGGCCTGCTCCCCGGTAGTCCGCCCCCTGATTCACTTGGTGCCGGCAGCATCACTGCCTTCCAGCTCATCGCCTTCAACGAGCTCTTCGAGACGGCGTACTTTAGCTCACTGCTGCACAACATCACTTCTGGGGCTCCCGGATACGAGGCCGAAAATACAGACGAGTTGGCCAAGATATTCTCGACAGTACTGGCGGTAAGTAAAAGCTCAAAGGCATACTAGGACTTAACATACATCTGGTAGTATAGCGCTGACAATATCTTTATCAGCAAGAGGAACAGCACGCCCTCGCGGCCGTGTCTACACTCAAGGCCGCCAACGCCTTTGCACCCTCCGCTTGCCAGTATCAATTCCCCGTGTCGAACCTCAAGGATGCGGTAAATCTAGCCGAGACGTTTACGGCAGTTGTCCTAGGCGCACTTCAGGGGGCAAACGTCATATTCAGCCAGGACAAGCAGACAGGCGCCGTCCAAACGGTCTCTTCCGTCATCGGCCAAGAGGGCGAGCAAAACGGCTTCTACAGAGTGTTTCTGGATAAAGTGCCTTCCGAATCGCCTTTTCTCACGACGGTCCCAGCCCCCTTTGCCTGGTCGGCGCTGCAGGCCTTCGTCGTGCCCGACTCGTGCCCCTTCCCGCTGAGCAATATCAACCTCCCTATTTTCCCTGCCTTGGAGGTAAACGGGGGGGCTATTGCCTCGGTCGAGCCCCGGGACCAGACGCTCTCTTTCTCCGCGGACGTGTCCGGCTCGGAAGCTGCTAAGGCTTATATTGGCCGCGACAATCTGTTTGCCACGTACACGACGGGTCAGCAGCTGCCTATCTCGGTGGCCATTACCAACGTGGAATGGTCCGGGGGCAGGATTAGTTTCCAGGCTCCGTTCCCCTTTTCGAAATTTGTCATGCAAGGGTTCAGCCACGTGGCTCTGACGACGGGCGACACGTTTGACAGCGCGGATGCGGTGGTGCAGTCGGCGCTTGCGGCTCCGGGGCTCATTCAAGTGAATAACCGGCTGTAACACGTGTATGTCAGACATGAATGTTGAGGAGTATGCAGATGGATGCCCCATCTTGCAGGGCATTAGGGCATGAGGAGAATGGTGTCTAGGGAAAGTGTCGTATTCACTTTATGCAGCCAACTTGGCCGACAGCTGAAACATGGCATGCTCAATCAAGAGTTGGACCTAGACTGCCGCGTGTGCTATTCGACAACAACAGCTTATATCCTCAAAGCGCCACTCACATAAAAGCCGCACGCGTACTTTGAGAAGTAAACAGGTGTCGAGCCGTATGTGCTTTCATCCAGAGAAGGTAATCTATATGGATTTCCAGAGGCCATAACCAAAGGACAACCCAAGCACGAAGTCTTGGCTCCAAAGGGTGCTACTGCGTGATAGGTATGGACCTTGAGAGGAATTAGTACCATAAATATGGAAAAGATGGTCATATAGAAGACAGATGTAAAAGAAAGCCCGAGGGTGTGAATTAGATTTAGATTAATATTGATACTTGTACAAATACAGCTTGGCTACCAACTAGTGACTTAAACGACAGCTATCGTCTTGTCAGTAGTGTGGTCGGCGTGTTTCTTGAGGCTAAAGGCGTATAATAAGTCCTTTCACCGCCACCACTGCGACAGACACGGTGAACTCGTGATGGCGGCGCTAAACACAAGGTCGAAATGAATGAATTGACAAATAGCTGGGCGTCTACGGAGTATTCCGTGGTAGATGGGGGAATGTCCTCAGGAGAGCTGACAGGTGATCTGATACGGGCTGCATATTAAGTCGAGTCCGGAATTGTAAATTGTACCGCTTCAGTCACCAGATGTGTTGCCTTCTGCTAAATTCTTAAAGAAAGGGCCGTCATTCCTCGGTACGGTTGATGTTTGGCCAGTGTTGAGTGGCGCATCTTGAGTTTCTGAATGCCTTGATGCGTCGAGTGGCGCGCGGTAAACTCCTGGATCCGTCTTGGATAAAATGGCGTTCGGTGCAATTGATTGAGAAGGAGCCAGGGCTATACTGGCTGGCTTGGGAATATGGATGGTGGCGTCTGGTTATATCGGACTACTAGTATTCCTCCGTACCGTTGACCAGGTTGACGGCATAGCATCATACAATGTACTCCGCCTTTGCTGCAACATTATGGTTTTACGATGAGAGTGTTGGCTGAAATGGCTTGATGACCAGACTGCTCCGCCTTGTGATTCCGTGTCTTACTGTGCCTGTGTTGCTACTATTGTACCTGTATTACTGTACCATGTCTTACCGTGCCGTGTCGCCCCGTGGAGTTCATGTCCACCTTTCGACCTCTCTGTCACTGCCACAAGAGATACAAGAATTGACTACTATAATTGACCAAGTATATGAGAATAATATCCATTTCTTCTAAACTCGCTTTCAAAAGAGGACACAAAGGATGTGCCCAGGGCCTCAAGTAGCGTGCAAGGGGCCAGCGTTGTAATGGTTGGCTTTCCCTAGACATCCAATTTTGGATCATAACACGGGAGAAAAAGCCCGCCATCTCCGGAAAGGATGTGTGGCTGAATCAAAAGTGATGAAAACGGTGGACGAAGCATATTCTCAGCCAGCCACCTGGCCGTCGTACTCATATATCATCTCGACGAACTCTTCTCCTCCATCCCATCCCCTCTCCTTTCGGACTTCTTTTTCTCACCCCATCGGATTCTAATTCATTGAACAAATAAATAAATAAGATAAACAGTATAGAAATTTGTGTACAGCTATGCTGAGCAGGCTGATTACATTAGGGGCGTGTTTGTTGCCCGCTTGGGGCGCACACGCTCTTGCATCGTCGGCAGATCTTCCAGTGATAACATTACCATGGGGGAAATGGCAGGCCGAGGTTGACAAGACGGACCCCCTGGTGAGTGGATATGACAAGCTCCAACACTACAAGTCTGCATTCTCACTCTATTTGGTCGAAACAAGCTTTATGTTTTCCGCAATGTTCGGTTCGGTGCAGAGCCGCAGCGTTTCGGTCCGTCCGACTTCCCGACCTGGGCCAATGACTCGATACAGAGACCAGGGAGCATCAGCTGTATTTCCGTCAACATCGAGGGATTGTCAAAGCCTCCAGGAGGTCGCGTCCCTCTCAAGGATCCGGAAAGCTTCGAGGTTCCGCAAGACGAGGACTGCCTCTTCCTCGACATCTACGTTCCTGTGCGTGCCTTTGAGCCGAATGCTAGGAAGCTATCGGTTATTGTTTGGATATATGGCGGCGCTTTTGCCCTCGGTAGCAAGAATGACGGTGAGATCCTGTACACGGGACGACCCATCATCAAGGCCTCCAACTACAATACCATTTTTATCACGGGCAACTACCGCACCGGCGCCTTTGGCTTTCTTGCCGGCGACTACATGCAGAAGGCTGGGCTTCCTAACGCTGGCCTGTACGACCAAGCATTGCTGTTCAAGTGGGTGAGCAAGTATGTCGAGCAAGTCGGGGGCGACAAGGAGAAGGTCAGCGCCTGGGGAGAGTCTGCCGGAGCTGGCTCGATCCTTCACCACCTCATCAGACAGGATGGTAAAATAGACCCCGGCTTCCAGACCTACTATGCCATGAGCCCTGCTTATGAAATGTCGTGGGATAACGCCCCTGATGGCAGACTCGACACTTACTACCGAATGTATTCCAAGTTTGCCGACTGTGGCGACAAGTATGATATCGACTGCCTGAGGAGAGCTGACCGGACCAAGCTGGTAAAGGCCAACCAGGAGCTCTTTGATACCGTTCGGCAGACGGGCCTGTTTCCCGTTGGTCCGGCTGTGGATGGTGAATGGATTCGAACGATTCCTTCCATACTGCTCTCTGAAGGTAACTTGATACATTGTTTGAACTCCCCGATATAAGAACATGCTTGCTAACTGCAACAGGCAAATCCTGGCCCGGCATCGAGTCTGGCATCATTTCACATTGTTCAAATGAGTCGGCTAACTTCAACCCCAAGGGCGTCAATAACGAGGGCGACTTTGACAAGTTCCTCGAAACGTTCCTCCCGGGGAGTCCCCTGGCTCCCCAGCGACTCGAGATCAAGGACTTCTACGACTGCCCCCGAACCCATGGCGGCAACTTCTCCGCATGTCTCGAGACGGTCATCCGAGACGCAGTCTTCACCTGCAATACACGATACATGTTCGAGGCGTATCCCGACAAGTCATACATGATGGAGTACGCCTTTGCGAGTCGGGAATCTGGCTTCCACGGCGTCGACCTAATTCCGCTCTTCACCAAGAACGTAGCCGAAGCAAAGGAGTTTCTCGAAAAGATGAATATTGCCCCGTTCTGGGCTGGCATCTACGCCGACGCTCTGCACAAAACCATCTCCCCCAAGTTCACCAAGTACCTGGCCTCGTTTGCCGTCAGCGGCGACCCCAACGGCGCAGGATTAAGGCCGCTGTGGCCGATGGCCAGAGACACGGAGCAAGGCGTCTTGGACGATGTCATGCAAGTGAGGGAGATTTTGGCTCTGCAAAAGTTTCGACTCGGCAAGGACGACCAGAATAAAAAGGACAGCTGTGATTTATGGCTCAAGATTGCCCACGAGGTTAGACACAAGCCAGAGGGTGCCCTTGGCCAGGAGGAGCTTTAAACATGTGTGACTGGTCATAAACTAGGTTTCAGGATACGTCCCGATGCACTTGCTACGTAAGAGTAGGCTGTGCAGACATCAAATTGACTGGAGGGTGTCCTAAAGAGCTCATGGTATCCCCTGCGTGCCAAACATCGCATTAAGATGCTTAGTTCAATGTTGTCTTTGCTTGTACTTCAAGTCGTTTTTCCACAAAGACAAATCTAATCGATGTTGGCCCAGTAAAATCTAGTCTTTGACACTACTGAGTGTTTATATGGTAAACACGTGGTTCCACCGATTATCTCATGTGAATTACAGCCCTTTTAGGTTCTTATATCAATCAAGCCCAGTTTGACACTAGTTAACCCAGCCATCACGAATGGTTGACCGACATGTGGTCTCTGTGCTGAGAGTATAATGGCGCAACATCACCTTATTAGTCTCCGATCTATTCTCTTCATTCGCTTTTGTTCCTGCGGAAGAAGCGTAGGGTTATTTTGAATCAGAAACAAATAGCACAGACTTTTTCACCCCATATTTCCTCGCCTTTGAAGGCTCTCCTAACGTGCAAGTACACCCTCGTGTACCTGAGCTGTGAATATCAGGTAAGCAATCCATAGCCAATAGGGATCCTAAACTTTCTTCAGCTTGCTCAATACCGCTTGGTCCTTGTGTGCTTGAGCATTGTGCTGAAGTCACAGTACCGTCATCAATGACGTACACGCATGCTTACAAAGCGTCCCACAAGAAAAGCTTGACTGTTGATAAAGTCAATGCAATTTCCTGTAAACAACTGCTTACAATCTTATTCTTCCGGATGTGTAATAGAGAAGTCTCTTGAAAGGATGAACAGAACACTATCATGTTTTCTGCGGCACCGGGGAGGAGAAAGATGTCTCCTGATTCTAAAACGGAAGACACCAAGATTAAGGATCGTGACGTGAGCGACGATGATGCTCAACCGATAGACCCCGAATTTTTGTTTGGTCCATTGCCATCAAGCTCTTTTGATGAGACTGAGTGAAAATCGGCAGTCAAAAAGCCGACGACGACCAGCACCATGACAGATGACGCCGAGGGCGAAGATGAAGAGCGGAAAATGGAACAGTCCGAGGAGTAAATTTGCAAAGAAGCGCCGGGACGGTGAAAGCGTCTCATAGACGACATGTAGTCAATAGACAGGCTCTTTTTGCTTCATGGCTCTATGCCCGAACCTGACTACCATGGTGACACGATGCAACAGTAGTAGGGTTAGGGTCAACAGAGTCGGATACAAGACATCCGGAATTGTCAGGTTTGTCTGCCCAGAGCGCATTGTAGTAATCGGATGAATCACTCAAGTTAGCTCATTAGCGGGCGACCAGTTGACATTTTCTTTGCCTTTGCGTGATGATGTCGCGATAAAAGGCCACTGGGGAAGGATCATATTGATGGCTTTGGAACCAGACCTTCCACTGCTTATGCCTCAAATCTTTCTGCTCTATGCCGTCATTCTGCATCAACCCGGAAGCTTCCACCCCTCGTTCCGCCATTGCTTGTTTCGTCTGTGCTACGAACTAACCGTCATGCCAGGAATGTTTGCAGGAAGAAGGAAAAGTTTGCACACCATCCTGGCCAGTCCAAATCACGTACATACTGGCTGGTAGAAAGCTGTGGCCACTACCGGATCATTCCGTCCGTCTACTCTCCCTGTGCGCCTGCAGTGAAACATTGCCCAGAACAAAAAACTTGCTTCGCTGCCACGAGGCGTATGATTGTCGATGCTGTCAGGGGCGATGGCAGGGTATGGACGATTACAATGTGGTGACAAGTCAACCCAATCTCTAGTGCATGAGCTATCTCTAGATGAGGGAAGATCTATTTCTCACCCCTAAATCAGCATATTTAATACCAGGCAGCAAGGAAGATGCGTATGGCAAAAATGTCGTCATCTACCATAGACCAGTAGAGCTGTGTTGGTTGGATGCTTTTCAAAATTCGGTGAGAAGTGGATAGTAAGCAAAACTAAGACCCGGTCGCGGCTCGTGATGGAAATCTATACCACATTCCCTCACAAGGTCCTGCATTGACTCGGTGAATCATGGACAGTGGCCCAGGCGTCCCATCTGTTCTTGTACACGTGTAGTATTCCCACGGCAACCAATGTATCCCCTTGACAGATATTAAAACTTGCGTCTTTTATTCGCTGTGCTTTTGGAGAAATAGTCCTCATGACGTCCACTTGTCCTAGCTTTGAACATCCGGTGATTATCATGATACGTCAGAGCAGTCGCCTATGGCAGAGGAAAGATTCCACGCCACATCGGAGAAGGAAATGGTCTGGCTTTGGACCAATCAAGCGGACCATTCCCACACAACCGTCAAACGAGATAATCAGCTCGGGTTGGACGATGCTTGCCGCCACTTGTTTTGCAACATCACACAGCAAACGCGAAAATGCCCGGCGCAACAGTGACGTCACGACCGCCAACGCCCTGGAGCATTCGATGGTATAAGTGGCGTTGCGAAGCCATTCAGATTATTGTTCGACGTTGTGTAGGGCAACACAGGCTTCCATCCCTCCCTTGTTCGCGGCGGTCAAACAACCTGACTTCATAACTTCAAGGGCTGCTGTGCGCTTGCACGGACACACGACAACATGGTAAGTCGTCCAACTGCCGACATATACACAATACCAGTCATGTCTTGCCCTTTGACTCATCGGCGTTTAGGGGTTACCAGGGCCAAAAGGTGCGAGTCAAAGCGAAACTCACTTGCCACCTCATGACCGTCCATCTGTCGTGTCGGTTCCTGTCACGCCTGGCATAGGCAGAGAGTCGTACGACCAAGACTATTTCGAGAGGAACGCCCTGCAGTCACCAAGCACGACTCCAGGCACTGATTCCAAGGTGGCGCAATCTCCTACTATTTCTCGTAAAGATGCAAGGCCTGGCTCCTCCTCTGAGCGACGGAGACGACCGAAACAAAACTCAACATTGGATGGAAACATTATATCTGTCACATTCACAGTCCCGCATGTCTTGGAATATCGCCAAGATTCAGACTGGGTACGCTTCCCCAACCCGCAGCACATCTTCGTTGACATCGATAGCTAATGTAGACCACGTAAAGGAATTGCGGCGCTGCTACAACCGCTCAGCATTGTTGGACGCGCTTCACCATCTCTCTGATAATGGTCCTCACAACCACACTGTCGTGGCGTGGACGGGCGAGATTCGCCAGGCAGCCGACAGCAATGACGATGCCGTGTCTGACGACAATCTGCCCATAACTCCTTCGTCTACATCTATTTCTCTAGGGGGTAATGCGCGGATGCAAATACCCCCCTCGAAAAACGTTTTTGTCACGCGCGCCGACCAGCTTCGGCTTGAGCAACAGCTACACGAAGATGACATCTCCATCGTGCCCGTCTGGCTTGCAGACGAAAACGACATGACCACGGAAGGCATACGATTGCATGACCAATCGAGATGGAGACGGTATGCGGAACACGATCTATGTGCTTTGCTTCATTATCGACAGCATCCACCTAGCGAGCCGTACTCCGAAGGAGGGAGATGGGCGGATTATTGCCAAATGAACCAACGATTTGCGCAGAGGGTTATCGAGACCTACCAGCCCGAGGACACTGTCATCATTCATGACTATTACCTGATGCTTCTACCTCTGCTCCTGCGCGAGCGATGTCCCGATATAAGCGTCGCCTTCTACCTCCACACGCCTTTTCCTTCCAGCGAGTTAATACGGTGCCTTGGCAGACGGCAAAGCATTCTCAACGGCATCCTTGGTTCCGACCTCGTTGTATTCCAGTCCTTCCACTACGCCCAGCACTTTGCAAACACGTGCGCCAGAATTCTCGGCCTGGAAGCCACCAGCCGAGCTGTCCAAACGGCAACGAGGCGTGTGCGAATCGAAGTGATTCCAATGGGAATCAGCATCGCCACCGTCCACGCGCTTGCGTGGAAGGCCACCGCCATAGAAAAGTGCGCCCTGCTCAAACAGCAGCACGGCGGCAAGAAGATCATAGTCGCGTACGACCCCAAAGACCGACTGGGTGGCGTGGACAAGAAGTTGCTCGCCTTTGATCGCTTTCTCACCAAGTACCCCGAGTATCGAAACCGCGTCATCCTCATACAAGTCATGAGCCCGACTACAATGGAGGCCGACGATGCCCAAGAGGCCGACTACGCCACGGGCGTCGGGGAGCTCGTCGCCGAAGTCAACCGCAAGTATGGCTCGCTGGATTACATGCCCATCCAGCTGCAATCCCAGAATCTTAGCGTCGACGAATACTTTGCCCTGCTGCGGTCGGGGGACGTCGCGCTCTTCACGAGCGTTCGCGACGGCATGAGCACGACGAGCTTGGAGTACGTCGTGTGTCAGCGCGACGGTCATGGCCCGATTATTATATCCGAGTTTAGCGGGACGGCGAGCAGCCTGAAGGAGGCTATTCACATTAATCCCTGGGATACGGATGGCGTCGCGGACCAGATTTACCGGGCGTTGAATATGGAGGAGGAGGAGCGGCGAGATATCCACGCGGCGGTGTATAGGCGTGTTGCGGAGCGTGATGTGCGGCACTGGGCGACGACTTTGCTGCGCCGTTTGAAAAGGGCTGTTGGGGCCCGCGACTCGAGGTATTTTGGGGCCAATGGTCTTGCTGATATTGGTGAGAAATAGATTCGCAGACGAGTGTGTACGAGTAGTTCGCCTATTGTAGTTGAGGGTTTATGAATGTATGGAGAGGCTGGTTGGATGAACACATTGGAATACTACTGGACGTTAAATCGAGGACGAGGAGCTCATAGTAGGGGCACTATCCGCTGATAATATGTATTTGACTATTTTCGGGCTACGAGGGTGACCCAGTCAAGTAGTTCCAGGGGGTATGTAGCATTTTATAACATGTCAATTATCGCTCGAAATGTATGCCAAAAGCCTCCTCTCGAGAAGCTTTGTCCAAAATTCTTTGGATTTAGCTACGACACAGCTCATTGCCAATTACTGATTGGTTCTTGAAAATTACTATAAATGCATCCCAAACGATAGGGTTGCGAATGTATTGGCTAAACGTTCTGTTCTATGGAATAGACTTAGACACAGTAAGGAGAGCCATTGATAGTCGTGCAAGAGTTGTCCCTCTGCTGGCAGTAGTTATTGGTAATGCACTGCATACTATTAGCAATTTTCTTGGCCGAGATACTTGCTGTACACGTCACTTACGCGTCCACCCGCGTCACCGATGGCAATGGCACAACTACTACACAGATGGTTGCCATGCTGGTCGTTGACACTGGCACATTGCTGTTTTCCTAAATAGAAAGGAGGACGTTAGCAGAAATCTTCAGCACATGCCCTGCGTCTGGTCTCGTTTACCGGGAGTGCAGCCCTGGGCTACCGAAGAGAAGACGGCAGCGGCAACAACTGTAGCAAGAACGGAGAACTGCATGTTGAATTTTTACGTCTCAGAAGAGAGGGAGTAATCGATTGAATAGAGTAGTTGTGAAGATGGATCGTGGAGTAATGGATGCTGAGTTTGAAACCTCAACGATTGCGGATATAGCAGTCTTTTTATACTCAGAGGCTGAACGCTGGTTTTCCCTCGACTTTACGACGCCGACGAACCGAGGTGGAATGACTTGGCAACTTTGACTAATGTTGGCTGACCAACAACCCAAATGCTCCTGTTGGTTTAGAGAGCCCAGGGTTACATTCATGATGCACGACTAGCTACAAGTTGCATCGAGTCACAAGCCCTTGGTTCGATTTTCTTGAGTGAAGGATTGTAAGTTCTCGGGACATTCCAGGTCTGGGACCAATCCAACCGGCGATTACTTCTCATACAGGGTTGTACAAGGTCAAAATGAGGGGCTCATGGCCATCGGCATAAGCAAAGAACCGTGACCTGGCAGACGGTCTGCATAAGAAGTGGTGTGTGTAGTGACTGAGACTGACGTGAGACTAGAGTTGATAACTAACAAAAAACCCGCATGTATCAATAGCTCGGAATCTTGAAGTTGTCGGCATTTAGCACATATCCGCCGCGTACTCCGTGGAATTGAATAACATGATGAATATATGCACTATCTGCACGTATCTCCCATAGACGGCAAGGTTTCCTGGTATTTTTTCTTAGCGAAACTGTGTTTCCTGGTCGCATGATCCGTAAAACATGCCCGCCAACTACCCCTTGAAATCCTGCATTGGTTATAACATGCCGGTTCCATCCATGTCTTATTCGGGAGCTCGGCTACGTCACCGTTGAATCGTCTCAACATTGAACCATGCAACGGCCCTCTACCCCGCAGACTAAGCAATACGTCTAACCCGAATAGAGACAAGTGTGCTTTGTTATTATCAAAGACTTCCCGTTGGGTGTATAACAATTCCGGAACCGAGCTCGCTTCTGGCTGCTTGGTTAAGTAACCGCCAGGTATAGTAAGCGGGATTTGACAATTATAAACTCTCAGCGCAATTTAAGAGACAACTTATTTGGGCTAGGCACTAGTTCATAGTTGACATGAGATTGAAAATAAAAAGGATTCAATAAGACATTACAACCGAGCCTTGCTAGAGTCTCACGAACATGTTCTAGATACATAGAGTGGGCACGGCATCTTTCGCCTACCATGCACATCTCGTTTAAACACATGGTCGGCCTCGACATCACTGGCGCCCGAGCTCGTCAAGGATTGGGAACAGTGGGGGCGTTGCTGACACCGCCCATTGTTTTCACTTAAACAGGCTTGTTTATAGGTCGGAGGATGGATTTGGGGAGACAGCACTACCGCAAAGGTCAAGGGCTTCATAAACCCGGAATCTCCGGCGGTAGGCAGTCACGTTTTGAATGCTAGTTGCGGTTTGAACAAACAGCATTTCAGGGCTACTTGGCTTACTGAAAAATCAAGGAGCTTACATGGATTAGTCTGTAGTTGATCGTTGGCTTATTAAACCCGTTACGCGTCCACTTGGTCGCTGACGGGTAAGCCTGCGATGAGAGGTCATTTTTTAGGACATCTGCCAACTTTGTTGGTGAGGGAAAGGAGACAAGGTATTTCCTCCCTCTTGCAGGTCTCGTTCTCCTGGTCCATTCCCACTAGATTTGTAGTGAATCTTTGCGATGTCAATGGCTGTACCACAATCTCTAAAGCAATAGATACCAATCAAGCTGGTTATCTGTAATGGGGGATCTCTTGGAGCCAGCGCTGGATGTAATTGCGGCTTTGTCGGCGTTAGCACTGCTATCGGAGCAGTCATGTCGAAGCCAGCCGACAGGAACTCTGGAGGCGTGCAGTAGCGCCTTTTAATCTGACATGCTCAACAAACAGCCGGATTTCAAACGCAGACCGTCACATCAAAGTTCTCCGACGTAGTGTACTATGTAATGCTGTCAGCGCGATTACGACGACTGTGCCTGCAACGCGGCGATACCCATATTGAGGATCCCGAATCGGGTACATCCGCACGGCGTCTCACACATCTAACCAGCAGCGGGTGACATGTACTAGGAATTCGCTCATCCTATAAGGGCGGAGGCATAGGCGATAGTAGTGGTGAGCCCGGTGTCATTGACTTTGGCCACACTAGGATTGGATGCGGGAAACTGCCTAGGGTTAGGGTTATGTTTTGTACAAAGAGGACATGGACGGCCCAGGAATCAAACGCCCTGGTTTACTCGTAGATTACCAATCAAAATATAGCTCACGGCTTCACAATGAGATTAGTTGACCCAACTGCAACTCTCACTCTCCAGTGTTCCACAGCCGACACCTAGCCTTCACGCATGCACGACCAAGAAGATGTGAGCAACATCTACGCGCGCCGATATACGCCAAATGTAGCCAACGCATTCATCATCACTCTCCGTGCCCATATCCACCCCAGTCCTATAAGAAATATTGATCAATAATACCACGACAAAAGTCAAAGCACCGGAAACGCCACAAGAATCCCGGCGTCTCCACATGAACCCCGTCAAGTTTAGACTCGTCGACATGTCATGAGGACATTCCTCCCCAACCGCACCCATAGCCCGAGGCCGCTCTGTCCAAGCACAGCAACCACATACATCCCATGAGTAGCGACAAGCGAAGACGAAAACCCGTCAACACCGCCCCCAAGAGCGCAAAGCGGTTCCAGGTCCCCCGCGCCTGCCAACGCTGCAAGTCCCTCCGCCGAGGATGCGAAGAGCGCCGCCCCTGCGGCCGCTGCGTGCGCGCCGGCGCAGCAGATGACTGCGTCCAAGCTGGCCCGTCGGATCCGTCCCAGACGCCGTCGTCACCCTCGGGCCCGGAATGGGCGCAGGTGGCCGCCGTCGCCGGCAACCCAACCCTGGTGTCCGAGTGCGCGGCGCTCTTCTTCGAGCACTGCTTCCCTACCATACCCATCCTGACGCCCTCGTACATCAGCCGCCTGCAGCAGAAAGCCGCCGCGGACTCCGGCCCGCCCGAGGCGTCGGTCCTGCTGGCCGCCCTCTGCGCCTACGTCCTGCTGCACGTCGACGAGCCGCCGAGCGCCCTGCCACGCCGTGACGGCCACTACGGGACGTGGTTGCTAGACACGGCCTCGGCGGCGTACCGGGCGTCCTGTTGGCATCTCCCACCCTCTCTGGACACATGCCTCCTCAGCTTCTTCCTGTACGCGGGCCAGACGCGGCTGTCCAGGCATACCCAGACGCTGCTGTTCCTCCGGCAGGCCACGGCCCTGTGGGATCTAGCCAAGGACCGGCGACCGCCCGCGGGGACGGACACAGACACGGCACGGGAGCAGAGGACGCTGCTGGACAGGCTGTTCTGGGTCCTGCTGGCCTCGGAGCGCTCGCACGCCATCCGCTACGGCCGCTCCATCACGCTGCATGTGACGCCGGACGCGCCGGATCTAGACGCACACAGGGACTCGTCCCCGGGGCTCTGCATCCTGGCGGCGCTGTTCCGGCCCATCGACTCGGCCTTCATGGCCGTCGTGAACCGCGAGGCGGCTCAATCGTCGTCGGCCTCTCCCGAGATGCTGGATGCCGCGGAGCGGTGCGTCAACGCCGCGGTGCCCGCGCGGTTCCCCTTCCGGGACGTGCAAAAGGCCAACCTGCGCATCACGCAGCTCTGGCTGCGCATCGTCATCTGGCAGCTCCGCCTGCGGCTGGGCCAGCTCACCGACGTGTCGCACCGGCGCAGCCTGACGTACCGGTATCCGCTGGACGTGGCGAGGGAGCTTGTCCTCTCGACGCGCGACCTTGCCACGCGTGCCATGGCCGTCCATGGCGTCGGCCTGACGGAGAAGTTGTTTGATATCGCGTCGGCCGTGGTGGACGTCATGGCGGGCATCCCGCAGGCGCCGAGGCTGCCGCATACGGGGGTGGAAGGGCCGCCCGAGGATGATTTGGCCTATATACGCGGCTTGGTGGTGCGGCTGCCCGGCGGCAAGGACGTCTACGACGGCTTGTTGGAGAGACACCTTGAGCAAGCGCTGCAAAGTCCGCTGCAGAGCCAGGCGGTGCCAAGTCAGGGGCTTGACGAATCACCAAGATGAAGGTTGAGATGTGCGCGAGGTGAAATGGGAGACAAATCGTATCACGTTGGCAAAGAACGCCTCCCCAAGAGAAAAAATCGTGTTCTATGTATATATATGTATATATGCCTCTACACATGGTGCTTCTCCTCACCAGCATACGGATCAACGTGCGTCTTTGCAAACTTGCGCGCCGGCACGCCCCTCTCAAACAGCTCATCCAGCTCCGCATACGTCCGTCCCTTGGGCTCAGGCAATCGGAAAAAGACCCAGACCACGGAAAGCAGACAGCTGCCGGCCCAGAAAAACGCCGTCCTGGCACCCCAGTTCCACGCAGTCGAACTCAGCTGATAATTGGTCATGACGTTCACAAAGATGTTGCTCGCGTTGTACGCGGCTCTCGCCAGCACAATCGTCTTGTTCTTCAGCCGCGTGCTCGACAGCTCAGAAACGAGCGAATACGTCACCGGTCCCACGGTAAAGTCGTACACAAACGTAAAGATGATGAGCATTGCGCCAATCGCCCACACCGAGTTGTTATCCGCCGAGAAGGACAGGCAGCCCACGATGACGAGGAGCGCGAATTGGCAGCACAAACCGCCAAAGTGAATCTTGCGCCGGCCGACACGGCTCATCAGGAGCCAGGAGCCAGCTGTGCCCACCATGCCCAGCGCATACTGGCCCATGGACAGCGAGAAGCTGTTTTGGGGGTCCATGCCCGCCTGCGTGAGGAAGTAGGAGAAGTAGCCCATGAGGTTCTGCCCGCCCAGCGTCTGCACGAGCCAGATGCCGATGACGATTTCGGAGCGACGCAGGTCCACCCCCTTGAAGCAGTCGACGTAGCTGACCCCTTCTTTCAGCTGGCGCTCCTTTTCATTGGTGTGCTCGATGAGAGCCAGTGCGGCGTCGGGGTTGAATGCCGTGTGAGAAGGAGATGTGAGGCGCAAGAGAGACGCCTTTGCGGATGCGCGGTCGTTTTTGCGCATGTGCCACCAGGGGGATCTGCGTAGGCATATTAGCAGGGGGGGTTGGCAAGATCAAGCAACATGGTTTTTTGGGAGGTGTCAGATGATAATGGGGGAAGCATGGGCACATAATTTCTGTAAAGATTCGTCCTTGACAAGAAAAGGGGGGAAAGCTGTACAATGTATCCAAGCAGATATATCAAAACGACTTACTCTGGAGCAAACAACACGCCGGCAAGAATGGGAACAGGCCATACCCACTGCACCGCAAAGGGAATCCTATATGCCCACTCGTCTGTACGTCCATTGGACCCCTTGTTGACGGCTGCGGCAAAGAACTGTCCAATAACCCAGCACATGTTGATAAAGGTGGTCAGATAGGGGCGCAGCACAACTGGCGCAACCTCGGATGCGTATGCCGGTGTTATACTTTGAAACGCGCCCCAAGGAATGCCTATTATCCTCATTAGTTTAAAATAGAGAAAGAAAGAAAAGGCATATAAACGGCAATGCAAAAGGTCAAGCATATGCAAGTCACCGGCAACATTGTCATAAAAAGAAAACTTGAACTTACCACACAACACCTCCCCTGCCACCAGGACCCCGACACTTGGCGCAAATACCAACACAAACACAAATGCAATCATCAGGGCCAAAAACAGGACCATGCTCTTCTTATACCCCCATCTATCAACCGTCCACCCCGCAAGGATCAAGCCAATGATCTCGCCTGCCCTCGCGCCGTTGGACAAACCAGACTGCCAGGCAGCACTGACGGCGTATTTCTTAGTGGAAGTATTGTACGTGCCGTATTTGCGATTGAACGGCTGCGAGGCGTACAGGTTCCCCAGCAGGGCGAGGTCGTAACCTTCCATGATGAGGGTGGACGAGAGGAGGACCGACCAGAGGATGGCTTTGGGGTAGAGATGGAGGGCGGTGCCAAGGGACATGGATTGTTCCGCGATGGCGCCAGACTTGGCTTCTGCTATGAGGCTAGATTTGGGGTCATAGTTGCCATCTTGGTGATGCTTGTGGTGTTGGGGGCCCTGCACCTTGACGTCCGTGGATGATGGATCGTGAGCCGCCATGATGAAAGCTCACGGAGTAAAGGGAGAGTATACTGAGGGTAATCAGTGGACCAGAATGCAAGTCAACGCCATGGTGATGAATGTAACGTTGGCGGCAGCATCAACCCTTTTTATCCTTACTCTGGAGTGACAGCTCATGAATAGTGGAGAAGCCTCGTGGTTTTTTTTTCACTACTACGGAGTACTCTCCCGGCCCATGGGGAAATAGTCGTGTGGGGTGCATCGGCTGTTGAGAATCTCGCAGCTGAGGTTGACAACGTCTAACAGGAGACTCCGCGTGATGCGGCTGGTGACATGGAGGGAGGCGGAGTTCCACGGAGTTGTGGTGATGCTGTGGAGGCAAAGTGCGGAGTCTCCGCGCGCAAGACATCCTGTTGAGGAAATTATGAGAAATATGCTTCTATTTCGAGCGGAGAGCCCGCCATAGTGAGAGCTAAGGCCGACAAGGACGCGGAATGAATGTTCAACAACCTACCTGACCATGGTAAAAATTACAAATATATTGGATCAAGGCGCACGAGAGACGAATCTTCTTTCATCTTGGTTCAAAGCCATATTTTGCCCTCTTCCAACCTGAACCGGGCGGTCACCTTGAGCAATCGACATGGGTGCTTTCATTCGCCATGAGACGCCCTACTGGAAAGAGGCAACCTTTTACCAGGTCTATCCAGCTTCCTTCAAGGACTCCAACAATGACGGCTGGGGAGACCTTCCCGGTCTCATCTCCAAGCTGGACTACATATGCGATCTAGGCGTCGATGTGGTTTGGGTTTCGCCCATTTTCGAATCGCCCCAGAAAGACATGGGATACGATGTTTCCGACTACCAGGCCATCTACGCACCTTACGGCACGGTACAAGATGTTGACACACTCGTGAAGGAGTGCCATTCGAGGCACATGAAAGTCATCCTAGACCTGGTGGTTAACCATACCTCGTCTGAGCACCCGTGGTTCAAAGAATCGCGGTCATCAAAAAGCAACCCCAAGCGAGACTGGTACATTTGGAAACCAGCGCGGTACGACAAGAATGGCATCAGACACCCTCCTACCAATTGGCGAGGGTACTTTGCAAGCTCAACCTGGACATGGGACGAGACAACGCAGGAGTACTACCTCCATTTGTATGCCGCCGATCAGCCGGACCTCAACTGGGAAAATAAGGAGTGTCGAGAGGCCATCTATGACGAAACCATGCGCTTTTGGCTTGATCGCGGGGTTGACGGATTCCGCATCGACACGGTGAACAAGTATTCGAAGCGACAAGATTTTGTCGATGCGCCGATTACGGATCCTAGTTCTGATCATCAACCAGCCCCGGAGATGTGGTGTAATGGCCCTAGAATACACGAGTTCATCAAGGAGATGAATCGCAAGGTATTGGCTCCATACAATGCCGTTTCTGTGGGAGAGCTATCCTTGACTCCGCACCCGTCTCAGGTTGTCCCATATGTGTCCGCCGCGGCTAAAGAACTCGACATGGTTTTTGAGTTTTCCGTGATCCGTCTTGGAACGGGCGATGGTTTCGGTGCAAAATATATCTACAACCCATACCCTCTCACCAAACTCAAGGACCTCACACAAACATGGCAGTCGTTTATCGAGGGCACAGATGCTTGGGCAACTGCCTTTATAGAAAACCATGACAACGGCCGAGCCATATCGCGATTTGGAAATGCTTCCACTCGCGAAAAGTGGCTATCGTCTGGCAAGACCATTGCTCTATGGCAAGCCACTCTCACTGGGTCGCTTTTCATTTACCAAGGGCAAGAGATTGGCATGGTGAATATGCCTAGGGCCTGGGGCATCGAAGAATACAAGGATATCGAGAGTCGCAACTTTTACGCCGAGGCAGCCGCGTCGGGTAGTGACGAAAGGGCGCGAGACACCATCAAGGGTCTGCAGATTTTGGCAAGAGACCACTCCAGAATCCCCTTTCAATGGGACAGCTCACGCCATGCTGGATTCACCGACAGCGGGAGGCCTTGGATGCGAGTGCACGACAATTACCAGTCGGTCAATGCCTCGCAGCAAATTGAAGACCCGGAGTCGATCCTAAACTTTTACAAGGCCGTGTTGAAGATGAGGAAGGAGTATCGCGATATCTTCATCCACGGAACCTTCCAGCTGATTGACGCAGAAGACGAGAAGATTTTTTCATATGTCAAAACATCTAGCCAGCGGGTCAATGAGCGCGGACATCTTGCAAAGGCAGTTGTAGTGCTGAATATGAGCGACGAAGAACATGAATGTCCCAGTCTACGAGAGTCGCCGAAGGCCGGCGAGGACGAGTGGCGGTGTTTGATCAGTACAGAAACAGGTATTGCGGGGAGCAAAGCGGATAGATGCTCATCGATCGGTGCTTGGCATGGGCGCGTGTATGTCAATTTTAGCTATTATCAATAAGTTAGTGATCTCAGAGTTGAGACTTCGGGTTAGGCGGCCTGTATTTCGCCTCAAATCCTTCGTCGATTCACATTGTGTGTTTCGGGAGCCTCCCTCGTGACGTCTCATACCCCAGGCCGCAGATTCGTGAAGGGGTCTAGATGCACAGGCACTGGCCCTGAAGTTTGGAGCTAACATTGAATGCGCCCTTCAGCCACAAGACAGCCGGGCAGCTAGCTTGATCCTTCGTTGTGGGTTGGCTCCATCTTGTTTTCCCAGAAGCTTCCCCAGATGCCCGGGAGGTTGGTTTGATCCGGCCCACTAGCCCGATGTGAGTTCGACGGCTAGACGGCGTTTGGCAGTCATATCCGACGGCATTTCTTATTGGCCCAGCGCGTTGATGGATGGTTACTGGCAAAGCCAGCAGCATTGGCTGTTGTGTTGTTCAGTAGAAGCAATCAATGGAATCGTGTGGGAGCGGCCACCCGTGTAGGAACGGCTAGTTCTTTCGAAGAACTTGTTTCGAATAAACTGGCAAAGCCCGTGAGGAGCCGTGTGGTGAGGCAGTTGGCAATCTGAGATTTTGATTCCGGAAATTCGCTGATGATTCGTTGGCATGCTGCCACCGCGGCTGAAGCCACCGGCTGCCACGGGCTGCCACTCAGGCCATCTTCAATTATTCGGTTGGTCAATAGCACCGCTGTTTGGCAGGGACCATGAATCGCGCAAGAGCCATTTGACGCCAATAGCTCGCCCGGAGTAAAGTCAGCCATTTGAAATACTACCAGCATTTGCCGATGCCGCGCCGCCACTGCAGGTTGGTACCCCTGGGGCGCCAACTTGGTAACCTGGTTGCTGGGTTTGCTGGTGTTTTGTTGGCCTGCTCTCCGTATGTACGGAGTACTCGGCAGCCTTGGGCACTGACCGCGTGTGGCAATTTACTTCCTGGAAGCGTCATAGCTCATGGCTGCCCCTAGCAAACCAAGACAGCCGATGTTAGATGTTAGTTAAATGTCAGATGTTAGACGTTGGACGTTGGACGCCGTACGTTGGATCTCTGCGCTTCGGAAATCACTCCCGAGCCAAACCCGACCGATGACTTTGTGTCGGGTTTGCCTGAGAATTTGACAAATGACGCGGGTACAAAAGAAAAGGCAAGCCGGGCGAAGACGGGCGAGACGAAAGATTCCAGTTCCCAGAGAGCCAGAATCACCACGAAAATATCAACGAGCCAGACGCGAGGTTCATATTCGATATCCAGGTAAATCCAGAGTAAAACGGGTCGATGGCTGGGCACAGAGCAAGGTGCAGAAGCGGGGCATGCTTGGAGTTGAGAGAAGGTCACTTGGTCTAGAGCGAGGAAGGAACGAGCCTGTTCATGCCTGTCCAACTCCCAACTCTTTGTCGCAGCACCATCTTTCATCTATCTCCCATCTCTCATCTCCCGTCTCCAGTGTCCCCTCTGCCGTCTTCCATTGCTTCCATGCAATATCCTACCTTTTTGTTGGCCGTCCCTGTCTGCAAACATTAAAGTTGGCCGGTGGCTGAGCTGGCTTCTTCTCTCGTGGGCACCCAAGCAAGTATGTAGTAATGGTGGCACATCTCCACAAACCCAATGCCATGTCTCGCTGGCCCTGGCATCTTGAATACTAACCCTGCTGAAATGAACTGTCAGTTTTTTGCGACGCTGCCAAATTGCGGTGATGCCACTGCCGACCAACTTCGCACTCACCCAACCTGCATTAGTCAGTTTTTTAAAATGGTGCCGTTACACATGGGCAAGGTTTTGGACCCAGCCTGTCTTGACATGCCCCTGTCGTGTGGCTAGCCGAGTTCTGTGCGTTGACATGAGCTCGCTTTGGCACCCGGGGAAGCTGGGGATAGCTGCGGGATCTTCATCTGAAGCCGCAACTTCGCTCGTTGAACAAGGCGTGCAACGACAATGGATCCCCAGCCGCATTTCGAGTTTGACGTCCAGACGGAGCAAGAGACGTGATGCTGTTCCACACCTCGTACTCCGTACAGCACACTGGTCCCCTCCGAAGACATTCCAGATACGCAGTAAAATTAGTCCCAAACAGAAACAAAACCAGTCTCGACCACTGATCGTACACGTCAAATTCTGGTCAATTCTCGGCCCCATTTCGATATTGGACCCCCGCCCATCCGAGGCTACATTCTAAGTCATCAGCTGGGATCGCACCGGCGAAATGGTGGCGCAAGCCAGGGTCGGTTCAGGTGCGCCGCCGACTGGTTAAAGTCTTCAAGGCTCCAGAGGGTGGCGAGAAAGGCGCTGACCACTTCCATGGTGAACGGTTGAACGGCAAACGGATACTCCGCAGATAGAGCTCAAAGAGCAAACCAGAGTCAAGTGGGAAAGCATGGGTAACACAAGCAGCCAAAGCTGTGGCCGGCGGGTATCCGTGTGTTTTATTAATTGACCAACTCTACCAACATACCGGCAACGACTGCTACTAATGCTTCCCATCTCACATCATATGTGTCTCGCTTTTGTGCATCATTGATTCCGGTGCAGACTCTTCGCCACATGCCTGGTTGACGGGGGCTTTGCGGCGGCCAAGCTGCGAGGCTTTCTTGTCCCTTTAATTATCCCCCTTGGGCATCCTTTTGCTTCCAACCGCCCAGCATCTCGAGCATGCTTGTTCTGCCAGACCGTGGTGGAAACTTGGCAGACGAAACGACAGCTTCTGCTACCAACGAGGAATACCGACTGCATAATCGCCGTACGCCGTATAGCTCACCAACAACAAACCGCCAAACTACTGTATACAAGTCGACGGAAACCAACTTTCACCGCTAAGCCCAAGTATGCAACTTCTCCTCGTGTCATGGGTTATTCAGGCAACCCGGGAACTGGTCCCGTAGACCATGGTGATGCGATTTATGCCATAGTGGCATTTGTGGCACTGGCCCTTTATAATGCCATTGAGCTCAACGTCATCGTCTTTTCCTCGTTTCGACGATTCAGGGGTCTTTACTTCTGGAGCTTTCTGGCCGCCACTAATGGTATTATACCACACTCGATCGGTTTCCTCGTGAAAAATGTCATCGGGTCGCACAATTATGGCATATACATTACCCTCGTCGCCATCGGCTGGGTACCAATGGTTACCGGTCAATCATTGGTCCTTTACTCTCGACTTCATTTAATATTCTGGAACCAACTCTATCTTCGGCTGGTCCTTGGCATGATTATCGTCAATGCCTTTATCCTCCATACACCCATTATTATTCTGATGTACGGGTCAAACAGGTCGCCCAATAACTCGTGGGTGCATCCCTACCTCATTTACGAAAAGATCCAAGTCACCGTGTTCTTCCTACAAGAACTCATAATATCGGCGATATATATCAAATGTTGCTTTTCATTTTTCGATGTTCAAGACAGCTTATATGGGGACGGGGTGCGCAGGATGCGCCGCCACTTGTTGTGGGTCAATATTCTCGTTATTCTTCTTGATATCCCCATTCTGTGTCTGGAGTACGCGGATTACTACGACATGCAAACGGCATACAAGGCATTCGTGTATAGCGTCAAGTTGAAGTTGGAGTTTAGGATATTGAATAGGTTGGTGGAAATGACAAACGAGAGGAACAGCGTGGATCCGTTCCGGGATAGCTCGAGCTTGCAGATTGAGCATGTATCCTCGGCGTCTACGGCGTGTCAATCCCGAGGTGGCAATGTATGATGATGTATGACTATCTAAGCATGTTAGAGCAGTGTTTGTGTGTTCGACTAGGGTGTGAGCGTGAGCACCAGCAACACATGCCATCCACCGAGTTCATTGACAGTCGATCTTGTCCGCATTTGTGCCAATGTTTTAAATTATGATGGGAGATTTATTGTGACAAGAACTATATGAAACGTGACACTGGCTTCACATATCTTTAGAGGGTTTGTAAAGCCGCACGCTTATTAGCATACAACATTGCAAGTCTAGTTATGTTACAGGAGGACCACATTGATTAGCCACCCTTTGTGTGTTTCAAAGGCTTTTTTGCATAGCACGAGATTCTCTATTTAAAATTGAACCGACTATATTGCGTCTGGCTCCATTGACACATCTTATTTCCTGCGGCTAGCGTGGCGGCTAGTATCGATTCATTGCGGGAACTTGCCGAAACACCATTTTGCCACTATCCCAACATGGCTACCCTACTACTTACCTTGGTCTAGCTCTTCAATGTTGCTAACCCAGATTTCCAAAGAAGCATCTGATATGTATAGCTTGTTTCTAATTCTTTCCGGGAAGACGAAGATACAAATGCAATATGAGCATGGCTTCATCAGAGAAATATTTGAGTTTAAGAGCGGTATGGATTGAGTATTGTGCATTTCCTCTCATATTTTGCGGTCCAATAGGAACATACCAGCCTTTTTATTCATATCCTAACCATGGCTCGGACACATCTCCTTGTCTTTCTCACAAGTATTCCACGCCATCTCATCGCCCTTCTCTCAAGCACATGAAAGATGTAATACCCGGACTGAGGTTCTTGTCCGCCACGATGGAACTGAAACGAACAGAATAGCTATTACAATCTATAGCATTGCAGCAGAGGCAAACAGCCATGATGCGAAGCTAAGAAACCCGCGCCCATCCTTCAAACAAAGTGCACTCGCGCGCCAAACCAGGTTCCTGCACATACAAAGTTCTGTGCCAACGTTCAAACCTAGATGGCCAGAACAACCGCACCCAAAGCACCGAGGATGACGGCCCCCTTTCTGCCCGCACCAGAGGTGACGACGGGAGGCCCAGTGGCACCGGCAGTACCGTTGGCCGAAGGCGCGGTGCCCGTCAGAGTGCCTACAGCAGTGGAAGAAGCAGACGGCGCGCTGACAGGCTCGGCCCCAGACGTATCTGTAGTCTCAGAAAGGGTCGATGCCGGAGTCGAGGTTGGCCGCGCAGGCAGGGTAGCCGTCCTGGTGCTTGGCGGAGGAAGAACGCTCAAGGCCTGCGTTCTTGGCGATGAAGCCAGGCTGTCATGGATGAGAGTTGAACGCGCAACTGCCGTACTTGAACGGGGGCGGGGGGTTGTGAATGAGACAAGTCGACAACGATGAAAAGTTGCGGAACCATGAGTCCAAAATGACACCATTCATGAAAACTAGACAAATGGATATTTCACTAGGCTACTGCTGAGTTTGCCCGCCCATTCAGCCAAGGTTCGAAAAAAGCCGGGCGTATAAGACGCAAATTACCCAGTGTTCGGGATATACAACAAGGTCTCCATGTACGCAAATAGTAATACAGACTTTGTGGAGCGATAGTCGGGTGGCTTACATGTTATCCCTGACAGCATAACGGCTTACGACGTCGCTGTGTATAACTAGGGCTTGAGTTGGTGCGCCTACTTGGCCATTGTAATTTTTCTCATGAGCAAGTTTGGGGGCCGTCATGAGCTAGATACCTACCAATCCGAGTACAAGACGATCTATCGAAGCCTGCGAAGGACCTACAGTGTCACAAGAAACAAACAAGACATTTATACAAAACTGAAAGGGTTGCAGGTGTTTGGTACTGGTTCAAGAAGTGTACTGCCCACAAACCAGCACAATCTCATAGACTATAATCACCATGAGCCATGGCAGAACCAACCCTAAACATGGTGATTTATTCCACCAATGAAGCAATCAATGGACCGTATCCGGAGTGTGTCTTCTCACGTCACCATCCAAAGACCAGAACCCCCTCGAGCCCAAGAAGGCGGGCGGCCACTAAGAAGGCGATCTAGTCAAGCAGCACCGACACAGGCGGTTACATGTATAAGCCGCAGACGACATGAGGTGTATCAGGGAGCTGTCAAGTTGTCCCGACGCAGATACTAGGTTACAAAGGGCACGAGCGATGCAAATCCACGTTGCACTGCATCGCCATCCATGGTCAACCCCGGTCTCGAGCGGCATTGACGAGAGTGAACCGGGGATACCCAATCCTTTGGATCTTGCTCGAGTTTCATCTCCCAGAAGACATCTCACCTTCGACAAGCGGCTGGTCGCAACGCCGAACACCGCCAATATACCCCCGGCACGCCAAGCAAACGAGTCAAGATGGCTCTCGGCACACAGAAGCAGAGCCCTAGGCATCGCATAATCCTTGGACTCATGGCATTTGGCCCGAAGCCAGAATTCGGCGCACGGATAACCCAGCTTGGCGCGTTCAACGAGAACTGCGCCGAAAAGGTCCTAGCATCAGTAGAGACCAGTCTCGCGGAGCTGGACACCGATTCTGTCGATGTGAGGGCATGTACAACATCATCACGCGCAACATCGACACCGAGGTCTCCGCGGCCTGCCGCAGATACGGGCTCGGCATTGCCGCGTACAACGCCGTCGGCGGGGGTCTCTTCTCCGGCAACATCAGGCAGGGTGTCACGCCGGAAGACGGCCGACTATTGGTATGGAGATGTTGCGTTTACGTATGGCTCGATTCATGAGCTCTTGGGCCGGGTGCAAACTGATGAGCCGGAGAGTCGTCACCGCCGTCTTTTTATCCTTCAAGTCGGTCACGGTGCTCTTTCGAAAAATGTTTCTGTTTGCGTTGGAAGGGGGATTCTTGTTGTGGAATCAACGCGCGTCATATTTCACGATGTGTCCAGTGCTCCAAGATGCATATGTGCAAAGTTCTGCCGCCAGTTTAATCATCAGCAATGCCGGTTTGAACTCCGAATGTCTCTCGGCAGAAAACGCCCCTCTGGACTCAATGTCCAGGTTATCATCGTGAATAAAATAAACAGTCACGTCGCGTCCCTCAAAACTCCAACATGCACAACAAACCCATCCCTCCCCAAACCGCCCAACAACTCCCCCTTCACCCTCCAAACACGAAACCTGTCCATAAACGCACTCAACCACAGTCTAAAAACCTCGTCATTCCTCAACTGCTGCGCAACAACGCACACACACGCCGCCCCGTCCCCGCCGTCATCGACCTCCCTCCCCCTCAGGGCACACACATCCACGCACGTCTGCACAAACGGCCCCGCCAGCGCATAATTGTACACGCAGTCCGCCGCGAGCACCACATCAAACGAAGAACCCGGCGCCGCAAGCCCCGGCGTCACCTCGTCCTGCTCCCAGTCCAGCGGCCGAAAGTGCACATCCCCCCCCGCCTGCACGGATTTAGCCCCGGATCTCGACCTTCCCACGGGCGCCCGATTCGCAGACAAGTTCCGCTCCGCGAGTTTCCGCACATAGCCCTGGTCGGACAGCACGTAGCGCGCTATCCTCGGCGCCACGGCGAGCGCGTTGAGCGGCGAGATGCCGCATCCCAGCTCGAGGACGGTGGACGACGGCGCGAGGATGCCGCTCGTGAAGAGGGGGTTTGCCGGCGCCGACAGCCACTCGGCGAAGAGGGGCGCGACTTTCCAGAGCACTGCGAGTGGTATTAGTTGATTTGCCATCCGTGGGCGCGACGCGATGGCACGGCCAGGTCTGCGGCTCGGGGGACACGTACCGGCGCCCGTTGTGCCGCCGGCCCTCGTGGACCCCAGCACCGTTGGGCTCTGGTGGATAGTCAGATCTCTGTCGGCGAGAGTGATTTCGAGACTGGTGGCCTTGGGGTCGATGAAGCCCAGGTTCTGGGAGGGAATGGCATTCGAGTATAAGAGGAATGTCTCTGGGGAGGCGAGGCGGTGGGGGTTAGCTGAAGCCCGGGAGGGGGGACGACTGGAGACGAACCTTCGTCTGCGTCTTTGATTTCCTCCTCAAGGAAGGGGAGGAGGTCCTCGAAGGGCATCGTGGCATTTCTCAAGGCTTCCGCTGAGACATGTCGTCAGGTCGAGGTGATGATGGCCCGTGAGAATCTGAGGGGTCAGGTCGACGGTTAAATTCTCAGTCACGTCAAGCGCCCCACTGCTTCAGCTGCGCTGATTGATAAGAAAAGAAAGGCCCATACAGCTGGGATGAAGCTGTTAAAGGTTGGCAAAAAGATGCATGTGCCCCGGAATTTCACCAGTCATACATGCTTTCACTTGACTGCGAGTGCACAGTGAGACGTGCCGATTCACGCCCTTGGGTAATCGACAACACGTGTGGTCCTAGCGTAATTTCATAAAAAGACATGGCACTGTTGTTCATAATAATAAAAAGGAAATGATGAGAGGCATCTGACATCTTCTGTGCTTCCAATGCATCCATGCAATTGCGTATCCCGCGCTTTCCATACACCGTTTCGTTCCCGCTCTCGCCAACTACACCAACCCATCGTACAAGGACAAGGCTGACACAATCGTCTCATCGCGTTTGCTCCCCTCCTTGAATTCTTGCATATCCAAAGACCCGTTCTCGTCCTTGTCCATCATGCGGAAAATCTTGCGTACACGCTTCTCTGGGGTATCTTCGTCTTCGGGCAGTTTGACCATGGAGCCGACCTAAATGGTGTCAGAAACGCCTCTTTACGCCAGCAGCGTGCACTGTCCACATTACCATCTTGTAGATTGCCTCTACGATTTGTAGCATCTCGTCATAACTAATCTTGCCGTCGCCGTCTATGTCGTATAGCTGGAATGCCCAATCTAGTTTGTCTTCCATCTTTCCCCGGCTGGTAACACTCAAGGCACAGATGAACTCTTTAAAGTCAATGCTTCCAGACTTGTCGCTGTCGAAAACGTTGAAGACGTAGTCGGCAAACGAGGTGGGGTCGCCGAATGGGAAGAATTGCCGGTAAATCTTCTGGAACTCCTCCTTGCTCAGCATGCCCGAGGGGCAGTCCTTCAGGAAGCCTGAGCCTGGTATTAGTGATGGGTCTCAAGCTATCGAATCATGTCTCACGTCCGCAGGCAGACACGCCCATGGCTGTGCATAACGTGGCACGCAGCCGCGGCATCAAAGTCAAGGTCGCGGGGGAGGGGGAGGGGCAGTTCCGTCTGTACGCACCCTTGTACCACTGCTGAAGCTCCTTCTTGTCAAAGTGCGTCGAGTTCTGGAGCTCGGTGAGCTGCTCCTGCGAGAGCTTCGACTGCCTGTAGGCCGGAGGACATGGTTAGCTCGTGTGATGGGTCGAGTGCGTGTTGGGCGGCGGATGTTTCGGCAACAGATGGGCTGCCAAGACAGTTTCGGCATGAAAAAGGGTGCTAACGCTCCATGGCAAATAGAAACAGGCAATAGCCAGGAAGTAGCTGGAGATGGCTTACGATTTGCCCATAGTTCTCTAGATGTGCGTCGCGTTGTGTATGTGTTGTTTGTCGTCGCGATACAAGTGGCGGGGTCGAGGAGCGACTGGCGCCGGTGACTGCTGGCGCAACGGCAGACGGTGTATGCCGTTGTTCGGACGGAGCAAGCGACCCTCGGGGAGATGCGTCGAGATGTGTAGGCGCGAAGACTTGGCCGGGGCGAGGGCACGTTGGGCGTGAGGGAGGGAGAGAGAGCGTTGTCGGCTTAATCGGCGTGTTGGAATTCGGAAATCAGGGCGACGGCGCGGAGGAGGATGAATTGCGGTAGCGTTTGGGCGCGGGGAAGGGGGTATGAAGAGACGACGTCGTGTAGGGGATATGTGAGGACGCTCTTTGCATACAAATAGACAGTTGGAGAAGTGTAGAAAGTGATCAGCGATGTGTAGGAATGCCAAGGGCAGAGGTGAGTAAATCTACTAAGTACTTAGAGGCGAGGGCGTTAAGTGTCCATGTCGGAGAAGGGACTGGAAACATGCCTGGCCGCAGTGGACGAGGGAGGAGGCGGGCAGGGGCCATGCATTGCTGGTAGCGAGTCGCACAGCGAATTGACATTCAACGTCAGAACAAGGCACGAACAAGCACCTCGCCGGCGGGCGGCTCTAGAATGTCACGCGGCGAATCAATGGCGCTGCCCCGGCTGGAAGGGTGGGGACGGGGCCCGTGGGAGCTTGAGAGTCTGCAGACTGACTGACCTCTTTGACTTTTACTGTTGTTTCTCCAGTTCCTCAGATAAATACAAGCTGTATGCAGGTTGGCCCGGGCAGGGAGATGGATGGCCTCCCTTCACAAAGAGCTGCACAAGTGTTATGCGTCTGTGTCGTTGCGTTTCGCATCCTAGCACATGGATGTTTCAGCCTGTGAAACACGCCCGTGATGATAAATCTCCCACTGGACTTTGTGCGGCAAGCTAGCACAGCCGGCTTTGTATGACGGAACCAACCTACTGTAGTCGGTGAGAAGTGTCCAATTCAAGAGGCAGCCGAAGCCGATTCGACGACTAGGCCATCGCGATGACGCGGAACGTTCAACACAGACCGAGAACACAGGGCTTCCGCAGGCAGGACTCAGCTGAAGGAAGGCACGACTGCGCCAGGCGGCTCTTGCCTCGCCACCAGGCCGCCACTTGAAAGGTTCAATGTTTGATGGCCGTAACCGTGGGACCGTCATGCCTTTCAAGCTCGCGCGTGAGCCGCATCTGCGTCCATCAATCGATGTCGCCATCTGCATCTCCAACTTTGTCCACCTGCAACCAGACACATCCACCACATCCGCCCGTCACAACCCGGCTCTCCCTGTCGCCAGCATGTTCCTGTCTGCCGCACAGCAACGAGCCGCCCAAGATTACCGAACTCGACGCCGATCCGGCCGCAGATATCAAACCCCAAGATGACAAACCATCATTGGCCTCGATTTCCCCAGCCCATCTCCACCCTCAAGTCCAATCTGACGATGCGCATGTGCATCGAAGTCTTGCACAGCCCCCTCCATCGCGCTCAGCCCACTTGACCCTAAGCGAACATGGCCTCAGCTCAATCCGGTAGGTCCAGGAAACATGTCAGCGGAAAGGCTAAGTGCAGATCATATTAAAATACTCTGTCTTGTGCTAGTATTGTCTGCTCTTTTTCCATTTTAACTGCAAATCATTAGCAGTTGAGGCAGCGTGCCCTATCAAGGCAGCGTGTAGCCCTAGTCTCGCTCAAATCTTCAAATGATACAATTGACGCATCATTACACCGCCACAAACGACATCACAGCCATATTCCAAGCAAATGGCAGTTCCTTTGGCATCCTCGACAGATGACATTCCGCAGCCTCTACCACGACTGGTATTTCCTTTCCTCGACCACAAAAGTCTCATAACAACGCCTGCAAGCCACGGAATCGGCGGAAAATGCGCCCAGGCCCCTTCCATATACGTCATGTCGTGAAAGATAGTCACCAATGGCGCAAGCTCCGTCCACAGCGCCGTTCAACGCTTCTACAACCAAAGATCAGGTCAAAGATCCAAACCAAACCACCCAATCACACTTGTCCTCGTACTTGGCCAGACCAACAAACAGATCAATCTCATTATGCAAATAACTCTGAAAGCAGGCATAAACCCATCCATAATGCCCTGTAATTTCTCCAAGCAAGCACACCATCCAGATAGCTCTAGTACGTGACAAGGCCATCGTGAAACTCGGCATGTTCAGCCACGTTCCCGTTCACCAAGCCTGGCACACCCGTTTTGACCTCCTCGCCGTTGTGGTGGCCCTCCAGCATCAGCGCCCACTGGTACGCAAAGTTGGCAAAGTCGGCCTTGTCCCGAGCCGTACCATCGGCGGACACATTGACGGCTTGGTTGTAGACGGTATTGGCGCCGCGGGGGATGCAAGCTGGGTATTTGAAGCCGGTACCTCAACGAGAAATGAATTAGTTACATTTCCAATATGTTAGCTAAGTAGGCTAATTAAATGCTCGAAGCCTCCACAGCTGGCTGAGTCCCAAGCCATATCAGCCGCTACAACACGCACTCGTCCACGCGCTTCGGATCGCCTTGAATGCCGAACCCGCCAGTTTCATTCATTTGGCAACACGAACCGTTTCGCAAGCTCAAGACAGAATCAAAATCCAGCCAGCCAGCCGAGCCAAGCTGTTATGTTTGTCCTAATACTAAATTGGCTTTGCTCCAATAGTGCAATTGGACTTGACGGCTCGAGCCTGGTGAAATACCCGTCTGTGTGTGTTGACGACGAATTCACCTGGCGCCAGTGACCTCCGTCTACCAACATCAAAATTCCGTACTGTGACGAATCCACGCCCACGGCGGTAGGAACAGGCACCAAGAAATCTCAGCCGGCTCATACGTAAATACTCCATTCAGCGTAGCTAATGCAACAGTTAATGTGCGCCATACACATGCCCAGTCAGCCATCATGATATCTAACCCAGCCACCCACCAAGTACTCCCAGCCAAGAGAGGGCCAAACGAAAAACGAACCAAGTCCCGCCGTATATTACACCTCCAGCGTGAACGCCATGCCATCATCACGCTCCAACCAGAGACGAAACACAAAAACACTCGCACTTATCCAACCACGGCCTTCATGCTCAGGCTCTCCAAGAAGCCGCCCAGGCCCTCCTTCCTGACTTCCACGGCGCAGTGCTCAAAGCTGTCGATCCGCACCCGCGCGTTTGTCTCCGACACCACCTCCTGGAACGCGCTGCCAAATTTGTTAAGGCCGTAGCCCTTGTCGGGTTCTGCGTCGGCGTCATCATCATCCCCCGAGTCCTGGTCCAAACCAGAGTCGGAAGCCTCCGACTCTGTCTCCAACTCATCTTCCTCGTCGTCCTCTTGACCGGCGGCGCGTTTTGCCGCGCGCTTCTCTTCCCTGATCTTCTCCTTTGCCAGGCGTGCGGCCTCCTTTCTCTTGGCCTTGGCCTCCCTTTCCGCTCGTCGCCTTTTCGCTGCCTCGCGGTTGAGGAATGCCGTGTCTGGCCCGCCCCCTCCCCCCGTGCCAACTACAACGTAAACACTGCGCTTCTCGTTTAGACTAGCGACCACGAGGGGTGTTCCTCGTCCGCCGTGAGAAAGTTTTCCGTGGGCTTCTCGCTCCTGCTCTGCGAGCGCTTCTCCTATCCACAAGGATAGCTTCGTTAGAGCAGCCGGATGCGTGAACAGGGCCACGTCTGGGCCGTCCTTGACAACGCACATCCGGAATGCCCGCAGGTGTTTGATCTGTTTCTTGTTAATGAGCGAGGTTCCCGTTCGATATATGGCGCGGTGCAGGAATTGTGCTGTAGGAAGGCCGGCTTTGAGAGAATCGATGCTGTTGGCCGCACGTTAGCGAATGTCATAACCGATAGGGGCGGGCTGAGGGGGAACATACTCTTCCAATGCGTCGTAGGCTTCCCAGAACCGTCCAACCCATTCTTCCGCTTGGGCGGCAAATTCTACTTCGTCCTCTGCATCATGGGTAAGTTGGCTAGTTGGCATGGCGACTTCCGATGTTTGCACATGTTTACCAACTTCCAGCAGGGCACCAATGACAACGCCAACGTCTTGAGCGCTGAGCGTTGCTCTCCAGCCCCAGCTTCGTACAAATCCCCATCCGTCCTTGGCACCAGCCCGGTCCTTGTCGTCAGTATCTACCGCCGGTACCATCTCGTCTAGGTTATATAGGGAGCCGTATTTTAAGAGTTTCGCCCGCAGCTCGCGCTTCAGCATCATGTCCATGTGCGTGTAGCTCTGTTTACATTGTGCCAAGCTCACACCCATCTTGGCCAACAATTTGTGGAGTCGTTTGATTCCCGTCTCGCTCCAGGTTTTGAGACGAGAAAATAGATATGGCGAATGTAGCATACTGTCGTATAGACTCCAGTGGCGGATAAGAAGGAATCGAGGCTCAGGGGAAAGCCGGATACCAGTGTCTTCAGGATTTCTAGCTGTTGTTGGAATCACACCGGCGTTCTCTGGCGCGACCCGACCGTTGGTAACTTCGGGCGGGTTAAGACGTCTGACTTCGTCTCGGAGCAGTTGGCGTAATCTTGCTCCTCGAACACCCATCCAGCCCGACGGTCTGCTGCTGTCATTGGAGCGTATAGGTGCTGCGGTGCCAGCCGATGACCGGCCGTAAAGCTCCATAGATGTAACCCCAACAATCGTTAGCCAGAGGAGATCGTTGTCATCTCTACCCAACTCCGACGCCAACGAGTACATCATTGACGAAATAGGTTCTGCAAACGATGAGCCCATTCTATAATAGCTGTGAAGAATAGCCTCCTTTTCTTGGCGCAGTCGCAACAAGCGTCTTCGTAAAGCTCGTGCGGATGGCGGTGGAGGCTCTTGTGCGGCGGATGGCGGCTCAATGGCATCGCTCGATAGTCCGGCTTCGGGGCCTCGTAGGGAAACAAGCCCTCTATACGTAGGTCGGCGCGGTGAATCGGCTATTGGACTCGACTATCTTGTGTTAGTTCACGGTCAAGGTGGCGTGCTCAATTGTGCCCTACAGAGTTGCTTCGTCGCCGTTGATGTGGTCGGTCCTCGTCGTCAGTCGACTCATCTTCATACCCGTCGGACCAGCTCTTTCTTTTCTGTCCTGCACGTGGAAGTTCCGGGTCCAAGCTACCGTCATTATCATCGTCGTCGTCGTTGTCGTCGTCATCTGTGAGACCTACCGCCTCTTGGTCGTGATCAATATCTGGCATATCGACCAAGGCCAGGTACGCGTCGCGTTCCTTTTCCATCGCTTCTTCGATATCACCGTCATCAAATACCACAATGCCGCCTTTCCCAGATTTATATGCACGCTCAACTTGGCCGCCGGATATACCAACCGGAGTACGTGACTGGTAAGAACTCTGTGCCTCGGAAGTAGCCTCTAGCGGAAAGCCACCAAAGACGTTGCCCAGATTCCATGGGCGGCGGGCATCAATAACCCAAACCTCGACCCCGCTGTACGGCGCTTCCGCGCCATCTTGCTCCAGACCAAGAAGCGGGCCGAGGTCTACCATGCCTCCAACCCCCAAGCATACCACTACACCTCCGCTGCCACCCTGGCTTTCCATCATGGGCATGACGAGCTCCTTTCCGGCTTTTTCGAGGTCGCCGTAGCCAGCAACGGGTTGAATCTTGTGCGGTATGTAATCATGTTTGAGCAGTCGGGTCAGGATGCGGCAACCGCAGAGAGCATCAGGTTCGAGGGCTACGAGAATGAGGACTGGCGGTGACGTTGGGTGGCGAGTGGTTTGCAGGTGCGTGTAGAGCTTCGATATTAGCGACCGTGGCAGATACATGGCTGCAGAGTCTACACAGAGGTCGGGATCCGTGCGCTTGCGAAGGCATGAAGCATGGGAAGAGGCCCCGGAGCTGCTGTAGCGATGAAAATGGCAGTTCGGCTGGGTTGACGCGACTCGTATGGATGCGCGTTAAGTGCTGCTGCTTAACGGGCGCTGCAACGGCTTTAATCGCTGTCGATATTGGATCTAAAATGTGTATGAGGGGGTGAAGTGCCGAGAAGAGGTCATGCCAGCCGCTCAATCGCGCGTTTGGGGTGCAGGAACGAGGTTGTCGACGTCAGTAGAAAATGGACAGCCAATCGACACAATGAAAGTGTTTATGGAACGCGATGGTGAACGCGCCTGCTACTTCAGCACGCGACTAGGCGTTAGTGGCGGGAGAGGCGGGGCCGACCCGAACGGGCAAGGATGTAGTTAGTATGTGGGGCGAGGGGGTACAGTGGTGGGAGACAGGAAGCAGGCAAGCTGGTAAGAGCAAGAAACCAAGAAGCAGGCAAGCGCGACTGAGGAAGGAAGCCACCGCCGCCGCCGCCGTCACAACATGGAAGCGCAAACTCGTCCAGCAACCATGTCTCAGCCACCGAGGTCTATTATACGGAGCAAGCAGCCTTTGAAGTTGTCAAAGCCTCGGTGCATCTGTTCTACTACTTGGCGCCATGCTCCCGTTCAAGCCACTGCGCCCTCAGCCACCATGGAGATGTTGCCATCGGCGTGAATGCAATGACGTTTCGTTGACATGTGGCACTTTGTTTCTAGACACTCTCGTACCGGGAGCCCGCACTCGCCAAGAGACGTTGGATGCATATCGACTCTCCTTTGCTCAGTTGCCCAGTGCGTCTCTGGCGTTGCGGCTTTAGAGACTGCGATGCTGCTGGCCCTGTGGCGGTCGCTTCTTTTGCCCCTTGACCGAGAAAAGATTGTGACTAAAGTCTTAACCCTCAATCTGCGCATGGTTTGAGCACAAGTACGCAACTGACTCAACCTGAAGCTTGACATGTTTAGGCCAGGCGGGCATGTTATTGCACTGCAATTTGAGCATATACGGCGTGCAAGAATCATGGCATTAACAGACAACGACGTCGGCCCTGAAGCTGAAACATTTTTTTGAAATCAGCCTGCACCAACAGAGTTGTTCCAGGCCAAGGTACTTTTAATGCAACAGCCAGCCTCTCAGCCCGCTCATGACGTGAATAGAACCAGACGATCAACGCGGGATGGCCATTGGGCAGCAGATCAAAAGCATGCGGGAGCGATTCGTAATTCCACGTCTCTGTGTTTTCGCATCTCAAGCATGTTTCCTCGGCCGGACATATTGCCCATCTTGACACGGCATAGAACAACAATAGTTCCCTGCAAAGCCGTTGGCCATGTAACGGCGTCTGTCCCCAGCCAAGACATTGATTCAGTCCCGCATTTAGAACACATTGAACACTTTTAGCCCACAAGGGACGGCCCAGCTCATCCGTTGAAGGAACTTGCCGCGCATGACCCGCGGAGCAGAAATACGGAACGCGGCCGAATGCCGTGATATTTTTGGAAGACGAGAGCGCAGAGAGTAATGTCTGTCGCACAACGCCAAACACCAAGGCTTGACATCACGCTCGGCCGAGCGAGTGGCCTTGGTAGGTTGATCAAAAGAGACCTGTCGAATTCAGCTACCAGAAACGGTACAGCAGTACGCGGTGTCATGTTCACACGTCTTATCAGCATCATCCGCGAGAAGTCGTTTCGGGTCCACCTGTCAGTTTCAACAAGTGAGCAAGCAATCAACTCGCGCACCAGATGGCACAAGCTGCATGCCGTATGCAGTTGAAAAGTTGAAAAGTGACTGGGAAGCGGCCAACGAGCGCGGTCGGCCGGCGTCGTCTGCTCGAGGCATTGGCTCGTCCGATGCCATGTCGTCGTCGCAATATTTCATCATGGACGAATGCCCATCACGACGACCGACTCCCCAGGGAAGCCAAGCGAAAATAGTTGTCGTCTTGTCTCAGGCTGCTGCACAGTTGCACTGCGTGGCTGCATGTTGACTCGGCTCTCGGATGCTCATTCCTGTCTCTCCTGATCCACAGTCATCCCGGCTAGATGGAGACAACTTCAATTTGCTCAGCCATGTCTTACTGTGTAACTCGATGATGGCACTATCCGACAGCGACCAACTTAATATAGTTCCCAGACATGACCTCTGGCGCAATTCTGGTCTTTTTTTAGCATCCGCCATACCCATGGCTGCATTCACCATGCGCAAATCCCCAGGGCCTTGACAGGCCGGGCTTGGATTTCGGCGTGCTCCTCTTCATTGCACCCTCGTCGTCCAGGCCGTCTTCCGGAATTGGGCCCGGAACCCCTGTTCACAATCAACTCTCACTTCCCTCTACAATTTCCATTCCCCACATTGTCCCAGATTGCTGGGACCAACATCATCCCATGCTATCTCTCAGGCCCTCTCCTGCTGGTGGTTGACCAGAGTCCACTTGACGCTGTCTGGAGTCTGCCTTCTCAAGTTTATACCATCAAGCTCGCAAACATCATAATAACCCCGTGCGGCCTCGCCGTCAGCCATTGTGACTCCCCCCCCCCCTGACTGGTCACAAGTGACTGTCTGTACTTTTGCTGAACTCTTACTGGTGATGACGCTACCGAGTTCCGTGAACAATCATTCTCCGACTCGGCTTTTGGTTCGGGCAATATATCTTCAGACATGAGTCGGCCGCATTCTCTTGACGACATTACGTCTGACTATGACGAATCATTTGGTGTTTCCGAGTTTACATCCATACACACTGCCCATCTCATACACTCATACGAACATGGGAGGTAAGAGACATGTCACATGTACGGTTCATCGCATACCTGAGCAAATCTTCTAACAATGACCCAAGACGATACCAAGGCTTGGTGCAGAACCGCTACGGTATGCCCAACGATGAGGCGGAGCAGATGAGAGAGGGCATCAAGCACAAGCTCTACACAGATTACATCCTAGACGGAAAACAGTTTTTGGCACCGGTACCCGATAATCCCCAAAAAATTGTCGATTTGGGGACCGGCGCCGGCTACTGGGCATTAGACGGTATGTACACGCCGCCGCGCTCCCTCCCACCCCGTCGCGTATGGCACCATGCTAACCAGGCACCACGTATCAGTCGCAGAGAAGTTCCCCAGCGCCCGCGTCATCGGCACCGACCTCTCCCCCATCCAACCGCAATGGGCCCCTCCAAACACCGAGTTCCGCGTCGAGGATCTAGACGACGAGCACCGCCCCTGGTCCAGCATCTACGCCGGCGCAGACGCCATCCACACCAGGGCGCTCCTCCCCACGCTCCGAAACCCAAAGCTGGTGCTGCGAAGAGCATTTGAGTACGCCAAGTGGCCCGTCTGCTCGCCGTCCTGCCATCAGGCCCCGCTAACGTGGTTTCGCAGAAATCTCAAGCCAGGCGGGTGGGTGGAGTGCCACGAGATCGTCAGCTGCGTCTTTTCGGAGGACGGCGCCGTGGACCGCGGGCACCCGCTACACAAGATGTACGACCTGATCAACGGGTCCTTCTCCCAGGTGTACGGGTGGAACCTCCAGATCGCGGCGCAGATACCCGACGTGCTCCGCGAGATCGGCTTCGTCGGCGTCGCGCAGCGCCAGAACAAGATACCCCTGGGGCGGTGGCACCACGACGCCAAGATGCGCGAGATGGGCATCTTCAACCAGATCATACACTCGGAGTGGCTGCCGAGCATGCTCCTGAAGCACGAGGCCATGGGGATATCGGCCGACGAGGCGGAGAGTGTCGGGCAGGAGATCCTGGACGCCTTCAACGATCCCAGTGTCCGGTCGTACAACGTCTGGCTGGACTGTTGGGCGCAGAAGCCTCTGCCGGGGTAGATGGCGATTGGGGATCAAGCACAGGGGTCAACGTGTATTGGGACAGAGTCGGAATTGCACACACGGCACACTCACACACACACACACACACACGCATACTTGTGTTTTTGAGGCGTTGATTGTTTTCCAGACTGATAAAGTCGGCTTGAAACATTGGACGGCGCGGCAAACTAAACTAGGGCGGAGTAATCATTAATGTAATAACGAACACCATAATGTTACATGTATAACCGAGTTGCATTCATAAGTGGTTCTATGCGTATACACAATGGAGAGCTGAGAAGCGATGTCATGTACGCCAAGATGGCTAGTTTCATCTTCCCCATGTCGATGCAGGCAGTGCATGCACCACACCCTCGGTACTCCTCGCCCACTGCAGCCAAACTCCACGCTCCCATCAGATCAGATCAGATCAGTCAATACATCCCCCCCGGCCCGGGTCCGCCCAAGCCGCCCATCCGCCCGATGCCCGGCCCCGGCGCAAACGGCCCAAAGTCATCAAAGCCCTGGAACCCGTCGCCAAACGACATGCCCATGCCCGGCTGGAAATTATTCACCAGATAACTCCAATCCATGTCCGACGCATCATGCACGCCGTCCCCGATGCCGATGCTGCTCGCGGCACTGCTTCCCAGCGGCGGCCCCACGCTAGGCGGCGTCATCATGTCGACACCGGCGTCCGGCGACGCGCGGCGAGGCAAGTCGTACGGCTGCTGGTGAACGTGCGGCTCCGGCCGGTTCTCCAGCTTCGCCCTGCGCCGGGCGTCGGCCCTCTCGCGGAGGACCGCGATGAACGCCGGCACGGCGGGGGCCTCGTCGCCGCCCGCCACGCAGGCCTCGGCGTGGGCGTCCCACGCCTTGATGAAGTGCCGCCCAAAGGCGGCGTGCATGGGGCTGTGCAGGTTGTTCATGAGGCCGCGCAGCGCGTGGTTGGCGGCAATGGCCCCCCAGGCGCGCTCGACCACGGCGCCGGAGCAGCGCCGGCGGAGCTCCTGGATGAGAAACATGTACGCCGGGAAGGGGAAGTGGTGCGCCGTGAACCACTTGAACGGCTTGAGGGCGTCGGAGGAGTGGACGGCATTGTCGTACTCGACCATTTGCACCGACAGCAGGAACAGGTTGTCGCGCTCCGCCTCGTTGAGCGGCTCGTCGGTGCCGTACATGCGCATGAGGTAGTTGATGACGCGCATCTTGGAGAGCGCCTGCCTGGTCATGGTGAGCGTGAAGAAGTGCAGGGGGATTTTGGGGTCGCAGTGCTGGAGGTATGTGCCCTCCATGTGCGCGCAGAAGCCCTCGAGCGTGTACGAGGCCGAGTCCTGGCCCGCGATGCGGATCGTCGGCGCCGACGGGGGCTGCCGGGGGCCCGATGAGGGGGACGGGCTGGGCTTGTCCGGGTTGACCTTGGCGCTGTCGCGGTCCGAGTTGCTCACGACGGCCATGGCGAGCTCCAGCCGCGTCAGCGCGAAGAGCATCTCTGTCGGGCCGTTGTGCGGCGAGGGCAGCTCCTTGCCGTCGACGTGGAGGTCCGAGTCGTTGACGTTGAGGGGGAGCTTGCAGTCGCCGCCGCTGGAGAGGCCGGTGATTGTCGAGCCCGTCATCTCGCCTATGCGGCGGTCGTAGCTGACAATGGTCCACCACAGCCGGCGCCGCTGCTCGACTTCGAAGGGCGGGAGGCCGTAGCCGGCCGGGTCGCGGTGAAGGCCCATTCTTTGGGCTATGCGGACGGCTATGCCAATGAGACAAAAGACTTGGCGAGGGTCGACGAACCATCGGACGGCGAACTGCATCCGTCAGTATTCCAAGCCTGCGGACAAGGCGACATGCTGTGGAAGAAAAAAAGACTAGGCCGGGCTGGCACGTACCAGGTATAACACATATGCCTGAAGGGAAAGAAAGTCATTGTATCTCATGAGCCCGGCGTTGAGCAATGCCTGCTGCAAGCCTTCGAAGAACTGCGCCAGCACCTCTTTCTTGGGGCGGTTCAGCATCTTCTCTACCTCCGCGTCGTCCAGCGAGGTGATGGCCATGCAGTAGATGCCAAACATGAGGGCCTCGAGGTTTTTCGGCGCGCTCTCCAGGTTGGAAGATGCCTGGATGATTTGGCTCTGGATGCTGGGGGCGTGTGTGATTTTGAGAAGGGGGTTGACATTGTCAATATAGAGCTGCCACAGCTGGAAGATGTGAATGGTGGACGGGTGGTAGTGCGTGGTGGACTGCTGGCGGCCAGAAAAGACAAAAGGGAAGCCGTCGTTGTTGGAGAACATTTTGTCAAAGGCGCGGTGGATGGTGGATTCGTCGGCTTCATCGTCGGAGGAGTCGTGGAGGAGTTGTTCACTCGCCCGAAACTTGGACTGTTAGTCTGTCGTAGTTCTCAGTTATGCTCGGGGGAGGGGGCATGCTCCTTACTTCTCTGTGAAGGGAGAATATCGACCGCCCTGGCCTATCCACCGGCTGATTAGCACATGTCCTCGCATACTCGGTGTGCCGAGACACGTCACGAACTTGTCAATGTGTGAAGTCGCGGAAGGCGATGAGCTCGCCGGCGGACTCGTCTTCAACTCCTCAAAGTCATTCTCCAGGTCCTCGAGGTCCTCGAGATGCGGACCGTCAGCCCTGATGCTGTGCCCAATGGCATCAAACTTGACGCCATGCTCTGCCAGCAAAGCCTCGTACTTCTTCAGTCTGTCCACCAGATCCTTCTCGTGCAGCCGCTTCTTCCGGCGCCTGGGCGGCTGCGGAGGAACCACCCTGCACTCCACCCCGGCCTTGACACAGTTGGCACACGGCTTGCTCTTGTCGCAGCGTACTTTGCGCTGCTGACAGAGCACGCAGCTCGTCCCTCGGGTGAGTTTGACGATGGACGGGTCAGCGTGCTGCGGGAGATGATGCTGTGATTCCTGCTGGGCCTCGAGTGCCGGGTCAGGGCCAGCAGACCCGGGCCCTGGCCCAGATCTGGTCTGCTCAAACGACATGGTATGGACTTTATGCATTGTCCCGGTCCCCGGCGACCTGGGCGGCAACGGAAGCCGCGTGACGGAGAGAGTGCGTCGTGGCAAACCGTTGAGCCAAGCAATGAGGCTGAACCAGGTCTACGGCGAGTACGGGGTGGTGGAGCCGACAAACACCACCTTGCGGCCTTGATTCAAGACACGGCTAATAGGGGTAAGCGAATGGCCGGCCAAAGAATGGGACAATGGCAGCAGGACAAGGTCGTAGGGCTGAGATCGGGTTGCTCTGCAAGGCTCGGCCACGGAGGGGGTCCAGGTGTCTCCGACGCGGCAGCCACAAGGAATGGAGTCGTATGCGACAAGAAGGATAGTCGATGTGGAGAAGGCGAGCTGCGTGGCAGGTGTTCAGTGAAAGGAATACAAGCTCGGAAGGGTCTTTTGTGAAACTCGTATGCCGAGCATCGAATATCGACTGGAACGTCTGGGCTGTAAGTCAACTGAACGGGTCGACTCCTGACGCCGCCTCACCAACGGAGGAAAAAAAAGAAAGGGGGGGAAAAAATCTCCATACCTCAGGCTGCGTTTTCATCTGATCGTGGCAGGCAGTCTACGCCTCGTCATTTTGCGCGCTTGATCCCTCCGTCGATCGGGAGCGGTTGGACGTTGAGCGAGATTTGGACGAGGTGCGTCTGGCGGCGCTCGGGCAAAGAGGGGTGCGTCTCGGTCCCGAACATGACAGCTGTGGCCGAAAGGGGTCTAGCGTGGCTGTCGGCCAAGTCGACAAGGGCTCCGCGCCCGAAACTCCAAACTCTAAACTCTTGGAATCAGCATCTTTGCATAGTAGGGTGAGTTTGACGGTCAGTTTTTGGTCATGACCGTCTTGTTGGCGGCACGGCGCATCCACCATGCGGCCGCGTGCTCTGCGGACGGCCCGAACCAGACGTCTATTGCGACTCTTGTACCCGAACTTCAACGTCAGCCTGCGCATCATGAACAGATACATAATCAGCATTCTTTCTCCATGTTCCCAAGATGAATCGCCGCGGCTGCTCCCTTCTTGTGTATCATTTGCAGTGTCCAGATATCGCGGATTGCAACCCATTTATGGAGCCAGCTAGACTCGTCTGCACATCAGCGACGGTCCTACCCAGTGCTACATATACACATCACCATGTCGGTGTCGGTACCTGATGAAAAGACCAGCGGCCGTGAGAACGAAAAATCCACGACGCTGCCAACGTCGACCAAGGAAGCTCAACTCCAGGCCTCGACAACTAAACCAGATGTCGAGAGTCCTCGGACCCAGCGGCCAGGGTACGACCCCGAGGCCGAAAGGAACTACCAACCCAAGACGCTCAAATTCTGGCTCATCGTCTTGTCCGTCTTCGTGTCCATGTTTCTCGTGGCGCTCGACCGCACCATTCTGGCGACTGCAGTCCCCCGCATCACCGACGAGTTCAAGAGCCTGGGGGACATTGGGTGGTACGCCTCGGCGTACATGCTCACCACGGCGGCGTGCCAGCTGCTGTTTGGCCGGGTATACAAGTTCTACAGCACGCGGCGGACGTTCCTCGCCACCATTGTCGTCTTCGAAGTCGGCTCTGCCCTGTGCGGCGCGGCCCCCAGCTCCCCGGCCTTCATCGTCGGCCGCGCCATCGCCGGCGTGGGCGCGGCGGGCATCTGGACCGGCTCCATGATGGCCATCATCCCCATGGTGCCTCTGCACAAGCGGCCCATGTTCCAGGGCGTCTTCGGCATGGTATTCGGCATCTCCTCCGTCGTGGGGCCCCTCATCGGCGGCGCCTTTACCGAGCGCGCAACGTGGCGGTGGTGCTTCTACTTGAACCTGCCCGTCGGCGCGGTGGCCTTTGCGTTGCTGTTCCTGTTCATGCACCCTGCCGATCCCAAGCATGAGCCGGCGGCCCTGAAGCAGCAGCTTGTGCGTCTTGATCCGCTGGGGACATTCTTCTTTGTGCCCTCTGTCATCTGTCTGCTGCTGGCGCTGCAGTGGGGTGGCTCGACGTATGCTTGGGGTAGCTGGCGCATCATCTTGCTGCTCGTCATGTTTGGCCTGGCGGCGCTTGCGTTTGCCGCGGTGCAGGTGCAGATGCCGGAGACGGCAGCATTGCCCGTCAGGCTCATCAAGCAGAGGACCTTGTTGGCCGGCACGTTTTACATGCTCTTCCTAGCTGGCGGCATGATGTTGGTGGTTTACTACCTGCCGCTATGGTGTGAGTTTTGTCCCTGACAAGGGCCGTTTCCCTCCTACGTACTAACCCATCATTTCCTAGTCCAAGCAACAAAGGGTGTCGATCCGGTCAAGTCGGGCGTCTACACCATCCCCCTGGTTCTGAGCCTCGTCGTCGCATCCATCGTTTCCGGCGCAGGAACCCAAAGAATCGGCTACTACACACCTTTCATGATAGCGAGCCCTTGCATCGCTGCCGTTGGCGAAGGGCTCCTCACGACACTCACCCCCGAGGCCGGGTCGAACCGCTGGATCGGGTTCCAGTTCCTCACCGGCTTCGGCGTCGGCCTGGGGATGCAATCTGTTGGTCTGGCAGTGCAAGCCACGCTGCCCCGGGAGGACGTTTCCACCGGCATTGCCATCACCTTCTTTGCCCAGCAGCTCGGCGGTGCCGTCTTCGTGTCTGTCGGCCAGACCATTCTATCCACCCTGCTCGTGGAGCAGTTGAGCGGCGTGCCTGGGCTGGATCCCATGTCTATTGTCAAGACGGGCGCCACCGAGCTGCGACACGTGGTGCCCTCGCAGTTCTTCGGCAGAGTCGTCGACGCCTACAACTTTGCGATAACGCGCATCTTCTACTGCGGCCTGGCGTTGGCGCTGGCCCAGCTGGTGTCTGCCTTGTTCGTTGAGTGGCGGAGCATTAAGAAGTCAAAGGACGCGGACGCCGGCAAGGCTGTTGCTCAGCAGGAGGGACTCGGCGAGTAAACTGCGCGTCTGACGCGAGAGTCGATGCACGAGGCATATGTAAAACAGAATAGCATTTGTGGCACGGGCATGCCACGGCTGGGTATCCGTGTTGGCTTGTTTACTAGCATAACGAGCTTCATCTCCAATCGGTCTGGCGGGTTGTAGAAGCAGGGACTGAGAGTGTAGAAAAGTAGCGCCCCGCGGTTTTTACCTGCGGCCAAAATATATTCGTTATTACACGTGGCCACCGGATGTCAGGTTTAAAAAAAATGGCTCAAATCATCGTGGGCTTGATGTCGACTGCCATCGGCGCATCCCTAATTGACGTGGTGGAGCAATTTGCCGCCTTTAACGTCTTCATAGGTATGTACATGTAATGGTAGCGACCTAGAGGAATTTCTTGTATTTTTGCAGCCACAACTCGTTGCTCATACTTCGTACAACGATGCGCGCATCATGCACAAACCGGTCATGGAGGAATAAAGGCATCATCATCCCTGCCGTTCGTTCGGGTGTGGATCCGGCCAGGCGCCAGCGTACCACTGAACGTCACCCGTCCCTGACCGCGGCACGCGTCAGCCATCCGCTACCCACGCCGATTTGCTGCTCGACAATCGCCTGGACCGCATTCCCATTACCGCCGGGTCGACCAGACAGATCCATGGCCGCAGTCCCCCTTCCCAGCGGCGCAATCAAAGTGGCGTCCGTCAATCAGGCGAGATCCGGCGCCCTCGTCGCATCGAGCCCCCCCTGCGCGGGAGGAACACCGACGACCCGCGAGGCATTGACACCTTGGCTCGTCTCTTGTGGCACGCCGAAGTAGTATTGCCGGGTTGTATTAAACGCGCCGCGGCCCCGGCGGCACGACAGGCGCGTCGTCGTCCAAATCCTCTTCTGCTCTCGGTCCATTGGCCACCAGGGGCTCGTGAGGTTCCATTCATCGGCACGTCAATCCAAAGTGTCAATGGCGGTTTAGTTGTTTCTGCAAGCCACATGCAACGCCCGACGACAAAGACGCCAGACCAGACTGCTTCGGGGCACAGCACCGTGATTGACGGAGCCATGAATCTGTTGTTCGCCCCCGGAGACGCGACAAATTGAGCTCCGGAATTAGCTACAACTTCGGAACTCTTCATGATCCAGATACATACGACGGGGCATGTTTGAGTGACGGGCGTCATCAGTAGCGAGCCGATGCTCGAATCGTGGCCCGGTCTGACGGATGAAGTTCGCAACCAACACCTGTCCACATTACGTCGACGTCTCAAGACTGCCCTCGAGGAATGAGAAATAGTTAGAACGCTTAGCCCGGAACTAGGATATACATCAAACATTCTGCCAGGCCGGCCTGTCCCCGCTGTGACTATCGTCCCGGCTCTTTTCAAAGTCACTCTTGCTCTCGCTGCTTGTCCCCTGCTCCTCCCGTCTGTCGACCAGCTCCAGCTCCATCGATTCCTTGCGATTCCACCTGGGACCCCGTGAGTCGCGCGAGGAGGCGGCCCCCGTAATCACGACTTGATGATTGCCGCTGATGAACGACTTTGACCGGCTGGGAGCGGTCCTCGCCGAGGCGCCGTTGGCACCGCCCGTGGGCTGCCGGCTCCTGGAGCCATACTGCGTTATCCCCGACATGCTGCTGAAGATGCGCAGCTTGCGCATCAACGGCTTCAGCGTGGCCAGGTTCGAGGCCGTCAGGGCCACTCCAATCTCCACGGTGCTCCAGATGCCCAGGTCGGTAAACGTGTACAGGTAGTCTGGGCTGTTCAGAATACCGTCCGCGTACGGTATGCGCACAATGGTGGCAATGGAGGCCCTACAAGAAGCGCGTTAGTCACCGGACGCCATGGGCCACGGCTGCAACCCAAGAGTCGGGGAGAAGAACGTACGTGGAGCCGAGGCAGAGCAGCGCGATAATGGACGCCTTGACTGGCGGCTCGATCTGCGACTTCCACACCAGCGAGGCGGGCAGGGCCGGCAGCACCCAGTCGGCGATGATGTTGAGCACGGCGGCAATGTACGTCGTCACGGTTGCAAAGGCGGTCGCGTTGCACGTGCCGGTTGCCGGGACGGGGTTGTATCGCGTCCACTGGTACTGGACCGGCTGGCAGGCGAAGAAGGCGAAGAAGAAGAACATGATGCTGAAGACGGTGACGGAGGCCAGGATGGTCCAGATTGTGATTTGCCGCCAGCGCCTGTGCGGGCAGATGCGCAGGAGAAACAAGCCCACGATCCACTTGGTCAGCAGCGATATCACAATGTAAAAGAGCGACGCGAGCCATCTGTACAGAATCGCCGTGGGCCGGTCCTCGGGCGGCACGTCGACATTGTGCTTGCCCAGCCCATGCGTCACTCCGAGAATGCCCACCGTCGTGTAGGCCGTGTAGAGCAACTGCGAGGCCTGGTTAATGCGTCGTGTCCTTGCTTGCCTCGGCCGGGACTTGTTCTGCCTCTTCTTACCAATGCGACGACCGTCAGGTAGTCTTCAGCGAAGAACCGTTTGATGATGACGCCGTGGGTGTAGAACCGGAGGGCGCCGCTTATTATGGAGGTGACAAAGAGCGCCACAATGACGCCCATCATCTGAGGGCCTCGGTCGTCGGCCATGGCGGGCGTGGCGATGGTGAGGATTCCAGATGAACGTTTCCGGCGACGGTCACTCAGCCCGCCCTGAGGAGGAGAAACTAGACATGATTCGGGCAGGAAGGGGAAGAAGAGGAAAGAAAAAAACGAGTCCGTCGCAGGATTCAAAATCAGGGAGGACGGATAATAGCGTATAGTATTGAGCTGCCCCCCCAATGCATCCTTCTCTTGGCGCCCATACACACTCCACTTGTCCCGACCGAGTCCTTCACTTTAAATACTACCGCAGTGCCCCGTTATGAAGAGCGGCAGATGACGGGTCTTCCCACATGGCTGGATCCCCCCCTTGGGAGCAGAAGGCGTCGGCTGCGGCGGCAGTTCTGCCACAAGTTGCTTGCCCGCGCAAGCCGGGAGCAACGAGTCCATGGCCATTGACCTTTTTGACGAGACAATCCGCGGCGGGGCACATCGGACGCAGGTGCCTGATCCAGGAACAGAACCGGGTCCTTTCCAACCTGTGAACACACCCGACTCATCTATTCTGTCCGAGGCTGAAGGCGGTGGGGTCGTGTGGAAGAGCTATCGAAGGCGAGCAACGCCCAGGGGGGAGCTGTCATAGGAACACCCGTTCAAGCCGTCCAAGGTTGACAGCGAGTCACTAACCCTGTTCCAGTACCCGCGTTGAAGATCCCTTGGTTCCAGAATATGGACCTGCCTCCACATCCACGCGGGCTCCTGATTCAGTCGTGACCGAGGTTTCCACACATGTCAAACCAATACGTCGTCGAGTCGGGGCGGCCACCTTCCTACTTAAGCACCGCACATGCCCAAAAGATGAAAAAGGTCGAGTTTGCCATGCCATGCCATGCGAAGCTCGACATGGCGCGCACCTCCGTCGGAGCCGTGGTCGAGCCTGCCCGTGTATCGCGGGTTGCGAGAGCTGTCGCTGAAGCTGGGGTCCCGGCAAGGCTGGACGCCGCCGCCTTGATACTAGTAGTATGTGTCTGGTGTACAATCCAACCCTTGTATGATTAACCACCCGTGACCTGACAAGGTTAATAGAGCAAGGTCCCCTGGCTGTATCGGCGCTCCAGCTACTAATCGTGGGTGGCTGTTAAGTGGCATAGCAGGGATTAACAAGGATACACAAGCCTTCCTATTTTTTTTCTTAAAATTTAGGTATTTATTTCCCCCACCTTTTAACTCTCTATTGGCTGTATCCCCCCTGTGAGGTCACGGGTGGTTAATCATACAAGGGTTGGATTGTATATTCTCAACGGCTGCAGAACGACTGCAGAACGCGCATTCGATCCCAGCAACGTGGAACAGGTGTGGAGACTGCAAGTTTGCATGCTGGGATTCCGTCGACGACGGAGACGGTCTTGTTTCAGCTGAGCCGGCCTGGATCCAGCTTCAAGCAGCGTCAGTCGTGACAAGATGGATAAACGCCACCGCAACCCAAGACCAAGTGGCTTCCTGCCTCCTGCCGAGGGGGAGTTTGATGCAGCAAAAAGCGTCGGGAACCGGTGGCGCAAGCCTAGCTGCATGGATCATGATGGGTGCGAATTCTGGCCGAATCAATACCGGAGACATCAAAGGGCCCCGTCGCTTCCGCGGAATCTGTAGTCCTCGGGGTTGGCAACCCTACAAACAAGACGCTTGACTCCTCCCGACGACGCATAGTCGAGGCTGCTCGTCTTTAGCGCACTGTAATGATGGCGCGAAGGACGAACTATAAACTTTGATTGAACCTACATAAATGTTCCCTCCCGGGATTGATGGATACGCATGCTCCGGACATCCCCTCTGCTGTGTTAAGGCTCCAGTGGGGTTATGGGCTCCATAATACCCCTGTAGCCAGCTAGCAACCTCGGATGACTTTAATAGTACCTTAAATTTTATTTGTATATTATTAAGTAATAATTTATATTAAGCCTATTATAATAACCTTTACCATTACCTAATTTATTAGTAAATATATATTATACCCCTGAGGTCTGGCTTCTTATTGGATATATATCCCTGTAAATACCTTACTGGAGCCTTAACACACCAGAGAGGGTCCCACCTATAATCACACTAGCACTGCTAGATTCGTCCCAAGACCTTGTCGTCAGGGTCTTTGCAGTTTCCGTAGACAAGATGATACAGAGACATGCGTACATCTTGCCCGTTGATGGGGAAAGGCTCAAATTCAACGTCGGGCTTTATTTATTGTTTGCATGGCAAATCCTCGGTGCGTTTGTCTGAAAGGAAGCGATGCCTTGGTTCCTTTTTCTAGGGCTCGGGTGTAAGGTGCCCTAGCAGGGGTTTTCAGGGGTACAATCCAACCCCTGTAAGTTTAGCCACCAGTGACTTCTGATGGGGCTTACAGGGGCCTAGGGCCCAATCAAGTGCTGTCAAAAAAATAAAAAATATATTAAGTAAAGTAAAAGGTATAAAAAAGGTAGTATTATTTATATAAAAAAATCTGTACTTTTAACTAGGGTTAATATCTCGTGTATTTTCTTTATATCGCAATAACAGCTTTTCTAAACAAAAAAACACGGCCCACCTTGACAGCTGTTAGCGAATAACCTACCAGCTAGCCCCACACACTGATATCACACATGGCTAAACATTTAGGGGATATATTGTATATATATCTGCTTAAATTTGCATCCATTCATCCATTCACCATCATTCAGTTCAATTATCAACATTGTCCAAAACTTTATACTATTCCGCTGTATAAGCTACTGTTGTATTTCCAACATCTGCCCACGTTCAAAATCCATCCCTTCCAGTCCTTCACCACATTGATCATGGCCGGCAGCAATGAAACCAATGACAAATCGACCGAAAATCCCCTACATGCAACGACTATTCCGGAATTCAGCTACTTGTTCAAACTGCCGCCAGAGGTCCGACTTTCGATATACCGCCACCATTTCCTGAGCACCAGATTATCGTATGGCCCAAGTATAGATATGGATGCCAAAACTATTCCTGCTCGTCATTCCCTCGCATTATTGAGAACTTGCCGTCGCGTGAGAACTTAAATTGGAGACACTTGGCTTGGCCACGTCCTGTTCAACTTTGCAGACGTCGATTGTATGATGGTGATACTCAAGGCGCTTCCTATGGCAACTCTATCAAAGATCCGGCACGTGCGAGTTCTAGGGACGGAATTCTATTTCTTCACCGGCCCGAGTGATCGTGACGGTGTCTCTTATGCCCTCGTCCAGGCCCTAAAGCTTTTGCCTGGCTTGCAGCTTGACACCTTTACCGTTCTTTCTCCGGGCGAAGACGACTATGATTACGAAGTACTGGATGATCTTATAGAGTATGGCGACGGTTGGAAGGAGCTGCGATTTATCTGCCAGGTTTCATCACAACTCGGATACGAGTTTTCCGACAACGTCTACCGTTACAAGCACTCTCGCAACTATCCGCGCAAGCCGCAGCCAGCCCACTGGGCTAGTGTCATGAACACGCGCGATGGTATCCAAAATCAACCGTCGGTTACTATTTATCGATCTGTGCGGCTTGGCGAGCCCTGCTCTGTGATGCACGAAGCAACGCGTGTGATTATCGAGCAAATGGTATTGAAAGAAAAGGAACCTGTCACTTTTGCAGAAAGACGTTATCCCCCAGCTACGCCCCTCAAGAAGAAAGAAGAGGCACTGGAGGTTATGGTTGTGGTGAAGCGCGGAAAAGGTATTAACTATCAGGAAGGAGAGCATCCGCGTTATTTAACAGCAATCAGCGATATCCGGAAAGATTTCCCCCATAAATCGTGGGCAAAAATTAAGTCGAGATTTCTTCGTTGGAGTGGTGACGGCACTTATCACGGCAGTTATTGCTGCCACATAAAACCACCAGTTATGGATATATATAAACATGTTCAGGAATATACATGGCGTGAGTTAGAGATGAAATTATGTCTGTAAGTTGCAAGGTACGTATACGGACTACTATCGCGACCAGAGCATTTCCACGTGTTGTTTTTGTAATTACATAATTTTTTATAGTTTTTTTTTATTAAGGTTTAATTAAGGTTTAATTATTTCGCTTTATAGTTAAATAAAATTATATACATAATATAAGTATTATATAAGCATAAAATCTAAAATAATATTAGGCTATATTAGGCTAAGAATAGTAAAAAATAAGAAAAGTAGACCGTCTACGCATTGTGACGCGTCAGACGTACCAGCGCAATTGGTGCCGCGGCCATCTCGCGATAGCCTCAGCTACTGTCATGTAGTATACGAAGTATATATATTATAATATATTAAATATAAAATAATCTTTTCTAAAAAGCTAATTGTAAAGCAGCCTTCTTACCCGGGTATTGAAACCCTTTACCACAGAAGCGTTGAGCTCTAAATGGCAATAACTTGGGCACTATTCCTCCACGCGTTGAGCCCTTCCCAGAGGTGCGTTGAACCGGCCTATATACAATATCAAGCTCGCGTCAGGGCAAGTCTCTTGTTGCCTTCTTGGGTCAAATAAAGCGGCCATCATCCAAGTCCAAAGCTGACAATTAATAGTCGTCGCCACGACTAATAACCTCCTTTGTCGACTCGCGCAGCAAAATGGTCTATGGGGATTAGCAACGCAACCTTCTCGCCACAAAAAGGGAGAAAATGCACACGAAAAGAAAGGAAGACAAAGAAAGCGCACATACATGCTCAAACTGCGCCGAGTAAGACCCAGGAACATCCATTAAAGGCGCATAATCATCGAGTATACCGTTCGACACGAGATAATTAATCTTGCCTCCGTCAGCAATAGCCACCCTCACCAACAATCGCAACACATACCCCGGCCAGTTAACGGTCCAGACCGACATGGTTCAGATACCGACGACAAAACACCAGAGTCCCAAAATTCTCCTTGATCGTCTTGTACAGCGTATTCGCTGAGCTCCGAGGGAGAGACACGCGCTCCCGAGGACTGTGGCTCAAGCCATAGCCGTAAATACCTGCCTGTCACACCTTAGCACAAGTCTGGCTCATCAAACGACCTCATGGTGGCCCAAACTTACGCCGTCCCGGATGAAGCCACGCCCCGTACTACCAAATGTTTCGACGGCAAAGATGTCGCCCTCTTCCATCTTGGTCTGGTTCGAATTCTTGACAAACGGAATCGTCTTGTCGCCATGGATGCGATAGTGTTTAATGTCGTGTCCGCAGAGATTCCGCCCAGGCTTCACGGGATACGTCTTGCCCCGGATGTCCACTTCATAGCTCTCCATGGCTTCTTGCATGGCGGCGCCAACGTCGCTGATGCGCACGTCAATTCCGGCATTCTACCTCGTCAGCTCCAGGCCGCCGGCAGCCCTGATGGGGATTCTTTTCTCACCTTGATGCCCGTGTTGGTCGCATCCTTCACCGCAGCCAGGAGATCATCATACGTCGGGTCAAACGACATTGTAAATGCGCTGTCAACAATCCAGCCATTGACGTGGACGCCAAAATCGACCTTGATGACGTCCTGGTGCTGAAGCACCACGTCCTTTTGGCCGGGATTCGGCGTATAATGCGCCACGCAGTGGTTCAGCGATAGGCCCGTGGGGAACCCGAGGCCTGATTGTAGACCCTGTCCGGGCTCCAGCCCAGCGTTATCCAGGAGGGCTCGAACACTGTCTTCGATTCCAACGGCAATCTCAGTAAGTGTCTGGCCTGGCTTGACAGACTCCTGTACCCATTTCCGAGTCTGGCGCTGCACTTCAGCCGCCTTTCGGTAATTGTTCAGAAACGTGGGGTCTTCAAGAGCACGCTGTCCATGGTGACGCAGCTCGGGCGCCTTGACGGCAGAAGTCGTCTGATAGTCGCACAGCTCACCGGGTCGATACTCCCCAGAAGAAAAGAGCCGGTGAAGCGGGATCCTCGGAGGTGACGACTGCTTGAGAGCCGTCTGGGCCTTCCTCTTTTTGGACCTTTTGCGCTTCTTCTTCTTCTTCTTCGTCTCATTGCTTGCCTCGCCAGACGTAGGGCACGTCAGCGAAACGGCGGCAGCAGCATGAGATTCATCCAAGTCATCGTCATCGTCATCGTCGCCTTCGTCCGCGCCCTGGCTGCCCATACACCCATCGCCATCTCTCGAGAGGTGGCTACCTCGTGGCTCTCCGCCGGCAGAACGGGATCCGCTAGACGATGGGACCTCTACTCGGGCATCAGCACCGCAAAAGACTCAAACAGGAAGGGCGCGAGCATGCATACCATGTTCCCGACGCTCTTCGTTTTCCAGGGTCTTGGAGCCCATTCTTGCATGGCCGCCGTGGTATCTGCGTCGTTGAAAGTTGAAGCTGGCAAGTGGAGAAGTTCCCGACAGTGGTGAGACGTTCCCGCATTGCCATAAATTATGTCAGCGCATGCAATTCCATTGACCACCAGCCAAACCACTCACGGCTACATTGTACGCAAATAGATCAACCGACCAGCAAACATTAGCCAGCGTATAGAGTAGATGCTCCCCAAAACAAACCCGCACATCAAGTTCCATCTCTTCCCGGCAAACCGCCTATCCTGCTCAGACAGCAGGAGAGCTGATCACATCACGACCAATTCCTCCTCCAAAGTATTTATAAAAGCTAACAGCCCTTTTCTTGTCGTCTTCTTTGCAAAGCTGTTTTCAGGATTTACTACTTTTCTCGGTTTACGTTATATATATGAGTGTCCGTACAATGAACAAATTCAGCCCGACACAAGGCAAAACGCCAGATACGCAAAAACCATTAAACGATCCATTTGGTTTTATTCAATTATTTTTCTATACCTGTCTTTGGTACATTTGGCAGAAACGGAAGCTTGTTTCAAAAAAAAGAGTCATTGCTGGAGAGCTCATCGCGTACTCATAGACCAATTCGTTGTAATTAAATTCATCACCATACCAAAGTATTTCCATTAGACCCGCTTACACTTTTTTGTTTTAAATCCTTTGATCCCATGATCCTCACAAATGCTCCTCACCACTCCAGTGGCTCCTTCTTCTCCTCGCCCCTATTCGTCTTGGGCACAGGCACCGCCTTGGCGGCCAATTTGCCTCCCTGGCCAGGTCTCTTCAAGTACGCGGTGCCATCCAGCCAGGGCGTGTCCTCCGTCATTTTCTTCTCAAACTCGCCAATCTTGTCCTCCATCTGCATAGTGAGGCCAATGTCATCCAGGCCATTAACCAGGCAGTGTTTGCGGAATTCTTCCACGTCAAAGGCGCAGATTGTGTCGCCGACAGAGTTCTTGATCAGCTGGCTGGGGAGGTCGATTTCAATTTCGCGGCCGGCACGGGCTTCGTCGGCGATGGCGTCGAGGTCTGACTTGTTCTCAATCTTGATGGGCAGCATGCCGTTCTTGAAGGTGTTGTTGAAGAAGATGTCGGCAAAGGAGGGGGCAATGACACACTTGATGCCAAAGTCGAGGAGGGCCCAGGGGGCGTGTTCACGGGATGAGCCGCAGCCAAAGTTTGGCCCTGTGCAGACGAGGATCTTGGCGTTGCGGTAGGGCTCCTGGTTGAGGACAAAGTCGGGATTGTCCGAGCCATCTGGGCTATAGCGCAAGGCGTGGAAGAGGGCAGTGCCCAGGCCGGTTCGCTTGATGGTCTTCAAAAACTGCTTCGGGATGATGGCATCGGTGTCGACATTGGCCATGTCTAGGGGCGCGGCAATGCCCTTGTGGCTGAGAAACTCGGGGAGCCCGGCGGTGGAGGAGCCGCCGTTGGATGTAGAGACCGACGTGTTGGTGTGAGGCTCTGAATCTTCGGGCTGGTCGCCAATGACTTCTCGTTCATGAGCATCAGTAGCGACCCTCTCATCTACATGGGCTTTTTGTGAGGTGGACGGGGTGACGCTGGCCTCGACATGCGGGCTGGCTTTGTAGCTGGCCAGCTTGCGCACGTCGGCAAGCTTGCCAACGATGGCCGCAGCTGCAGCCATGACAGGAGACATCAGATGCGTTCGGCCGCCGGCTCCCTGGCGACCTTCAAAGTTTCGGTTGGAAGTGCTGGCACACCGTTCCTGCGGAGAGAGAATATCCGGGTTCATGCCCAGGCACATGCTGCAGCCAGCCTCGCGCCATTCAAATCCGGCGTCGACGAAAACCTGGTCGATGCCCTCTTCCTCAGCCTGGGTCTTGACGAGACCAGAGCCGGGGACAACCATGGCTCGCTTAATATTGGAAGCAATCTTCTTGCCCTTGACGACGTGGGCGGCGGCACGCAGATCCTCGATACGAGAGTTGGTGCAAGACCCAATAAACACCTTGTCAACCACAATCTCTTCCATTGGTGTGCCAGCAGTCAAGCCCATATACTCGAGCATTCGACGCCCGGTAGCCTTCTTGGCCTCAGAGGCAAACGTCTCGGGGTCAGGCACGACGCCGGTAATGGGTATAACATCTTCGGGAGAGGTTCCCCAAGTAACAGTGGGGATAATGTCCTTGCCGTCGATAAAAACATCAATGTCGTACTTGGCACCAGGATCAGACTGCAGTGCCTTCCAGTACGCCGTGGCCCTGTTCCACCCATCGGAACCAAACTTGGGGGCCAGCGGGCGGCCCTTGAGGTACTCAAAGGTGGTCTCATCAGGAGCAACCATGCCAGCACGAGCACCACCCTCGATGGACATGTTACAAATGGACATGCGAGCCTCCATGCTCAGGCTGCGAATGACTGAGCCACAAAACTCAATGACAGCGCCAGTGCCCCCAGCAGTACCAATCTTGCCGATAGCATGGAGAATGATGTCCTTGGAGCTCACACCAGGAGCCAGCTCGCCATCGACCTGGATTCGCATGTTTTTGCTGCGCTTGGTAATCAGGCACTGGGTGGCCAGGACGTGTTCAACCTCGCTGGTACCAATGCCAAATGCGAGAGAACCAAAAGCGCCATGGGTAGAGGTGTGGCTGTCTCCGCAGACAACGGTAGTTCCGGGGAGAGTAAAGCCCTGCTCCGGGCCGATGACGTGAACGATGCCCTGGCGCTTGTCGCCGAGACCAAAGTAGGTCAGGCCGAAATCCTTGACGTTTTCTTCAAGGGTAACGCATTGGGTTCTTGAGTCGTCTTCTTCGATGAAGGTGGCAATGTCTTTCATGCCCTTTCTTGATGTGGTGGGAACGTTCTTTGCTCTGGTTAGCACATGATTCGCATATTCACCAACACAGCAATGTGTGAGGACGGCGATACCTACATGGTCAGTGGTGGCCAGGGTGCAGTCTGGTCGGCGAACTCTTCGACCAGCATTCTTCAATCCCTCAAAAGCTTGCTGCTACTAGTCAGCACCTTGATCGGTATTCCGCATCGTGAGCGCCGCAGCGGAGCCAACATACAGGAGAAGTCACCTCGTGGACCAAGTGTCTGTCTAGACGCAGCAAAAAAAAAAGTCAGCCGTTGTCGCAGCAAATCGCAGCACAGTGCAAGACATACCGATATACAGCAAGATTGTGCCATCGAGCTTCTCGTCCACAATGTGGTTCGACAGAACCTTATCGTACAGGGTCTGTGGATTCCTCTCGGGGCCAGGCATCGTGGTGACCGGTTTGCGGGAACAAAAGAAAATAGGTGGGTAGGGAAGAAGAAGGAGGAGGAGAAATCAGGAGGAGAAGGCCGGACAAAACAGACGACGAGTTTCTGAGCGAAGCGCCGCTGACGCCAAAGACACCAAAGGTGCGAACTGTGCGTGGATTTGTTTTTATTCGTCGTCTATTGGTCGAAGCCACCAGGGCCGAGCTTCTGCGAAGGTGTCTCTGGGATGGGGTTGCGTCTCGTTTTCTTAGAGTGCTGACGATGTCGTGAGCGTTTCAATCGCCATCAATTGCAATTCAAGCAAAGTCAAGTAAATGAGCCCCTTCAACAAATAGAGGAAAAGATATCGCGGCCCACGGGCTGGTTTTAATCTCCAACTGTCGGCAAAGTGCAGGAACACGGCAAAGTAGCTGTTTGCGAAGGACCGGCATCGGGGCCTCCGATGTTCGGAGCCGCCAATTGTTGATGGGTTCGCGACTCCGAACCGGCCAACGAGGCGCCATCACAGTGCGTGTAGCCCCACCTTAGCTTCTGTGCGTTCGGTGCTTTGGGGGTTCTGCTTGTCTGCCTGCGGAGAGCAGCGGGCGGTTTGGCCGGTTTGGCCGGTTCTCACTGGTTACACCCCGCTGAAGCAGCCCCTTCGCGTCCACTGGCCCCGCACTCTGGATGCTGGTACTAGCATAAAGTACTTACGGAGTAGTACTAGTAGTACTAAAGTACGTACCAGACTCGACAGATTGCTAAACGGTGGTCGCGGATTGGCCCAATCTTCGTTTGTGACTGAAGCACCAAGGTACTCCGTACTTGGCTCGGTAAAATGGCACAAGTAGCTGACGGCATCCAGGCATGTGCGTTGAGATGATCAAGCTCAATTTTGCAAGGTATGCCGAGTACCGGGTCAACAGGCCAGCACTGCTTCTATTTTTCCCATCTCTCATTTCATAACAACTACCTAAGTCTAATAGCTCTGTCGAGTAACACTGTTGTTCAAACCTTTGTACAGAGCACACAAATGGCCTTCTTGCTCAAGTGCCCACCTCCGTGGGCTGGGCCGCCATCATCGGCGCCGATTTGCCCCTCAGCCTTAAAGCCCCCTTGCGGCCATCGGCATCAATCGTCACACAAACAACCATTTCCCACTACTCCGTACCGGGTACGATCGCCAGAAAACAAACGCCTCGTCTAATGCCCTTCGTGGCATTGGCCATCGCGGCCTCTCCAGCCCTTCACACTCGAACACCATGCCGTCGCTTCCCCAGACATCTCGACGTGATCCTCTCACAGCTTGATCCCCGTCAAAAATTGTCGCTTTTCACACACCTGGACACTCGGCCACCTACTCCTTGACCGCTGACTTGACCGCTGACCTCCACTTGTCTGCGGTTCCGGCAGCCCGGCCACATCGGACGCCACACATCGGCCCACGGCTGGCCCACGATCCCGACAACACACACTACTCCGTATTGCTATGCCCAGTCGCGTCTCTACTGTAGGAATCCCCACGCATTCAGCACGTCGTATATCAAGTCCTTCATGTATTCGAAATTCTCTCCACATATAGTTACCAGCCTCATCACCTAGACAAGGCCCATGACGGCAAGGATTGCTCCGGGCAGCGCAAGTAGTAGAGCAAAACAATCGCCCAGAGTTGATTCGTGTCTCCTGTTTCTTGCCCAGTACTCTGATCTGGAAGTAAAGACTGGGCCTACAATCTCCCAGTACAGCAGAAAGAATGCGAGTAAATGGCATCTCACCGTCTCCAGGTACTCGGTAATCGCCATATGAGAAACAGTGTCAGTGGCTGTGTCACCACTGGAAGAGCTTTGGCAACCGTCGCCGCCAGTGTGTATGACGTTCAGGTCCGGGAAGCTTCCTGGTCCTTGACTCGCGTCGCTCAGCCCGTCGGGCTCGTCTTGTTGTGCCATGGGCCTGGTCTGTTCTGGCATGGCGAGCTTGCATTCGGTCCGTATGCTGGCATCTTTTAGCTCGGTTGATATTTTGGATACCACTCTGGACCTCTTGTCCACGCCGTGGACCACCGGTTTCTTGAGACTCTTGATTGCCTTTGAAGCGCCGACCCGCTCTTCCGGCTTGGACACGACCACGTCCGGTGTTGCCGTGTTGCCGGTCTTCGCAACAGGCCGGGTACTCCTCTCCATGCGCTCGTCGATTTGTATGTGCCTCTTCTTCAACATAGTATCTGTTCCGATACCGTGATTTGCCTGGCCCACGCTCCGCCATTGATTCCGTAAGGGTTTCATTACAGCGGCACCCAAATTGCGTTCGGACCTGGCAGCCAGAGGCAAGTCGGACGCCATACCACCGAGATGCCTCTCCAACCGCAGAGTTGAAGGATTCTTTGTGTCCGGTTGGGTATTCGCTCGGGAGCTCACTTGCAAATCTTGTTGGCCGCAACCAGTAGTGGTGGTGATGGGTATGCAAGCATAGCTTACCGGTACTGGTTGCTTGGTCTCGACTTCTTTCCATGCAAGACTCTCGCGGTTGTCTCGGGCCAAGATGTCCTTGTCCTTGTCTATATGCTTGCTTGTTTCTGTGATCGAAGAGAGTCGATGCAGTTCTTCGACTTCTGTCCCCGTCTGCTGGCGTATCGTGGAGTTGGTATTCACTCGCTGGTTCGTCTCCGGCCTGTGGGCAAAAATCTGCTGGCCCAGCCTGGAAGTTAGATCTGTTGCCCAACTGTCTGGGATTTGCGGGATTGTCTCGAGACCGGCGGCGGTATGGCTCGCTGTGTTGTCTTGGCTTGATTGAAAACTCCGGGATCCTCTCCTTCTCGGTATCCAATGACCCCAAGTTTGCATGAGCTTTCCCCGTGAACCTGTAGCTATCACAGGTTTTTCTTGCGTGGGCTGGATGCCCTCTGACTGACGCTTTCGTAGCACCTGGTCCATGGTCATCATGGAAGATGATTGGGACTCTTCTCCCTTCTTGTTGCAATTTATCGTAGTTGGCCCTCCTTTGTCTTTCTTGCATTGGCTTGAGAGGTTGACAACGTTGTGGGGTAAATGCAGCCTCCTTGGCCGTATGCTCGGCTTGGTGTATTTGCTCATCGCTGTTGCCAAAGAGTTTATTATGGCGGTTTCCCCTCTAGGGTCCTCTTGTCTCTGGCGGCGCAAGTCTAAAAAAGAACCGTGATTGGTAGGTTCAATATTCGCATTATTCTGCTTCAATTCTTCCCTCAGGACAGAATAATGAGTTTCTTGGCACTTGTCTGACTTTCTACCCAAGACTGGTTGTTCACTATTCTCAAGTTGCCTTATATGTGTCCTCTCACTGCCTGCCAAGCTGGCCTCCGGGACTTTGGCAGGCACGGGCTCGTCGGAACTGTCGAAACTTATACCATTCACGAAGAGTTCCCAGGCCGAGGAACCTAACGCGGTAGGGTCTGCGAGGCTTTGGCCCTGTGATGTTTTAACGACTGTAGCTGCTGAATCAGGACTCTGTGCTAGCGGCTGGTCGTCGTGCATCGCTGAAGTAGGAAAGGAAGTTTTGCAGGAAGAATCAAGATCAATGAGATTTGACATCGAGTCATGGTGCTCGAGTTTCGAGTTTTGATTATGGGATTCCTTGCCTAGGTTGGACAATGTTAGTAAGGGCATTTCGCAATTTCTCTCCTGCGGCTCACTCACGAGATGTCTCTGCTATTCCAACAATTGACTGGGCGATAGGACTCAAATCCGGCTCCTGAGCTGAGGACCATTGCCGTGCATGGCGTTTCCACTTGATTGTTTTGTTGATCTCCTTCGCCGCTTCTTTCTCTTTCTCCAACCGGCAGAGCTTTTCTTTCTCATTCTTCCACGGAATTTTCTTAACTTGACTGTCGTTCCTCTCTTTTGCGCTCTTGTATGAATGCCGGGCATCTCTCAGGGTATTACGAAGAATAAGTAGCTTTTGCTGCGTTTCTTGGCTAAGGCTGCTGCTTCTATCGCTCTCCGTCGAAGTCACAACATCAAGCTGACTAGTCTCTGGGTTAAAACCTTGAACGCCCAAGTAATCGCCACTCTCTTTCAGATTGCGTCGAAGTTGACGTGTCTCTTTTTTCGCCTCGATGTTCTGAAGCTCAGCTGCAGATGGTGGTTGTGGCCCTAAACTGTTAACAGCCGCAGAATTGGCTCGGTTTTGATCTGTCCTAGAAGCCCCTTGTACTTGTTCCATATCCGGGATATCCGTTCGGCTTTTCATAGCATCCTCGCCAGGAGCCCAGCTCCATTTTCGATCAGCATCCAGAACCATGTTTTCTTCGCAATCACGGCGGGTCTTCCCACCGTCAGATAGATCTCTCGCCAAGTTCCATTCAGTGATATGATTTGACCCTGCAGTTGCGCTCCTTCGACTTCGTCGGCCCAATGCTGCGAAATGCGCCTCGTGCTGATTAGAATGCGTCAACTCCTGCTGCTCCCAGTAGCCTCGACGACGGAGTGTACCCCTACGCTCCGGTCGGTGGCTAGGCAATATGTTCTTGACCCAGGAGCTGATGGAGTATGACCTATGGGCGTCGACAGATGGTTTCCTTCCTGTTGTTGGCTTGGACTGTCTATCAGGTTGTACAGGCGTTGTCGGACTCAGGATGGACGCCTTTGGAGGAAGAAACGGTGACATGTTGCACGTACCTACAGGGGCGATATCACGAGAGCCGGGCTTTCATTACTAGTTGAACAGTGCCTCGGCAGCTGGCAGTGAATCTCGTCAGGTGCTTCCAGCTGGGGGTGTGAAGCCCGCGCCAAGTCAGACGCAAGTAACAATAAATACAAGGGAACAGCTCGGCAGCCCAAGGAATAAATCAAGTCCCAGAGTCAAGAATGTTTATTGTGCTTCGTGGTCGTTGATTGTACCACGCAAAACGGAAGGCGTTGTTTGTATTTCCAGAAGTAGGCGCATCCGGCGCGTTTGCCCGTGTCGCGAAAATCGGGAAAGGAGCAACCGGTCCGTGGTTTGACAATGGGCTACCGCCCATGAGTTGGACTATCCAAGTCCATGAAACACTGGCAGTCAGGCACCAGTACCCAGGTACTTAAGTATGTGAGCTTTGTGTATTAGAATATAGCGATTCGTATAAAGACAGCCCCAGCTCCTAGCCTAACCTAAATAGTGAAAACGCCAGAAATGCCATGAAGACAACGCAACATGAGTGTTCTCCTCATTAATAATAGCCGACTAGCCTCGCCATCGCTTAGGAAACCTTTCCGACGCCGAATGCTTGCCCATATTGGCAAACGGATGCGGCGAGCTGTTGATATTCGTACTGGTGAAGCGCCTCTTTTCTGAGTATTTTGTCGGGCTACTTGGGGGTTCCTGACCACTCTGTTCATATGCAGCTGCTTCCCTAGAACCCCTAGGCGAGAAGTTGTCACTATTCATGTCTCCCATACTAATAGCCTTCTTCAAGGGGGATTTCTGGTGCGCGTAAACGCCAAGGCTGCCTCCAAAATTTGTATTCATGCCTGTTGACGTGCCCACTGTGGAGGTTGACGGCGGAGCAGGTGTGTAAGCAGCAGGAACATTACTACTCGGGGTGTATCCAGCCGGCAAACTATGTCGGATACCCGAAGAACGATGACTGCTTAATGCGGGAGTGAATAGCTCTGTTCGCCGGCTGGCAGTGGCAGGCGTGAATATCTGTGGTTTCATCACATTGCCAGCACGGAGACTGGGACTGTTAAACCTCTTAATTGGCGTGGCCTCCTCTGAGTCGACATGTGGGTTACCATGAGAGATAAAGGATCGCCTGATGAGCGTCGTCGGGGTTCCAACCTGAACAAACTCTCTTGAAATTACTGGTTGATCGTCCGACATTTGAGTCCCGACGTCTCTGACAATCGGGTGGATTCGTGGCTGCACAAATTTGGCATCGTATTCATGGAAAACCTCCTTCTGAACGATAGCGCTATCCTTGGCCTGCTGCAAATATCTCGATGATAGCAAAAGCATCTGCGCAGACAAGACCACTTGCATAATCAACGAATTAAAAACGGTGACACTAGGGCGAGGGTCCAAAGGCGCCAGAGGCAAGAAGATTAGATAGACGAGCACATGTCCCGGACTAAACAAGCATGCCAGCCGAACGCAAACAGGGAGAGGGTCCCAGACCGAGAGCTCCCATACATCCCGGCTCTTGTCTGGATGGGCCCTCGATTCGGCTGAATCTGAAGTAATCATGTCGGCAATAAAGCGCAGCGGCGACGAAGCCACAGGCGAAGACTGCACTTTAACTCGTCGAACAGAAGATGTACTCGGTTTCACGTCGATATTTGCCTCAAATAATCTGTACTTTCTACTTCGCGAAACAGTATAAATGGCGTTGATAATAGAAAATGCAATGAGCCCCCACGATAGCGGATAGATCTACCAATTCACCGCGTCAGCTTTTAAGAGGCTCCAAGCTTCCCATATATGTGAAAGACTCACAAGCATCGACAACCAGCGGGATGAACCGTCGTCTCCAAAAATATCATCACTTGCCTGCTTGGAACCCGAGTTCGCCCGCACGACGAGGAAGAGAAAGTTCAACCCCAGGCCGAGTTGGGTTCCCACCAGACCCGAATCCCAGTCTCTTGTCTCTATCTCTTCTGAAAGCCACAGCAAGAAATCCATGGGGTTCAGCGTTGAAGTGATGCGATCCCAAAGGGGACGCCGTCGCACGAGTCGGGGCATGGTTTATGCCGTCAGGCTGTTCGGCAGGAGGATCGAACCTATTAACGAATCGACGAGGGCGGCACAAAAGCTCAATGGCGACCAAATCCTTGGAGTGTGTGGCCGTGTCTCGCCGACAGAAGAGAAGTCACGGGCGATAAGCGCCGCGAAGTCCCTTTGTTGGGGGCTTGACGAGAGGGATGGTCGGCGATGTGTGTGTTTATGTGCCCCGTGGTATGAGCTTTTTCTGTCCATGTCCAGGTTTCCAGCTCGAGCCCAGTGCCCAGCAGCAACAACCAAGCAGGGGCGCTGGTTCGAGAGCTAGTGCCTCAACGAGGCCTGGTCCCACTTAACTTTGCAGGCGCCAGCTGCAGCACCTTATGTACGTGCAGGCACTGGGGCAACAGGCAGCTGGTCCAGCAACTGGGGCACTCGAGACCTCCCACCGCCTGCCTGCCTTGGCTTGCGCTGCCACCATGACGGCTGGGCCAACTCCAAACATCAGCCATCGCCTCAAGCTATACAACGGGGGATATTGCCGCAGCCAGGTCGCCATACAAGAGTCAAGATGGCCAACCAAGCCGATTTCAAGAACCGAGAATTCCTTGCCGTCATTGGTGACGAGGTAGGTTGAGCCGTGGGACAACATTTCTACCGCCGGGAAGACGAGGGACGTATCGTAACGACAGGCCTTGGCTGACGCATCTAGGACTCGGTAACGGGCTTGCTACTCGCAGGCATCGGCGTAAGTACATGAACCGCTGAATCGCAAACGCACCGGCGTGGGAAGACTAATCAAATCATTCGCAGCACGTCACAGCTGGCGCCGACGCCCAAAAGAACTTCCTGGTTGTGGATAGCAAAACGGACACAGCGGCCATCGAATCGGCCTTTGATCGATTCACCCAGGACCGAAATGACATCGGCATCGTCTTGATCAACCAACACGTCAGTGCAACGCGGATACATGCGCATGTCCTGGTTTCAACTTGGATCAACTGACAGAATGTGGTAGATTGCGGACCGGATACGGCACAGAATTGACACATATACCGCCGCCTTTCCGACTGTTCTGGAAATTCCCAGCAAAGACCACCCATACGATCCCGAAAAAGACAGCGTTTTAAGACGGGTCCGTCGCCTGTTTGGGGAGTAAAGACCAGCATGCATGGCATATGAGGTGATAAAGATACTACGGATAACATCCAGCCTAATGCGTTGACCATGGCGGCACGAAACGCGTTGCACTTGCGCATTAGACCGCTTGCTTGAGATATATCGTTTGCTGAAATACGGGGCTGTATGCTAAAAAAGAAAATGAATAAAGGTATAGCCGCGTTATTAGTTTCTCCTCGACGAAAAAACAGTTCCGGGCCTGGCTCCCTGATCCAACTCATTACGCAGTCCTTGGAAAGTACCAAGATCGAACAAGCCCTCAGAAAAAACCGACAAGAGTGCTGGCATAAAACTCATCAAATTTATGGCCCTGTGCATCCAAAAAATGCAGTCTGAAGTGATAAACATGACAAACAATGATGTGGAAGCAAAAAGAGCAGAAAATTAACACAGGCTGCCGTACGGAGTGTCTCGTAGCAAACCATCGTCTAATGACTCATTTCCGTCTAATCCATTACAACTCGCCGCCAAGGAAATCCATTCCGGGCATGTTGAACTTCACAGTAGCAGTCAAGCAGGTGATTCTCTCTCCGTTAGCAGCGAAGACATCAGCCTCGACGTTATAGGTGCCCTGCGTGCCGAATTAGCTTCACTTGGTCCAAGACACCTACATACTAGGGCATCGCAAAATACTTACGGGCGGGATCTCTTTGGGCAGTTGAACAGTCTTGGTGATGACCCTATCGCCGGGTTCGACGGGACATTTCAAATCAACTTCCCCCATTTGCTCACACAGATCGGCTTTGGTCTTGAGAAGTCTGATAAGCCCATACTTGACAGTCAGATCGATATATGCGCCCTCTTTAATGGTCTTCTTGACGGTTCCCTCTGCCTTTATGACGAGATCCTGGCCACTAGAGTCGAAGAGAACAAACCAGTCAGCATAGTCATTCGCCACCGGATAGCCAACCACCATCTCACCAAGGCGCGAAGGGGAAAGCACATACGCAGAAGGAGGGTTCGGGGCCAAATCCACGCTCTTTATCTCAACATATCCTTCAGCCTTCCTGTCAGAGCAGTGCTCCAGCGGAGACTCCCCGGGAATCTTCAAGTCGTCATTAGAAGTGATGGCCCTCTGGGATTCACTGTTGAACAAGCTCAGTGCCGCCGAGGGCGCCAGGAGGGTGGACAACGCAGCAACAGAGAATCTCATTTTCGCTCAGCAGTTGACGGCGATGAGCACAGCCGCTGTGGATTATGCTGGGGAAGAGGCAGTGGAAGCCCCTTTAAACGGCGTAGTCTCGGCGTTTCGGTCGTAGAAAAGTCGCTGGACGATGTCGCTGCATGAAGCGAGAGATGACGGCAGCGAGTGTTGGGGACGAGACATGGCTGGAGTGAGCGGACGGCAGTTGACTGGTTGGCTGACGTGACCCACAGGTTGTGAATGGGCCGCTTTGTGGCTGGGGCACGACAGGACGTCATGGGATCACTTGAACAGGGAATACTACTACGACGTCTGGTACGGAGTACTAGTACTACGGAGTAGTGCAGGATGGCTTGGCTCCACTGGTTCAAATGTTCCATGTCGGCGTTGGCGCTGCCTCGATTCATCATGAAGTGTTTGCCGAAGCGGTGGGCTGTAATGTACTGTGCAAGTCATCATTCAACAAACAAAGTGCAGATACAAGATACAAGAGCCAAGCAGGAACCAACGGGCCAACAAAATCTGTCTTGTCCTTGCGTAGTGCAAATACCCAGACACGTCTCCAACGCCCACGAGTTACGTTTCAATCCAACCACCCTATACAGAGTATTCTAGCTATTACTAGATGACAACATCTTGTTTCGACAGATTAACTAGGAAGTTTGGGGTCGACCACGGAGGTGGACTTTTTGTGTTTCGTGTTTCTCAAAGCCGTGTGACAAGTGCGAGTCTGCGACTGAGATTCGCCAGTGGTGCCCCCGTCCCGTATTTTATGTGAGATATTCCGTCACACTCATCAGCTCCTCCATTCTCTCCATGCCGCCTATATTGCACGTGGTGATACGGAGCACAACACCCTCATATTGACAGTGGGAAGAGCTCCGGAACCAAACCACCACGGTACCGTACGATACCAGTGGGACCATTAACAAGTCGCCTTGGTAATGTGTCGTATCGCAAATCTTCCGAATGACGCCCACACATCACCAAAGGTATCTAGAGATCCTGCCCGAAGCTGCGAGGATTATTGGCCTGAGTCTGTTATTGACAACATCGTGAATATTGACTTTGCACTGGCAAACTCCCGAAGCAAAGGGAGAGTACACTACCCAACAGTAAAAGACTTGCGTGAAAGGAAGCAATCCTAGGTACATTGAACGACAAGCCGAGGATTCATGTCGGTTCGGAGCATATCCGTCGTCACCATTGACAACGAATTTTGGACGACTTTGTACTCAGTAATAGACAGTCACAGTCGTAAGATTATCCATTCGCATTTCGCTCTTCACTGCGTTTGGTTTCACATCGTGACACTCTTCGCGAGGGAAAATTCGGCGAGAGACGATTGTTTCACTGCACCTTTGTGACGTGACGCAAAGTTGAGGGAAGACAGAGGAAAGGCAGAGACAAAAAGCAACAACCCGCGACGACAGCCCAGCACCTTAGGCTCGAAACTCTCCACACAAACGAAATGAGACCACAATTTCCGCCGCAAGGCACCAACAGGCACCAGCAGGCACCAGCAGGCACCAACTCAGCCGTGGGTGCCTTGGGCAGGAATGGCAAGCGCACAGACCACCTACCAGGTAGTATATAATTCCTGCTTCCCGCCGTCCTCTTTCAGATTTTTTCTTCCTTTCTTCTTCATACTTACCTTGTTCCAGTATCCCGAGATCACGAACACGGGATACTAGCGGAGGAGGCCTGCATTGCACATCGCGGAGTCGTCCTGTGCTCAATTGTCCTTCGGGGCCATTGGGGGCGTAATTTTTGATTTTTCCATTGTGTTTGCAGTTTTTTAACTGCGACATGAAGGAAAAGCTTAGGCTTCATTGCAAGTCATGTTAGGCCACATTTTGATGGGGAGTACGCATCGTGGGCAATGGATCAAGACTGTGTGTTGGGAGAGCGTTGGAAGCAGTGCAAATTCGCACGACGTGCAGCGTCGCTCATCAGCAAATAGCAAGGTCTTTACAAACTGTTTCAGTAACATTTTGTCCGTGGTTTTGTTGGTTTCTGCACACGAACAAGAGCAACTGGTGCATGTTCTAATGGTTACTCTGGTTGGGAAGGGCGCGCGAGCACTTGAGCCAGGTGTAGGTCACTCGCCGCCGTGTTTTCCTATGATGCTCAGAATAGATATCGCACATCTGTGTCGTCCACAGTCATGTGGCCTAGGTACAATCTCCTGGCTCGCCGCCTTAGATGCCAACGGGTAGTTTATCAGTCGCTTGCTTGTCGTAGCTCCAGTGAGACCACGCTGCAGGACGAGTAATGTGTGTCCGGTCGCAAGGGCATGCCACTTATTATTCGGGTAGTTTGTCTTCTATTCACCTCGCTTGGGCTCTATTTGTTTCGGGGAAGAGGCGACAATCAGTCGCTCGTGGAGGATTTCCAAAGTGGTTGACCGCTGGTTGCGGTCGCCTGTGGCAAAGAACCACCTCGTTTTCGAATATCAGACGCAATTCAGAAGCAGATTGGCAATGGATCGAAACGCGCTCAGAAGCCCTGAAAGTCATCTGGATCGAGCAAAGGTTAGCAAAATGTAGAACCTATGGACAGAAGCAAACGGATGCGAAGCCCATCGGCTGCATAGCAAGCCATGTTGGCCATGACCACCAGGACGCCTATCAGGAATCACCGACTGCTTAAGTACCTAGGTAGTTTGCAGCACGAATCGACCCTTGTCCCACTGCTCCGTGGACTTTGCCTGGTATTTATTGTTGATGTGCAGTTCTCTTGTTCTACCTCAGGCACACTCCAGGCAACATTTGAACTCCACTTATAATTCCTGTCCTGATTCCTGACCCCCCCTCTCTCCCCCTCCCGGTCATCTTGTCTCGAGCACTCATGGATCTAAGTACCTAGGTTGGTGGGCTGGTGAGGAGTCATGAATCTGCATCACGTCTGCATCACATCTGCGTCTGCGTCTGCGTCTGCGACTTTCTGATCTCCAGTGGTCGTAGGAGGCGACGCCCGTTCCCGGTACGGAGTTGGGAGTCTAGCGCGTGGGGCAGAGGTAAGAATTGTGGCCTCAGGCATGCATGCGATAGCAGGTGGATCAGACTTGTCAAGTAATGTAGCCAACGACCATTCAGAGCGAGTCATCGAGCCAGAGCTATTCCTAGCTAGGCCTAGCGCCACTCAGATGCGACGCCTTGGCCATCCTGTGTTTTTCTTCCCCCTACGGAGTAGTAGTAGTCCCTAGGTGCCTCTTTCTTCTTCCTTCCCCTCTGACGCATGTCCTTGTCAATTTCTCTCCGCCTCCGCCTCCGCCTCTACAACTTCTGGTGGCTGAAATTCGCACACACCCCCTTCGTGAGGGAGAGACAGCACTTTGGGACCGGGCCGCCTTGTTCTTGGTCTTGCACCACATCACTACAGTACGGAGCTTGGCGATACGTTTATCTATTGTATATATGTACAATTGAAAAACCGATAGAGGCGAGCAGACTATTAACAGCGGTGGAAACATGTGGCAGCATGACATGACATGACGTGAGAAAGAATGGAGGAGAACGGATGGAGCCAACTCGGGGTTTCGGACGTCAACCTTGGAACTGCCAGTTCTTGGTTTGCAATGTGCAATGCGGAGCGACTCACTTTCGTGCGTGTTTGTCCGTTCTGTTGAATGTGGAATGTAGCGTCGGAATAACGGATGAATCTCGACCTGGATGCAACAACATCATCCACGGCTGGTAGTGTTTGATGCACTTCTGATGCAAGTCGAGGTGAGAGGCGCAGGTTGCTTGCTATAACTGGTGCAAGAAGCTAAATGGGCCAGTTCTACAATGCAAACATCCGTGGTCAGCATCAGCGGCAAGCAAGCAAGCATCAGATCCTGGCTTCACGCCGTCTGCCGTCAGCCGTCTGCTGTCTGCCGTCGAGAGTTGGCTGTCGAGCCCAAATGCCTGGACACACATTCCACTGCAATATCGGATCTGAAATTGTAATCCATGTGTGAGGACAGAGTTCTCGGGTGTCAAGGCTGTCTTTGTGAGCTCCTCCGGACTGTCCCCTTAACGTGGGACGGCTCAAAAGCTTGAGCAAACTGGTAATTTGTTGCCTCGCAGGTCGCGTTGCCTTTGACTGCACTCGTCTGGCTCAACAGCGCTATAACTATCATTGGTCCTATCTGGTCGATCCAGTCTCCCCTAGCTGGCTCACAGACAGTACACACATCGACACACAACACACGCCCTCGCAACCACCAGCGCAGCCGGTCGTCGGTTGTCCGTTCCCCGTGCTGCGTCAAGCTTTTGGCCGCTCTGGCCGCTCTGTAGCTGCTCAAAGTGGTCAGCCCCCCTCACACCCTAGTGCTTGACTGCCCGTAGGCCAAAGTTCCCGTCGATGTCTGGTCCTTCGATCCCATCCCAGGGCCGCCTCGCCTCCCCCCTCCCTCCCAAGCGTCGACTGGTGTTTTGGGTCCTCCGGGTCGCTCTTTCCCCATCCTGCTGCCATTTGCTACACATTGAATCTTGGCTCCTTCCCCCCCAAATTCCCATTCTGTTCTGTTGCAGCCCACGATTTGTCTCTCCCTCTTCCTTTCGCACACACGCACACACGCCCACCTTCATCGCCCCTTCGTTTCTTCGACTGAACGACGCGATTCACTACATTAGACCACTCTCGATTTGCTTGGCCACTACTTCTGGCCCTGCTTCTCGCTTTTCTTTTGTTATATTCGCTACTGCGCAACTGTCTGCCTCCACGCGCCACAACCCGCCGCGCTCCGTCATCTCCAAGTCCGTCCTGACGCTTCTTCCACGGCTTTGGTGAAGAGACTTTCACTGCTTTCCAAACCTACCACCCTCTTTCGACTCGTCGAATAAAGGTTGGTTTCTGGCTTTAGACAACGGAAACTCTGGTCGGCTCGATTGATTTTTCGTTCCGATCAGCCGTGGCGTCGCTACCCTTCCGCAGCCGCTCTGCGCCCGACGCTCTTTCCATCCTCAATTCGCTGTGCACACTCGACAACTCCTTCGATCGTCGGCAGTCTGATCGCAAAGAGACAATCTCACCCCTATTTAGGCGCCAGGCTATATAAACCTCACGTTCGGAGTTCCGTCCTCTGACAACACCACGGGCGCGCCTCTTTGCACAGCGGCGTCATGCCCTCAAGACTGCGACCTTAATTTTCTGCTTCGCACTCACGCCTTTCGCCGCCAACTCCTCGTGAGATCTCCTTCAGATTATGACAGACACGCCCGCGCCGCCGTCGACGCAGGCACCACTTCCCAGTCAGACCGTTCCACCTGCGCCCGTGGATACGGTTGTCAAAGATGACCCGACTATTGCCCCGACCGTGGAGCAGACGGAGGAAGAGCCTTACACCATCAAGTGTATCTGCAACTTCTCTGACGATGACGGAAACACAATCTACTGCGAGACGTGCGATACTTGGCAGCACATTGACTGCTTCTATCCTAACAACAGAGATGAGGCTATCCGAGAGGACTTTGCTCACTCTTGTGCAGAATGCAAGCCACGACCCCTAGATCGACAAAAAGCCATCGAGCGAACCCTTCGACTGCGAAATGCCAACAATATTTTAGAAGCACAGAAGGAACCCCTGGACAAGAAGACGAAGCGACCTCCGACCAAGGGCGCCAGAAAGAAACCGAAGCCTAACGACCTACAATTAAATGGCCACCTTGAAAACGGCAAACTAGCCAGCCCCCCTCCCCCTTCCTCGAAGAAAGCGAAATCCGCACACCGCCCTTCGCACTCTGTCAGTTCCCAGCCGTCGAAGCGAAGCCCTTCGTACGGTCAAAACTCGCGATCGAATCCCGCCCATCCTCCCAGTCCCGCCACAACGCCCCCTGATCTCCCCAATGATTTTCAGATTCATCACTACTCCGCTGGATTTTACTCCCTCTATAATGAGCAAGAGGTCCCCGATACACATAATAATGCCTTTGCCAGTCTAGCTATTCCCACAGCACTTTCACGATGGTTGCGAGATCCCGATACGATGAAGCAAGAGGTGGGCAGGACCCGTGCAGAAGTCTTTCAAGATGAGCCACCCAACGTGGATCAGATGAGGCCAAAGCTAGAGGTAAATGATACCACCCGATCAGTGGAGCCTGGAACAACCCTTCGATGGCGCTGTATCGAATCGACAACAGCAATCGAAAAGGATGTTGCCTTAATCGAGCTGAATGGCGAAATTGGCTTTCAAAAGGACTATTGCGCTAATCCTGTCAACCTCTGGGCTGACCTCTCTTGCCCGCTCCCTTTTGTCTTCTTCCACCCTAGTTTACCGCTGTACATTGACACCAGAAAAGAAGGCTCTCTGGCGAGATATGTGCGGAGGAGCTGCAAGCCAAATGCTCAGCTGGACACGTATTTGTCTGGGGGGTCAGAATACCACTTTTGGCTTGTCAGCGACCGATATATCCCTGCCAAGGAACAAATTACATTACCTTGGGATTTCCGACTGGAAAAGAGTGTGCGGGACAGGTGGCTTCATTTACTGGGATTGAGCGATGACGACTCTGCGGCTCAGGACGAGCCAGAGTTGGACTCGGCTGAATATACAGCCATTTCTAACTGGATCGACCGAATATTATCTGAATACGGTGGCTGTGCCTGCGATCTGGAGAATAATTGTGCCTTTGCCCGTTTTCATCGGCACTATATTTTTGGCAGAAATCAAAGCAAAGGTGGAAAGAAGAAGTCTCGAAAGCCCCGTAATCACACTATCTCGCCCACTAGCACTGGTCACGCTACCAATAGCAGAGCTGCCAGTGAGGGAAATATTGACGAAGGAGCCGATGATGTCAAAGCTGAAGGAGGGTCGCGCAGTAAAACTCCAAGTCGTGACCGCACGCCAGTGGGGTCTTTCGATCAACTTGGAATACTAACTGAGCCAACGGATAGAGACAAGAGGAAAGTAGCCATGGTGGAAGATTCATTCCGTCGAATGGAACAACAGCAACCGCCAAGGAAAAAGAAGCGCGTCTCTGATGGGACAACGTCCTCATCGAAATCAAAGTCAAGGAATGGTTCAGCGGGTCCACCTGGGCAGTACGTTGACGCAGGTACATCTCGCAGCAAGTCTGGCTCACCGGCTACCGGAAGGTCGCCAAGCATCGGATATCCAAAGGCATCGGGCAAGCCTTGTCCATCTACATCGGGCTCCAGGCAGACTTCGGCAGGTCCCCGCGCAATGTATTGCGATGCAGCCGTACAAACAGACCCCGTCGAGGGCCATTGGATAAGCGAATCCTGCAATCTAACGCCGATTAAGAAGAAAATTATCTCGCTTTCGAAGAGATTGATGAATAACCGACGCCAAAGTCTAATCACTGAGGAGGAGAGGAAAAGAAGTTGTTTGACAAGCCAATCATGCAGTGTCTCAGCTATGGAGCTGGACTCGCCTATCAGCGAACATCGACCCTCGGTCGCTAGCACTGGCTCTGATGTAACATCACCGACGTCGCACACGACCGATACCAATTTGGCTGAAATACCTCAGAGTATAGTATTGAATGGCACGACGATAGAAACGAGCAAGATGAAAGTGCTAGATCTTCGTGTACAGTTGCCTCCAGTACCTGCGTTTGACAGTACGGGGCTAGCTGCGTCAACTACGGCTACTCCTCTATCAGCAGCAAGTTCTGCAGCGCTATCCCCGTTTGGAACTACAAGCGCCTCCAATTCTTTTGCTGTAGGGTCGATCAATGGTATCGCGGCAGCCCCGAGTCCTGTCAAAAAGAAATTGAGCCTCAGCGATTACAAGAGTCGACTAAACAAGGCGGCAGGCAAAGTCGCGGGAGGATCAACTCTCTTGAAACCAGGCCTCGCCAGTCCTGAGGACGTTCAGGTGGAAATGACGATGGACCCTCAGCCATTGGACAAGACCGATGACCCAACACCAGCAGTGAACGGGGCCTGATTTGTATAAGGAATGTGTATGATGTATACTTGTTTATCGCTGACGATGCGGGTTTTGCTGTTTTAAATGCCAGATAGTCATGCAGACGGGTTCATAGTGTTGCAGGCAAGCCCACCCAAAAGTGGAGGGAGGAATACACTTGGCCGTCAAAACACCAAAGTAGTTTGGAGCTCACGAAAGCTTTGTTTTATTTCACTTTTTTGGGCTGGCCTGGGGTTGGGGTGTATCGACTGGATTTTTATTATCGAACACGGCGTTAACAGAGAAAGAGAAATAGGATGAAATCGGCGTTGATTTGGACAAGGGGGACAAAGGGGTTCATGGGAGTGGTTATTTGGATGACTCAACAAATACAGCGATGATGCACTTTGCGCGTCTGTATAGATGACCAAGTGTCTGCGGATCGCGGTGTTTTTTTTTCTTGAAATGGTGGGAAAAGGTCGTATTAATTTCAAGAGAAGGGGCGTTTATTGGGCGCACTGACACATGGCTGGCTTGTCTTTTTTTCCCTTTTTTTTCTTATAATATCCCTTTTCTACTCTGTGTATTTGTATGTCTTACTGTGCGTACTGGAAGTTTCTGCGTGCGAGTAAGGAGGAGGAACGCCTGACACTACCTAGGTAGTTGAGATGAATGGATCGATCTATGGATGACAACATCCAACCACTCCTACATGATGGGTTCATGGTGCATATGTGATGAATTTTTTCTTCTTGAATTTCGCTACGCAGGTGTATCAGTGATCGCTGGAACAGGCTCGTTGGTAAATGCCGTTCACTCGGAAGTAGGACATTGGCATGGTTCCTTCTATATATCCGAGTTCATTTTACGGGTATCAATTCAGCTATGTAGAGTAGGCGATAGCATTTCGTAAAGCTCCATGTTCTCCTTCGCCTAGTAGAGATATGCGGCCAGCCAAATGCTCTATCTAATACGCAGTGGTACCCCAGTTATCTTCCTTAAAGACCAGCAGGGCCAGCTTGTGCCTTACAAACAAACCAAACAGTCCCATAAGCAGCTGCAGCAACGTAATTTCCGTCGCCAGTCTATCTTCTCGCAAGGGACCCCTCCACACCAGCCACAGATTCAAAATGGTAAAGTTGCTGGTTTCCACAAAACTGCCCTTTTCGTCAACAGTCACCTTCAGGAGGTGCAGTTTCCCGAGGAGGCGTAGTCCCTGTGCTACCAGAGGGTGCGGTTGGCGGTCGGGGCTCCACGGAGTCACGGACGGTTCCATGAGACCTGTTCGGGCGCTGAATTTGGGGAGGCGGTGACGCGGGCAGGGAACCAGTCCAAAGATTTGCGGTACCGAGTAAGCAAAGTTGAAGAATTGGGGGATGAGGAGGAGGCCAAGGGTTTTGGAGAAATGGCCCTGGATGCCGACGACGGCAAAGACCATGCCCGAGAAGTAGCAATATGTGTCGCCGACAAATACCTTTGCGGGATACCAGTTGTGGTGGAGGAGTGCGGCGGACACGCCTATCCAGGGGAGGAGGAAGTAGAGCGAGAACAAGTGCGAGTCGGTGGCCGGGTGCGGGTAGGGCGTGAACAGGTACAGGCAGTCGTTGAAGGCGATGAGGGCGGCGATGACAAGGCATTGGGATACCTCGATGCCGTTTATGCCGGCAAGCATGTTGATGCTTTGCGGGCAGAACATGGCTATGCAAGCCATGTAGACGTAGTACAGGGGACCGAGGTCGAATAATTCTCCAATGTAGGGTTGTAGTTGGACAGGGATGACGATGGAGGTGACGTTGAAGTCGACAAAGTATACGACCAGCAGGGGGATGCTGGCGAGACCTGGAATCCACCACTTGTGCCGCCATCGAATGTCGAACAGATCGTCGCCGATCCCAAGCAGCGCAATGGTCTGGAGAGATATGATGGCACCCAGATAGGAAGCAAGCTTGTTGTGTGGGAAGCGGTGGAGGAAGCGGCCGTGGTCGACATGTTCCTGCTCCAGAACAACATCGCGATTACCGCCGCCAGACGTGGCGGCGACGATGTCCTTGTAGAAGGGGAACGGAATGAATACGATGACGGTAAGGAGGTAGACAGCGGCGCAGACGGCCCCCATACACTCGGGGATCTCGATGCGGGTTGACTTGCTGAGGTCGCGACCGCGGAAGCCTGCGCGCATGAAGGTTGGGCCGAGCCAGCGGATCATGGCGTAGCAGAGACTGAAGGCGATGATGGAGAGGGCCAGCGAGGCGATGAGGGGTTCGCCATCGCCTTGGAAGGTATTGAGGAGGACGGAGAGCGAGGCGCCACTGAGTATGAGGAGGGTGAGAGTTTCGGAGCGGGAGAGGGATGTTGGCGAGTTGGGAGGCGACGAGGTGCGCATCTTGCAGACGGTGGTTCGTGGGTCTGTGGTGTCGAGGTTATGGCATTGTTGCCAATTGGCGTCGTATGACTTGTTTCGGAGAGTATTTGTGGCTGTAGATGGTAGAAAATAAGGTAAAAAAAAAAGAAAGAGACTGTGATGAAGTGGTAAGAGTGCCAGGTGCAAGATTGAGCACTCGAGTGTTCTTGAACAGAAGAACAGGATGGGAAACTTGAAGCTGCGAGTTTAATATGACGATGCAGCTGCCACGGTGGCTTTGGCAGGTGGCTTTGGCAGGCGGGGCTAATTAACGCGGTTACATGCTACACGTGTTAATTAAGCTGAAAGATACACGGAGTAACGAACCTTCGACTCCACTCGAGTCTCCGTCCTATTTCCACGTACCTATCTAGTAGGTCGCCAGGTACGCCGGGATACAGGAAAAGGTCAGTTGCTGAGTACGTCAAATTGTATGCCATCCCCCCCCCCTCTTGTTATATGAAGAGAAAAGATCGAGTCTGACTTTTGGTAGAAGACCGGGTTGTGGTGTTGTGGTCGTGAGGAGAACACTCTCATCAGTCCAGTCCCATGCCCGCCTATTCCATGTGTTGTCGACGGCAGACAAGTCGGCATTCTCTTCAAGTCCTACGATCATGAGGCTACCCTATCTATCTCGGGGGCATCGGGCGATGCCCCCGAATACCTTTGCCCAGGCACAGACGCAAAAGCTTATTGTCTAGGTGCGGTAGTCAAGACGGGAGTCTCCTTGTGCGCTTGTGCCTGTGCCCAAAAGCGACTTGACATCTTTGCCACGTGGAGCCTACATCCAGGGGCACGGTCGATGTAGTATATTATAAGGAAACGTGAACTAAGATGTTAATATGTTTACAGGGAGAGTCATGGATGGATAGTACTGCTCCGTAGACTACCCGAACAGCGCTTCTATTACAGTTGGAAACCGTCATCCAGACCAGTTGTTCGCCAATACAGACCTGAGATCCTTGGGGATGTTTGGTTGTGCCAAATGCCAGCCATCTCGGGAAAATATAGAGGGCATCATGGTGCTGGGCACCACCAAAGGAAAAGAAAGAAAAGAAAAAAAGCACCAAGCGGAAGACGCTGCCCAACCCAAGATGATTTCAATACCAAAAAAACGCATGCCAAGCCCATGGGCGCCCGGAGACAACCCAACATTCTAGGTAACATCCGCGAGGAGACACCATGGTACCCGGTACAAAAGACATAGTGCAGATGCCACGACGCCCGCAGATGCGCCCTGCGGACATTGTCCACCTGCGGCGTTAATGAATATGCTGGTTAAGCCGTTTGTTGGGCGGCTTGGGGGGGAGGGGCCGTCCTGAGCTGCAAAGCTGCTACATGAACCCCGATGCGCCGCCTCTGACCAAGAACCAGATCCTCGTGGATGGACTCGTGCGCCCGTTCAAGATGCCCTCCACCTCGGCCATCATCTTCTGCGTTTTCCTGTATAATAGCGTTCTGGGCAGTCGGATTGCGTGGGCCTGGATCGTGGCGTTAGGGCATGAATTACTATACACGTTTAATATGCGGCCACGTGTATTGAATAGTACACATTGCGGGTGACAAACCCTATTGGAATGTTTTCAAAGTCAGCTCGTGAAACAAAGACTTAGGTGTATTAATGCTAGTTAGCCCATTGGCCTTGACGCCATGCGTGCATACTGTCCGTAGACCCAATCAATACTTTGTCTGTAGCCACTTGAGAGAAGCTGTTCGTAACTCGTTATACCAAGTTCCACTTGGCGATGTAAGACCATGACATGCCGACCCTCCCCCTCTTCGACTCAAACTCCTCCGGTGTGACACCGCGAGCGTCCCTATTATCCATCGTCTCGAGCTTCAGAATCTCTACCGATTGTCCCGGAGCTCCAAGATCTCGAGCGTTGACATCTACCCAGTTCCAGTATCCGTTGGTCTCAGTTGGGATAATCTCATCTTTGCGTCCGTCGAGTCCATGGATACTGAGCAAGAACAGGGCAGGCTTCCCCAGCCCGGCCTTCTCTGATGTCCAGTGCTCACAAACTTTGGAGAATTGGAATCGTACGACTTGCCCGCTATGAACCGATACATCGCGACCCTTTGGCTCCACAGATTCCTCTGCAATGCCCTCACTATTTCCAGTGCCGTACCATTGGTGTGGCTCCCCATCCAGGCCTCCAGTGTAATATTCTTCCCAGGAAATCGTGCGTCCGTCACTCCTGTATTGAAGTCGGGAGTCCTGAGGGAAGTGGCGAAGGCCAAATTTTTCGTTGCTCAGGGTGAACTCGCGCGGAGAGAACTCCTTCTTGTACAGATTCGCCGCCGAGCAGATGTGCCCAGCTCCCCAGCAAGCGTCGATGAGCTTCCAGAAGCCACCATCCACCCTGACAGCGTTCCAGGCGTGCCCGTCCGGTTTTGCCGGAGGCGGTCGCTCACCCTTCTTCAATGGCGTATGGCCAAAGCCCTTTCCGTGACCTCCAACAACTACGCACTCCAACCCCGCTCTATTGGCCACAGCCTTGAACGTTTCTGCGTAGCCTTGACATACTGCCAAACCACTGAATATAGTGTCCTCCACGGACATGTGCCTCACGTTGTTGCCAAAGAAAGACACCGTGTCGTAGGATATGTTGTGATGGCACCATGTAAAAATTGCCCTGGCTTTATCGTCGTATGACGGGAAAGGCCCACATAAGCCACGAGCAAGATGGCCAACAGGGTCCCTATGAGGCAAAGATTGTCTCGGGAACTGTGCTGCCACAGCATCTGGTCCACTCCAATCTCGACACACCCAGCACCCGGTAGTACTGTCCCCTTTACTATCCCCGTTTGATGCACCGGTCGCGGCCTCGGACGACGCGGCGTGAATCTGCGCTGCAGAAGGTCTCGACGACAGAGGCACCGGCGGGGGTGCATCGTCCCTGGTAGCCTCGGCACTGGCAGATGATCTGGAAGGAAGCTGTGGCCGTTGCACTGGAATGGGCGGAGCTTTGATTGATTTCCCGCTAGAAAAGCCCTTGATGGTGCCAAAGGGACGTTTGGGAGGTGCTGGTTTTGTTTCTTCAACTTCAACCGCTGAACTTGTTTGTGCTGGTGCTGGACTTGGAGATTTGGCTGGCCTTGACGGCAACGGCGGTGGCAAGCTGGGCCGAGCAGGAGGGGCCGGGGATGAAGTGTTGCTGACGGCTCGGGCCTCCTGTGCTTTGGCAGCCTGCTTGGCTCTGTAATCCCTAGCGGCCGCGTCTTTTGCAGCGATTTCTTGAGCAGCGGCCTCTTTTGCCCTGGCTTCGAGGTCTCGTTTCGAAGGGGGGAGAGGTGGGAGACTTGCCGCATCGCAGGTAGCAGGGGCCATTATTTTTCGTGGAGCGCTTCCACTGGACGTGTAGCTGATATTGGACGAGGTCGTCCGCACCAATGACGAGGTAGATAGCGTAGAATGCTGAGAAATCTCGGAGGAAGCTGAGTTGCGACGGGGAGAAAGATATGCCGTCGACTGAGCTGATGTCCTCCGAGGCAGGGCCGGGGGAGTCTGAGAGGTTGCTGGCCGTCCTGGCAATGGTGGAGGGCCGCCACCAGGCTTTGTGACCAAAGAGTCATTGCTTGCGACGGAAGTTTGAGTGTCTCTTCGAGGCAAGGGAGGCGGCGCATTCCCTCTCACAGGTCTGGTGGGAATGGATGGATGAGAGTGCCCGCTGGCGGTAGCAGATGCCGGGCTTGGAGCAGGCTCACTTCTTGCCGGACTTTTTGTTCGCACGGGAGGCGCTGGAGGAGGGGCTCGCTTGCGTGGCAAGTCGGTGGTGCCATTGCCATTAAAGTTTTTCTGCTTATTGAGGGCGGCGATCCTCTCGGCGAGAGTATTGAACTGAGGTTCCTCTGTATCTGCCATTTTGCAGACGGTAGACCAATGGCTGAGCCAGCCCGCGCGTATGGGGGGGGAGGGAAGAGAATTGTCGGATTCGAGGGAGGTCGGGATGGCCAAGATGGATGTGTAATATATAGACACTTGTTGACTGGGCGTATTCCGCTACCGAGGATTAGACTGACATGGGGCCCTGCAGGATATGAAGTGGACAGGTTGTGTGCTCGAACGTCGTCGATTTGGACGGACAAGGGGCGTCTCTCGTTTGCAAGCGTCAAGTTCATCGGCGATGTCGAAAACAGAAACAGCCACGTGCATGATTCGCCAGTCCTGGGTGACTCAGGCAGTTGTCGAGGGGACCAGAGGGCGACGAAGAAAATGGGTAAGACGGCACATTCCCAGGCGTTTTTGCGAGGTGTATTTGCGCCCTCGTCCTCCCGACGTCCTCTTCAAGCAAGTCGGGAGGTTTGGTGAGTGGTTTCCAGACGACCTGATGATGGCTGGTCGTCTGCACAGCCAGCCCAGTGGGGTTGGATCGTCGGCGCGGTGGAGGAGCGGCTCCTTGTTTACATGTGGCTGCGGCTGCGGCTGTGATGCCATGGTTATACTTTGACCGGCACAAAAACCCCCTTGGTACCAGGTTTACAAAGAGACAGCATCGCCGTGCCTCTCGGTTCACGCCTCCAGTATTGACGTACAATTATATGTTGTTTGTGCCATTCTTAATTGGCCAAACGTTCGACACGTTTTGACTACCCTACAGCGCAGCTTGTTTCAAAGTTGAGCAAGGCGCAACCGCGATACAGCGAGACACGCGCGCTCCGCGGAACGGACCCCGATCTAGGAGTTTGTCATGGACTATGATCAGCACAACTGTTGCAGGCCACTGTTCAGGTTTTTTTTTTTTTTTTTTTTTTTTCAACAAACTTGATGCCATTGACGGATTGCACGTGCCCCACCAGACACATTGGAGCACCTGCCCAGGCGTCGCGGCCAACGCTCCAGTTGCGCCCCGCCGGAGGCGTGAGTGGAGACGGGCAAGGGCCATGGGCCAACAGGCATGCGACCTCCTTGCCTGCATTGTGTGGGCGATGTGCCCAGGCGCAAGCCCGGTAAAGTGCATGCATTGACGGACACTGCTTTAACTCGAGGCCGGGGGTGGGTCGACTGACCATCAGTACGAAGTACATGTACCGACCAGACCCTCTTTGTTTCTCCTCAAATTCGTTTCGAACTGACTGCTCTGAGCTTGCGTAGCCGACTTCCACAACATCTGCACGAGGCTTGTCTTTCGTCTCCGTCCCCTGATATAGCTGCTTCCGCGCACACATCCGTCACTTCTGCTGGCGTCGCAAGCACGGCTTGTTCTGTCGCATCTGCGTCTGCGTCTGCGTCGCCAGCGTCTCGGCTTGGCCACCGGCTCACGACTGGCGTCTGACCCTACCCATTGACTGCTGCTGTATCGCCGACCTCGCGCAGCTGCCCCTCGAACGCCGGTTCCTGCACTCCGCCTCGTGCCCCAATCTCGGGTATCATGGCGACGACTACAACCGGCGGCGAGGCTGCAGCGGCCGCGGCTTCCCAAGCTTCCAGGACGTCCATCACAATTCTCGACCTGCCCGCCGAAACCCAGCAGGAAATTGTTTCCCATGTACGTGGCCTCCCATTGCACTCGGCCTTGAAGCACCTCGATACTTTGGCCCCGGCACATTCCATGCAGACACCGTGCTTTTTGTCTGTCGTCGGGGACTATTATCCGTTGGTGGGGTCCTTTTGCTGACAGACTTGTCATCGGGATAGTGCTCCCAGGGTGATCTCATTTGTCTAGCCTTGGTGTCTAGACGGTTCCGTGAGCTGGCAGCAGCCCAGCTCTATCGCAGCTTCCACATCATTTTCCCCGATGACGACGATATCAACATTGAATCCCCGATTGACGGGCTGGCTGGTGGCCTGGATACCTTCACCACCAGCGAATATAACTATGCTCAACACCTGCTGGACCTCTCGATGGACACTTTGAGTGCCGGCGTCAAAGGAGAGCATTCGTATCAACCTTACCTATACAGCGCAAGCTGCGGCAAATTCCTCAATACATTGCTGTACCTGACGTTGAAGCGAGCACATTCCTTGGAGTCCTTTCGGTGAGTCGCCACCCCCTGGCGTATGGTGCTACAGTATTTCACCTAGACCGATGGATGTGGGTTAGATATGCTGACTGTTGCCACCATGAATGAACAGCTGGAATATTCGCGTTGAGCTTAGTAGACCCGTGTACGCACAGCTCCACCGCATCAGATCTCTCAAGAGATTACATCTTCGGATGCAGGCGGGAGATTCGTATTATACACCACCGCCTCCCCTGCCTGTATCTATTGACACTCAACCTCATCACCAGCCAAATGGCCACTGGCCTGATGCGATCCTTCCTCTGCAACCACTTGGGCCACCCATACCAACCTCTTTGCAACCACCTGGGAGTCCGCCTCCTGGCCCACCACCCGCTCTATTACCGCCTTCGTCCAGGCCGACCCCCAAAAGCAAGTTAGGCAAAAGAGGCTCGGATAACAAGGAGCCATTGACCCTGTCAGGTTTCAAGTCACTCAAGACCCTGTCTGTGCTGGACATTGACAATCTTGATATCCTGTCTGAACTCAGAACTTGTGTCAAAAACTGCTTTTCCACTATCAAGGAACTCCAGCTGTCCTTGTCCGATTCCTTGGCACAGCAGGCGCGAAGACCACTGGCAGATTCGGATGCTGACGATTCAGACGTTGATGATGAATACCAGGTTGTTCCAACATCAGAAAATGCCACTAGTAGCTATGACACCACCGGCCCAGCAAAGGTCTTTCGAGCTCAAGAAGAGAGAAAGATACAAGAAGTAATTCTGAACAAAGTCTTTGACCTCGAAGAACCTCATTTGCTCAAGAAATCACCGATCCAACTCAGTGCATCATTAAACCTCCAACCAAAGTCTGAGGCAAACACTCAAGAATCAAAGGCTACACGGGGTGACCCTCGTGAAGAGTACATTTCATCGATTCGAACAGTATCTACTAGGCTCATGGCAGCTATGCATGGTTCTAGAGATTTTTCCATCTCTCAACAAGAAATCCTTGATACAATTGAAAAGGCCTCGCGAAAATACGTGGAATCAGATGTGACGGGTGAGAATTCAACAAATAATGGGAGCGGCACGGTCAATGAGGCCGAAGAATCGACGTCGCTGAAGCCGGAATCCACAGCCGACATGCCGAGGGCAGGTCCAAGTGCCGACATTGATCAAAACGAAAACCCCCATCATAATGCCCCTATTGCCAGTGAAGATTTTTGTCAGCACCAGCTGGTTGATAATCCGCCGTCCAGCGGGGCTCAGGGATCTCGAAACGAAGGGGAACTCTCTCCCGATGATATCGATATCGAGCATTTGGAAACTCTAGATGAACACATTGACGAATTCGAGGATCAGCAGCCTACAGAATTCTCCTCATCGCAAACTTTTGCGCTGCGACAAGGCCCAAGTGGACAACACGGTGAGTCCTGCAGCAATTCGGGAACTACGTCAAAGCAGAACCTTCGAACGATGATGCCCAATCAATATCATATCGGTGCAGAATCCAGGCCCAGAAAAACAGACCGTACAGCAATCACTGAAAAGCTGGCACAACTGCGCCGATTGGTTTTCGAGGCAGGGCAAAGAGTTTTGGAAATTCGTGATGAGAGGGGCAGTGAGAGCAGTTCTACTGTTGCCAACGCCCTAGACTCGGAACTTGCACTTCTCACCCGAGGCGCAATAGAAGTGTCTAATGAGATCAGGATCCTTGAGTCTGAAATCGAAGACCTCTTGGATGCGCCCAGCATTCAGAAAGGGAAGAATTTGAAGCAGAATATGGACACGTATGCACGCAAGACGAGGGGAATGTCCATTGAAACTCTGAAAATTTGCCTCATCCCCGTCAAGGCGTCTGTTTTGTCGCAAGCTATTGATGTGGCATGCATTAAAGAATTGACCCTCATTAATGTTGGAAACCAAGCGCCTATTTGGTCTATGCTCACGAAAGAGCACAAGTTCCGCCCGATTGCTTTGCGGAGTGTTTTTACTGACCATGTTTCCGCCTCATTCTTGACGTGCATGGCACAGCTTCCACAACTAGACGATCTATTTATGCTGGAGCGAAGCCTCAAGCACAAACCCGAAAGCTTTGCGACCCGTACCACTACATCAATCGATCAGATTCGCCGGTTGGTGCTCAAAAAGCACATGCCAACTCTCAAAAGACTTATGATCAAAGACGAATCCAATGGACCAAACTGGGACACCAATGTAAAGACGATGATACTTATATGCACCCGAGGTGCAAACCTGGAAGAACTTGCATTGAGCATGAACATTCATACTGTGGTAAGTTCGGGTGCTCACATTTTAAGAATTTCTATTGCCTGTGGATACAAGAGTAACTGACAACTCGTAGCATGCGTTTGTGCAGTACTTCTCGGGCCTAATCAATCTACGGGCAATTAATATTCTTCACTTCAAGAACAGTGATACCTGTATCTGGGTCATGCGGGAATTACTGCGATTCATTGTCGACAATCTTTCCCACCACCCCGAACTGAAGTTGGAGTGGATAGCCATGGAAGATGACCGAGTCGATCGAGTAGTGCGGCCATCGGAGTGTTCTGCAGATTCCTCTTCTCAGGAGCCAATGAAGAGGACAAAGAACAAGGGAAAAGACAAAGCTCACGTTCCCGCCAATGGTAGCTCGTCGCAAGAATACCCTGTATTTCCTCTAGAGGGCTTAGATTCTGAAAGCGAAAGCGAGGACGAAGGCATGGACAGCGGATCTCGACTGAGGTACAAAACGGTTGGCCCTCTACCATTTTATGATGTGTGGGGAGTGAAAATATTTGAAAAGGAAATCCGTAGCGGAAGGCTGTAGACTTGTGGGGTGAATATGCGAATATGGGAGTACAAGGTAGTCTAGGCGTACCTGGGACTTTAGTGATGGGCATCTCATGGCAATGGATAGCAATACTTGGGTTACAATTATGACGCACAATGACATGCAGGGAACGACTCAGGCTTTTGGGGATTGTATTGTGACATGGCGAATGGAGTATTTTTGATCTGGAGCAACACGTACAGCTCGATATCGCGGCGTGCAAAGAGAATCGCCTAGTAGTACATAACTTAGATATCCCCAGCAAATACCCGCTTGCTTTTCCAGGTCACCCCCATTCTACTAGTCCCACGAAGTTCTTGTCCTGCCAAGTCCCAATTTGGCGAAGTGAGGGCTGCTTCTGATAGTTTTGACAGACGTGGGAACATGTAACGTTTCACAGTCGCATGTCCCGAGGGAAGCTGTATGCCGCGAGCCCCGTCTGTATCGCGGCATCGAGCCATGACGGATGAACAATGAGATCGTATTTCCCAGCCCCGACGCGACTCGTCCCCAATGAAGCTCCGGGGCAAAACCCGCCTTGCAGTAGGTGGACCTGATGCCCGTAAGTAATGGGATGGCTGTAGTTGTAGCCCAGCCGGGCGAGCTGAGAAGCGGTCGAGATGCCCGAGGGATGCCGACTGCCATCGTGCCGCCCCCCCGGCATTCGACTTGGTCCCATGTTGAAGAAGCTGTTACCATAAAGTGCAGCGCCCTCATCAGACAAGTTTATTGGTTGTGCCATGGTGACTCCTATCCGGTCGAATCAATATGGTGCGGTGGTATGTGGTTGAGGGGGGAGGGAGGTCTCGCCGTCATTCAAGGAGTCCACATGGTGTTGGTCTCGTAGGTCTTGCTTGATGTAGTGCTTGCACGGGCATTTAAACAGATTTAAAAATAAAAAAAAATAAAGATAAAAGAAGCATGGTGGTAAAATTAAAAAGACGTAAGCTACACTAGAATTATACAGGTAAACGTCTATTCGAACTAGGACCGAGGGGGTATCACATGTTTAGGAAACGGGGTATGCGTACTCATGTGCCTTGCTCGAAGAGAAAGGACACCAGATGCATGCCCTTTTCTTGCAAGTCCATCCGAATCTGCTCGGCGAGATTACTGCGGGGGCGCCCAAGGTTGGGTTTCCTGTCCACATGATTACCTACCTAGGTATAGGTACCTAGGTAGGTAGTCATGTCCTGCTGGTGGTCGTCTTGCCAGCAACGAGTGCAGGTGTCCTCTGCCGCTTTCCTACTCTCCTGCGCTCCAATCTTGCTCTTGCTTGAATGCAGCGCCTTCCGACCGTGTGCGAGCACCCTTGGAGCCTGCAATATTTCCCACCTGATGATATCTAATCATCAGTTTCGCTTCCGTCGTATGAGCGTGCATCCTTTTCGGCCTCTGAATCGTCGCCGGGAGGTGATTCGCCATCGCTGCCCCCCTCGTCGTCACTCGTGGCAGCGTCATCCTCGTCGTCACTCGTGTCAGTGTTATCTGTGACAAGATCATCCTCGTTTGCATCTGACTCCACGTCCTCAAGGACATTATATAGATCGACGGCTTCAACTTGGTCCAATTCTGTATCCGGATCGAAATACTCGGGCAAAATGTTCTCTGCCAAAAGACCCGTCCACGATGGCAGTGGGTGAGGTAAATCGAAGAATTGGGCAGGCTGGTCAGCAAATGTTTGGCAGGCTGCCTCAAGCCTTTCTAGGCCGGGGGGAAAATAGTGAAATTGCCTGGACAAAGCTGTTTCGTCCCAAGGGTTGGGCCCTGTTTCGAAGGCACACTCGATGAGCTCATGCGTATTGCTCGCTATAGCGTCTACCATGTCGGGAAAGCCGTCGAAAGAATCTGTACCTGGTGTCAGTGAAGCTCGACACTACCATGAACTGTCCACTTACACCCTCCTTGATGAGACCTTATACAAGACATATCTACCGTGGGATGTTGTTCTTCCACTCCACCCCACGAAGCCTCGAGTACCCTCTGCCAAGTCGCATCACGCTGGATTAGGTCTCGAAACAAGCGAGTGGCTAGCTGCGGTGCAGGGTCTCCGTCGAAAACCAATTTGAAGGAGCGCCGTGGCATCCCCGAACGGACCAGTTCCAGCGCTTCCATTGCCCAGCGAGAAAACACGCGTGTTATTCTATAACTGGCAAGCCTCGCACCATTTGCTGACTCTTCTCCACCATGATGCTCGGGATTTGTATAGAATAGCCAATCATTCTCTGGAGTCCAGGACAGAATGCAGCTATCTGTGTATGTTGTTTGCAAAAGAGTTCTCCATATATTTACACGACGCTCGACATAGAGGCGGGGGTTTTCTTGGCAATAGGGTATTAGTCCTAGAGCATGGCATTCAGGGAATGCAACGCTATGAGAAGTCTCATGAAGGCAAATGCGTCGCAGTTGCATTCTAAGCTGCTCCGGACACTGCGAGAGAAATCGTATAGCCTTGGATGCAGCAGAGAACCTGTATTTCCCCTGAGTGAACTGCCGCATGCCGTTTGCATCGAGGTGAGGCTTTAGCCAGTATCGGTAACCTTGTCGTCGGATCATCCTGGCTTTACCAAACATTCTCGTAAAGTCTTTTCTGGATGGATTATAATGCCAAGGGCAAAACTCCTGAGACGCTGCATATGCCCTCTCCGCATCAGAATAAGAAAGCATGGAATGCGTCTTTGGGATTGAGCCCTGCTCCACTGCGAGTCCAAAGGTCCGCCACCCGGCTTTGAAGAAGACGGATAGGGGAATGGCAAAGTCCTCGGCGACGCTAACTTGAAGGTCGCCGTACGTGTCAGGGAGACCGTCAATGGCATCAAAAACTGGTTGCATTGGAGGAAATTCTGCGACCACCTCATCTTCGATATCTTGCGTGAAGTCAACCCCGCCTTCTTCGTCCGGTGAAAGAAACTCAACGAGGCGAACTAGGGAGATGGCCAAGGTGGCTTCGAAACGAGCGGCTGAGATGCGCTCCTCGTCTGAATATTCTACTTTAAAGTGCAACGTATTGCGACCAAGCGCGAGGCCGCTCATCTCGCGAGCAATCTGCTTGCATGTGAGCTGCAGGGCAAAGTCGTGCTTCTGATTACCGGTCGCAGTGACAAGCTTATTGGTTCGGGGATTGACGACGTAGCCTCCATCTACGTCGACGTAGGCATTGTAGACGGCGTGTCGGATCTCGGACGGCAGATCGAGGAAATGCAGCTGCGAAGCGGGCGCCATGGCGGCAGGGGCAGAAGCGGCCGGTCGGGATATGTTGGTAGTGGCTCAGAACAAGAAGGGCCTGGGGTGATGGTGGAAAGTATGTCAATGCGAGGAAATACCAGACATGGGTCAAGCATCGCAAACAGCGCACAGGAAGGGGTGGGCTGGCAGCTTATGTACATACATAGGCGTGACAAGAGGTGCGGGCTCCAGCTGTGGGAACCAAAAAATAAAGTTGGACAGTCCGGCGAAGTGAGTCACAGCCCGATGTGGCGTCAATGTGCGTGCATCAGCCAGCAGCTTGTGGCGCCAGTGGTGGGCCACGACGAGACCAGGATACCGTCTGGTGTAAAACATCCAGCATAGTGCCGGCACCGTAAAAGACCAGTCTACATGTCAACTGGTGAAGTAGGTACACACTTATGTACAAGTATGTTTATACCGTGAAAATACAGTCCCGGCACATTGTGTAATTCAGGTGCAAAAAAGTGCCAAAAGCCCGCCACACACGCTAAAAAAAATTACACCAGCCTAGTACCACCCGACACATGACTAATTAATGTAACATCAATTGATAGGATTAAATTCACGACTTTATGTGTAATTACAGCGTACAGATTATCATTTAGGAAAGGTGACATTTTGTAGCATTTAATGCATCACGCCCTAAAATGACATGCATGTGCGCTGGCCTTGGCGTCAATTGATGCAAGCACTCATGTCTCCGACAAGACGTCGTGGGTTGCAAGGAAATCCTGGTTGATACATGGACAAGCAAACATGCACACATCACGACTCAAAGCGAGGCTGCCCCTTTTTTTCTTTTTCAGCGTGGTACGTCGCTTACTTTCCTATTAAATTATAATAAAAAAAATAAAAAAAAGGCTAGTTAATCACCAGGACCCACTAGTAACACAATCAATAGCTGTACCTAGCTAATTTGACAGTAACACACAATTCAAAAAACACTGCCTAAGACCTATTAGCCCTGTACTTGATAATAAAAGGTAGTAGGTAGTACAAGACATACGTACACGCATCGCGATGCGTCAAATCCACTAGCTCAAGAGGTGATTCATGACCTTACACGCCGGCGAAAGCCTGCAACTCTGCGCGTCAGAGCTGGTAAGATATTAACAGTTAAATAATACGAGAATGGTGAAGAACTTATCAAGATCAAACTTACATACACGCAATGATGACGGCGACTCGCGACCACGTGAGTCACACCCCGAAAAACTCAGAGCAATCCGACACAACATAAATCAACGAAGTCTGCGCTAAGCAACATTAGCATGTGTATGCATCGTCTCAAAAGTGTCTGGTGTAAAATCTCAACCCACCCCGACTTTCGCGAAGCCCATCATCTTCCCTGCAATCACCCTGTTTTGCCTCCATACACCCTGCCACAATCACGTTAGAAATACGCTGGACAAGCCAATCAAGTGCGACACGGGGATACAAGCACCAGTACATACGTACCAATTCAAACAAATCGCTCTGCAAACTGCAAGTTGACGTTAGCGACATGCACTTGAACGTGAGCACAAGTGTCTCATGGGGATATGCTGAGATTGATAGTACCAACGCAGCTACTCGTGGGTCTCCGGCTTTGCATCGCTCCCTGAAGCACTGCAGCTTCTCACTACATCGTCAACAGACTATTTCTCCGTGCGACATGTTGAGGGGCAAAACACCAACCTTGCTGACGTCGGACTCGGTCGGCAGTCAACAACCTGGAAAAGAAACCTGTCAATGTGAGCTCGCGCAAAACAAGAGCGGCTCGAGTACCTCACCACAACCATGACCGGTGCCTGAAAACGAGTTTGTTAGCCTTGACTAGTATAACTTTGATGACTGATGGCATGTCAACGGCGCCAGAGCCAAGCTGCGAGCGACATTGCCATTGATCAGACTCACCAAAAAAGGCAACCTAACGCCAGCACTTTGTTAGCGATGCCGTATCGAGAGTGGGACCTTGATTCAACTAGAGAGGGAGGAGGAGCCCCGGACTTACAAGCCCAACACCTGGGAACGCGTTAACAGATTGGAGTACTAAATCGAGTCGCACATGAACTTACAAGTAAGTTGCCTGTTGCAACTTCAGGGATTGAAGCTAACAGGCCCAAGAGGGCAATGCCAAAAAGGCCACAATTACAGAGGAAGTGAATAAAAAGAGGGATGCGTCGTTGAAGGCCAGGGACGTCGACGCCCCTATTCAAGCTGGTACAACATCCCCTAACCGGTCTCCCGGTAAAACACGTCGCCTTAACTCTCCGGCCGCCCCCATTGAAGCTGGTATAACACCCGTTGACCGGTCTCCCGGTAAAACACGTCGCCTTAACTCTCCGGACGCCCCTATTCAAGCCGGTACAACATCCCCTAACCGGTCCCCCGGTAAAACATGTCACCTCAACTTTCCAGACGCCCCCATTGAAGCTGGTGCAACATCCCCTAACCAGCCCCCCAGTGAGCGGCCTTGCCTCAACTCTCCAGACGCCCTCGTGTCACCGGCAGAAGCGCTGGGCGGCGTGTCCATATCGTCCCCAGTGCAGCCAGTCTCAGCTGTTAACAAAAAGCGTCGCGAGGGGCTCCGGAAGCGAGAGACCTTGAAACGATTGTATAATTTTCAATTCAGGGTGCTTAACGATTATGACCCAAAAGCGATAGGTTCATATCAGCAGATGGTGGATAAGCTCAACGCGATTGAGACTGAAGACCCTCCCAGGACTGGCCAGCTTGGTGTCTTCATCGCGGCCACTACTTTTCAGAGCTTGCTGTTCCTCAAAATAACAGGAACGCCGAATCAGCTGCAGAGCATACCCTCACGGGTAGACCTCATCGGTACGACTCTTGGGCTTCCGTTGGCCCTGATTTCTGGCCAATATCTGCTACGACTCGACGAGCTTGCCTACGATGACAAAGGCGCTCACGAAGACACTCCCGCTCCAAAAGATGTCGGTTCGAAAAACGGCGTCAGCGTGTCCAAAGTTAAATATAGTTTTGGCGACTGGTATGTAACGCTCACACAGCTCGACCAAGCGCTGGGTATATTGGACAAGAATGAATTTTGGCTTCGAGGCCAAGTCTCCACCGTCTCGTATGTGGCTCGTGTTTGTTTCCCCCGACTACCCAGTCTTCTGACATGACATGCAGTGCCGTTCTGGCGGATTCGGTGCCCTTGTTCTGTTACCGTTGTTACGCTCCTGGCCACATGGTTAACAAATGCCCTTCTGATGAGCCAAGGCGGTGCGGAAAATGCGCCGAAGTTGGCCGACATGACACCAGAAACTGTGAAATCACCGACGTGAAAATGTTTACATGCTGCAATTGCGGAATGCGAGGCCATGCCGCCTTCCACCAAATCTGCCGTCACCCCCCGTCCGTGGCCGAGTGGAAGCGAGCATCGGATGCCAGGAAGATGCTGCCGGCCTGGGCTCACGCATGGGCAAAGCAAAGGTCCAACGCCGCACAGCAGAACCCAGGGCCGGCCTCGACTCAGAAGCAAGACGAAGCGGCCAAGCCTGGCAAGAAAAAGCGAGGGAGGCCGCGCAAGAATGCTGCAGCGCAGCCCGAGAATGCGGCTGTGCCAGGAGCAATGGACCTTGACACGCAACCGCAGCATGTCGATCACCCAATGGGCGGCATGGATCAAGGTGAAAAGGAAGTGGACCAGTGCAACACTCCCAAGAAGCGAGCACCGGGCCGACCCAAGAATCCGCCCAAGCTTGACGCAAGTCAGACTTCCCTTGACGGTTTTTGCAAACCACGCAATAGCCAGGCATAAGAGTACAAGACATGGAGTCTACTTTCTGGAGGAGAGGCGGGGGTTGGGAAGGGTCACGTTGATGGATCAATTTTCCTAGTTTTCAGTCTGTTCAACATTTCCATATATTACTATTTCCATATATTATCAACATCATCCCCCAATGAGAATAACAAAAGACAATTTTTTTCCTGCCTAGCTCTTTAGTGTCATTAATATATCGGCCGCAACCTTGGGCAAGGCTGGATCCGACCACGGTACCGCGGCACCATGTTGATAATCACCCAACTTGTTCTCATTACAGAGGGGAAAAAAAAAAATCCTTCATCATTATAATAAATTACTACTCGCGTAGATGCGTCACCAAGCGCAAGCATCAGGTCGAGGGCTAGTCTCGACACCCGACCAATACTATACATGAGCTCTTTGCCAACAAGGCCAGTCATGCGAATCCATGCTGCCGCGCCAGAGAGGCCTTTCCACTCTCAATATGAAACTGCCCTGATGCACGTGGCCGTTGGTCTCACGACGACGACGACGACGAATCTAGAACCTGGAACCTTGTACCTCTCTCCATGGCGTCCTTGATGGTCTGTTGGGTGCCTTCCTTGACGGCCTCTGGCGCGTCCCCCGACTTCTTCCTCATGATGGGCTCCGACACCAGCACAATCCGAGACATGATCTGGTTCCCGTTTGCTTCCGCGATGGGCAGCTTGAGCTCAATGTCCTCGGTGCGGTCGAGCGGCGCGGGCGGCCACACCCCCCCGTGCCACGCATCCCAAGCCACGGCGTGGTTGTTGACCTCGGGGGAATAGTCGCACCACTCTCTGAGTCTCTGCCTGAATTGCTCGCACGTCGCGACGCTTTGCTTCATCTGGCACGTCTCTGTTTTGGCACCGTGCCCTCCCCCCGCAGTCCACGTTTGATAGTACGGAAGTAGGCGGGTTCGAGCGCGAACAGCTATATGAAACGTCCACGTCTCGAGTCTGCACTCGTAGCCAGGCTTGCAGGACGCGTCGTGGGACGTCGTCACCGTCTGCATCTTTGTCGTCGTCGTCGTGTCCGAGTACGATGCCGACAGCTCAACGTTGGCGGATGGGCCGTCCTTGGCCCCAAACGTCCCGGCGACCCTGGCCCCGACGGTCCAGCCCTTGCTCTCCATCTTGGAATTCATGGTGGACTTGGCGATGCTCAGCTTGAGGTCGCCTGGCCCTGGGTTGATGTCGCCCGTTTCCACGTGGGGGATGTAAAATGCCCTCTTGCTGATTGTGTCGTTGGGATGGATGCTTGCTTCGTGCCAGAACTGGACCTGCTCTCCTTGAAAGCTCAGCAGGACATCGGGGCAGGTATGTTGCCACGCCTGGGGGGATACAAATCGTGGCGGCGATTGTTCGTTGATGGCAATCTTTTCGAGCCGATCGAGCAGTATCTGGCCCAGGTACGTGGCATTATAGTCCTGCTCGTCCGCTCTCGTGCTCACCGTGGGGTGAGCGCTTGCCGCGAGAGCCAAGCCGAAAGAAAGAGTTGCAAAAGTCTTCATTTTTGCAAGTACGTCAGCAGGTGGCGTAGCAGTTCTTGTAAATGTCTTTGTGCCGTACAAGCCAGTTGGTGAAGAGTAAGACGAGTGATGGATTCTGGAGGAAAGGAGGGTAAACAGAGGCTTAAAATACCGTCAATGCCATCCGCATCACCACGTATACGTTCCGAGTTGAACGTTCCGAGTTGAACGTTCCGAGTTGAACGGCTGCATCTGCCAGTCCTCTGGTACGACCCGGCGTCTCAACTTACGATTCATCTCAACCTGGTCATCAAAGGTCCCGTTCGAACAGGCCGGTGGCTCTAAGCGATGAAAAGAAGATCATCTCGACCACTTGCACGCCCGACGCTTCGCCCGGATCCGCCCCTGCTGCGGCTGTGCTCACGGCCGCAGCGAGACTCTTTGTAGCCGGTGCGGTTCTCGGCTCGTATTTCAGCCTGTATAAATGGGTCCCCGTGATGGGTTCACCAGCCCGAGGTTGAATCAAATACAACTACATTCGTACAAGACCCGCTGGCAAATTATGCCGCATAATAGTATCAAGTCACTAGCAATAGTAGGCCTCCAGCAAGCGAAGCAATTCATCTACTATATCACGCGTTGCATGCACCAATGAGGAAGGACACTTGGTTGTACCTAATCATCTCTTGGTTTGCTAATATAACCTTAGTAGTGGCCATCGCGGCGTCAACGCGGCTCATACCGTGTCACCGAGCGTGGCTGGTTCGAGTTCGGGCCTGAGTCTGATATGGGCAATCATCCGATCCTCACTGTTCTGGTCTCTCAAGTATTATCCAACAACGGTTCGATGCCTTTGATCTCATTCTAAATTTTGATACCTGGTCAAGGGTCGTAACCATGAGTCTTGAACAAAACCATAATAAATCAAAGGCCTGGAAGACAATATCAATCGCGACTTGAGACGATTACTCATAAAGAGAGCAAGACGTTCCAAGCAAAGTCGTTTCCTTACATGGCTTTTTGCAAAAACCTGTACCCTTTTCATGAGCTGTTCTTATCAGCCTTCCTTGACTCTGCATCTAAGCAAACCGGCAGTTGTAGCAGGAACTCGGGCAGAAACTAGATAGGCTACTTGCCACGAAAACAAAGATACGGATGGCATGCAGCCCTGTCGCAATGCTTGGCGCTACACTTGATATTTTGTCCTAGACGCCGCGTGGCCAGATTGCCAACTGCTAGCCCAACTTCCATGTCTCATTTTACCTGCCGAATTATTCCGGAGCGAGGCAGTGTTGCCGTGTATGACATTGAAGGCGGCCACCGGGCGTAGCCCAGTATGCAAGAGTCTCGTCGTCCCAGTTGTAACACCATATGCCCTCATCTAATCAAGACGAACAGATTCTCTGAAACTACTCGTTTTATTTACCCTTACATGTACGTCGGTAATTGTCACGCGGAAATGGCCTTGGTTACACAGTAGCTTCGATGAGGTGACCTGGGGCAAAATCCCTCACTGACTTTTTATATTTAAAGACGTCTTTGGTCGTTAAGGACTTACGGAAAACCAAAGACCTTTGATACCAAAGACTGTTATTAGATGAATTAAGCTATTGACTCCGAGTCTTCTACCGAGCCGTTGTCACACATCGCCAGGACGCGGCCCATGACAATTATCCAGTGGCCGCCACACCATGTGTGACAAGGGCTCAAGAGGGCTTGGAGGAGATAGCTTAATTCATCTAATAACAGTCTTTGGTATCAAAGGTTCTTGGCTTTCCGTGAGGTCTTATTGAAAACTTTTTAAATACAAGGATTCTGTGAGGGACTTTACCTTGAATACCGTCATCGTAGCCCTTGAATAACCATGTGATATTGGGCCACTTCCGTGTGACACCGTGCTCGTCAGCTCCAAGGCTCTGGAAGTCTTCGACATCACGGCCGGCACCACTAACCTGTACGGCGGCATCATCAACCGTGTTGCGGGCAGCCGGGAGCCTCTTTCAGGCCACAGAGAAGGAAGACGGTCTGTCCTCGCGCGGCTTCTTTGACGACGTGGTCAATGCCACCAAGCCCACTGTGACGAGGGCCTTACGAGGCTCGGAACATACAGGTTCAGATTCAAAGATAATATCAAAGAATCTCAAAGGTCCTCGTTTTCTAAGGGGAAGGAAGGGACTAGTGACCGCTATATATACGTGAAAGAAACGCTCGTGCCTAGACCCATACCCAGGCACGTGCTCTAGTTGTGTAACCAATAAGGCCCCGATCGGAGGGCCTCTTTGTTGGGCTCGCGATCTTGTCGGGCTTTCTCCGTGTAACACAAGCATTGAAAAGCGCTGGGAAAGATGTGAAAGCCAAGTCGCCCATCTAAAGCACTAGCAATAGTTTTACGGCTGTCTTGATTCTGGATATGGATCTATGGGAAAGTAGGAGTCTCCCATTTTGGGCAGGCCATTTCGACAGCCGTCTTGTGTGACAGATAATAACTTCTGCGCACCTCTTGTAGCCCAATGCTACGAGATCCCGTGGCGTGTCATGCATAGGTAGTCTGCTCCATCTAACGGGTCTTGTCTATTTTTTACAGCAAAATTTATGTGGCAATGTTTGCTATATTCAGTGGTTGCTTCTCCCATATCAGTCGTAGCCTGCTTCTGTCAACACCTTGGTCCCCGCAAACGCATATGAGGCATCAGCTTCGCAATAGCAAATATGAGGGATATACTGGGAAGACTCCGGAGATGCCGTCTAGGTGGGAGCGAACAATTTTAGACGGCCTTTTATGCCACCGCCTGCGGGTGTCGCGCCTAACTTTGTTAACCCTGGGAGCTCGAATTCCCAAGGCTGCGGGCAATCTCCGGATTTAAAAGCTGCGAAAGCGCAGCGCGGACCCAAGATCTAAGCATGGCCGTTTTACCTTGCTTACTACTATACTTGATCCAGCGCTGGATTTACAATTGTTGCCTGACGCATCGATGGGAAAGTGCTCTGCGAGGAGAACGAACAGTAGATGCCAATCAGGTTCGGACAAGGTGGAAAAGGGGGAACCCGTAAAAGTAAATAGGTAAAAAAAAATAACCTGTAAGTGCTAGGTGCCCATAAATCTAGGTAGGTAAGAATAGGTGCCCATATAAGACCCAACTCTCTCATCTAGTATGTGATGACTTAGTTGTAAATCTTTCAAGTCTTAAATAGGCATCTATAATACAACCCCTGAATTATTATCACGCAGATACCTGCCTATATTAAATTATATATAGGTATATAAATAATTAAGTAAATTCTATATTAAAAAAAGTCCTTTTTAATAAAATTTACTCTTTTATTAATTTACTTATACCTGCTTATTAGGCTTAATAAGCCTAGAATATTATACCTATTAAATAATATAAATTATAGGAGAAAGCAGGGCTAAGTATCTTTTTGATAATACTTCAGGGGTTGTATTGTATTCTTACCCATTTAAATTTTATGGGTTTTCCCTGGGTACCCACGAGCCTTGTTGGCCTCTGAGATGGGAGTGAAG